AAAGACGATGGTTGGTGGATTCAGGAGGCGTCATTTCCCCGGACTGGCCAGGGTCGAGGGGCATTGATCTGTAAGATGTGGAGTCCTGAAGGCATACACGTCGCTACTGGATATCAAGACGGCATACTTCGAGAGCGGAGAACAGATGGGGATAAAATTAGCCAAAAGCTATGATGAGATGATATAGCGAAGACTTATGAAGGGCTCAATTAGATCAGTGTAAGCTTAAATAGATCTAACATAGATGAACAGAATGATTTACAGATAGGAGATGCCTGGCTTCCTATTTCTGTCCTTAATTCAGTAGATTCATTCTTACTATGGTAGAGACCACCTCACCTTACCTTGTCATCTTCCTTCTTAAGTATAGATCGCTTAGAGGAAAGATCGTATTTGATTACCTACCTTAGTAAGTCGAGTCGCTCTTGCTATCTTCTGGTCTATAGATCACTGAAAGGAAGGATCGCATTAGTTTTAGATCGTTCTTGCCATCTCCATCTACAGATCGCTTAGAGGAAGGATCGCACTGGTTTAAGATCGTTCTTACTGTATCTCAGTTTATAGATCGCTGAAATGAAGGATCGCACTGGTTCGAAGTGTTCTTGCCATCTCCTTGTTTACAGATCGCTGAACGGAATGATCGCACTGGTTTGCAGACGTTCTTACTATGCCTCCTTTGCTTACTGCCATTTGAGGGTATGATTCCCTAAACTGTCCCGTTGTTCTTACCCTCACTACTCGTGACTTCCGCACCGATGTCTCTTGTCATTCTCACCTACGCTCCTTCTCTCACAGCCTCTCTCGAGCCCTACATACAACCCACGCTGCCTTTCCGCTTCTTTCCTCATTCACCACCAGAATCTTCCAGCCTCGGTGCACCACTCTGATTGACTCTTCCTCAGCACACCGCACCAGGGTCTTTTTCCTTAGTACTTCACAACAATCAGCCATCCCCTTCCAAGCTCACGACCGGTATTCTCATTGATGATATTTACAACTCATCATCTTTGACATTTCTACGCATCTTTATGAGCTTGGGTGGTTTGGCATACGTTATTCACCTAGCATCTCACACCGTTTGCGCCTACTTTGAACTCTCTGACACATAGATTGGGTTTCCTTTTCACTACATCCTGACCATTCTTCATTTGTCTGAGACCACTATCATTCGCTGAGAGCATTTGGGTAAGTAAATTGTTCACGCTTCAAATGGGTCGCAACTGCTAAGTCTATTCGGGAGGCAGGACTCGGAAGCTACGATGGACCCGACTTCGCCCTCGTACAATAGTGCGCCTGTACGGCGATCGCAACTGCTCACTTCTATTTCAGAATTGAGACAAGGAATCCAAGCTACTGAGGCCGACATCGATCGCATCGAGAACCGGATCTCGTACAAAGAGGACTGGCTCAAAGAGCTTAAATCAGAACGCATTGCCGCTGATATCCCTAAACCGGCAATTGACAAGGCCATCAAGCAGACACAATCACGCATCAAAGAGGTCGAAGAGACTCTCATTGCGAAGAAAGATGAGATCGCACGCCTGAAAAGCAGGCTGCAGAAGAAAGAGACAAAGCTTGCAGCGATCCCACAAATCGAGTCATCCAGTGCGCCCAATCCCAAAGACAACGAAGATGCTGTAGCACTGCTTGAAGTCACAGCCACCCCTGTGAATGCCATCTTCACAATCAGTGAAGACGGCAAGACCTACACCAACCCGCCCATGCTTCGGGGTGTGCCAGTCGCGCCTATTAGCGAAACCGGCTCATACTGGAACCCCTTGTGGAAAAAGTTCGCAGAGGCAGTCAACGAAGAGAAGGTGGAAAGGGAATATCAAGAATACCTCTTGATCAGACATCAGCGAATGCTCCAAGGACCCCTCCCAGCATCAGAGGATGACCCAGAGCATGTCTTCAAGAGATACCAGCGCAGCTTGCGGCAAGCCAAGGTCACAAAGCAGTGGTTCAGTCCGGGACACACGATCCATCCCAATCAACTCATGGCAAAGGAACACTTGCCTGAGACTGGGATCTGCGACAACTATGTTCTCTACAAGATCTGCAACATCCTCAGCCGGATCAACGCCATGTATGAGCGCGGAGAGGTGGGAATGCCGCCCATGCACTTCCTCATGTGGAGGATGAGTGTCTCCCTGGAGCGCTTTCCGCACGACCCCATGAAGTCATTCTGGCGCGTCATGGTTGACAAGAACCACAATGCTTACGACAGCATTCTTCGGCAAGCTGAGATCAGAGGTGCACAGCATACCGGTGACTACAACTTCTACTTAGGTCGATGGAAGCAGGCATCTTCTGCCAGAGACCAGACCCATTCGTCCGCATTGACCGGTAGCAGATCAGCCGCCCCTGACACAGCAATTGCACAGCCTGGAGCAGGTTCCCATGAGGCCTTTGCCCAGCAGCAACAGCAGCAGCAGCAGCAGAATCTGCGTGAGCCTGTTTCCAACCTTGCCCTGAACCCAATAGAGGCGTTGAGGTCGCAAATGCAGATGCAGACATCCTCCACGCAAGGAGAAGGACGGCATGTCAGTGATCGACGCAAGACGCACCACTCTTCAGAGGCGTTTGATCAATCGACCCCTGATCACGACGGTAGCCACTCGCGCCCTGCTAAGAGGCTGCGTCAGTTACCGCTGTTCACAGAGGATCGTCTTGCAGTTCGAAGCAGACCATCTGCTAAGAGCATGGTCTCGAGCCATTCCTTAGTCGGACCCATCATGGAAACCGGGCCTCCTATGGATCTTGAAGCGAAGATTGGACATGAAGCTCACACTCATACATCTACGTTCCGGGTTGTGGATGCCCCAATGGAGGATGAACTTCAACTGGACAGCTTCGAGAAGAGCATGGCCGATAATGATGATCTGGCAACCGAGGCAACGGCTCCAATTCTCGAAAACACCAGCATCGAAACCCCACTCGACAATCGCGAATGGATTGACATGTTTGTCGGCTCGGAAGAGATCAGAAGACAGATCCAGCCCACAAACATGGAGGCCATCAGAGCTGCAGTCGGAGAGAGTCCTTTCCCGAAGGATACTGGAAGAAGAGTTTCTCACGGATTTGTCTTCCCCTGGTACCACAGCGAGGAAGCTCAGAAGCTGGACGAATTGGGATTCCCTTTCTAGACGCGACTGAGTCGGGCATCTACCTCTATAGGGAGAGGCATCTTTATGGGAGGAAATAATTGGCATGAGAGTTGGATGGATGGATGGTAACCGACTCGGATAGGCATTCAGGTCGGAGGAGTGACTTTTTCCTCTATTGCTTTGTTCTTTGCTTTTTTTATTTCTTTTGCTTTTGCTTTGGAGAAAGCCTCCATCGCGGTCTTGGGCCATGTGGGTACTGAGAATGGATGGCGGAACTAAACGGTGACCAACTCGGATAGGCTCTCAGAGAAGTGGCTAGGTTTCTGGAGAACAACCTCGTCACAGTTCTGGCCCATCTGAATAACGAAAAATGGCCGGTGGACAGCTTCAGCTTAGCATGATAGCTTCGAAATAGAATAACGTCAAAAATCGTGCCATTGGCATCTTTGGGAAGCTGCATCTGAAAGCGGCGCGGATGAAAGGGGACGAAGCTATCATGGCTCTGTAATGCTCCAGCTCTCATTTGATACTCTTTTCATCACGTGATGTTATGTCGCTTACGATTCCGGTTATGGCAAGTACCTTGGCCAGTGCTCTCTCTATGGTCTCTCTGACTGGTGGTTCTCCGTAGCTTACCCGACAGCCGCAACATCAAACCATCAAATCAGGCCATCGACAAATCCCTCTCTCTTCACCCAAACCCGACGTCACAACAACGAACCTCTCCTCTCTACCACCCCAATTGCCGTCGCCATGTTTTTGCAGCGCTCCGCCATCATGGCTGCCCGCCGGGCGGCCGTCGCTCCCCTCGCCAGACGCACCTTCGCGACCTCCATGATCCGCCGTACGAACCCCAATTGAAGGCCCCCCCCAAATCCCGAGAAGAAAAAAATAAGCCTTGCAGCGAAGCCATTCCGAAAGTTCCCTTATCGCTGACTCTACGGCCATCCGCGGCCACAAACAGGCGACGCCAACTCCTCTACTCCCGCCAAGCCCTACAAGACCATCACCGGTAAGGTCTATCGAGCCAATGGATTCGAAATTATCGTCGTTTCCGTCTCGGCGCGGTTCCCCGGAATGCCCAAAGCCTGACCGCATGCATCCCTTCGGACCGCGTCGTACGATCGAAGCGACGCACCAATTTTGAACGACTTGGAAGATGAGAATACGAGGCTAATGATTTTCATTGCAACAATACAGAGATCAAGGGCGAGGACGACCTTCACGGACCTGGTGCCAAGCCCGGCAGCATCCCCACCGATCTCGAGCAGTCCACCGGTCTCGAGCGTCTCGAGATTCTCGGAAAGATGGAGGGCGTCGACATCTTCGACATGCGCCCCCTCGATGCCTCCCGCAAGGGTACGCGATTGACCCCTGTTCTTCGGAATTCAAGTGCGAGCACGAAATCTAACTCAATCATTTAGGCACCGTCGAGAACCCCATCCCCGTCCGTTCCGCCGGTGAGGAGCAGTACCTCGGCTGCACCGGTGTCCCCGTCGACTCCCACGTCACCATCTGGCTGACCGTACGTGCCCATGGACCCGATTGAGCTGCCCAAAGAGCTCCGTAACCTGACCAAACATGCGTAGATCTCCCGCGACCGCCCCATCGAGCGCTGCCCCGAGTGCGGCTCCGTCTACAAGATGGAGTACGTCGGTCCCACTGATGACCACCACCACGGCCACGACCACCACCACGGCTACGAGGAGCCCAAGACCTTTGCCGACTTCGTCAAGCCCGAGTACCGATACCAATAGATGCTTTCGCAGATGGTGGTGAGCACGTAGCAAGGAGATTGGAGGCGAGACGGCATCGGGGCTGCTCTGGAGTGAGCACGGCAGATGTGTAGATTACCTTAAGTTGTGGCTGTATAGAACCTTTTTCTCCCGACTCCTGTCTCATGACTCCTCGCGAGTTGTTGTGTGACGCCAATCAGGTCGTCGTTGTTTCTGAATCGCGGCCAGGACAAGACGAAGAGCTGCGTGGCTTGACTCGCTCCCGTGCGGATCAGTGTCCTACTCTCCCCACGTGTCCACGTTGTATTTGATAGTGACGATGATGTCCGCCCTGATCATAGCACGCCTCATTCTGGATCGAAGCTAAGCTTGATCTTCTTTCCCTTCTTCTTAGCAGGCTTCTTCTTGGCGCCTTCGTCGTCGTCACCGTTCTTCTCGCCCTTCGTCACGATCTTGTTGGCGACAGTATCTTCGTCTGCATCACCGCCAACAACCTTGCCAGCCTTCCTCTTCTTGCTCGCCCCAATCCCAGCAATCTTCTCCATCTCCCTCTTCTCCTCCTTGGTATCCTTCCCTTCCCCCTCCTCCTCTACTCCATCTTTCTTCAAGGCATCCGCCTCCACGCCGCCGTCCTTGTCCACTCTTACGTCGACGACATTGCCGTCGTCATCCACGACCAGCGGCGCGTCTTCTGCCTCTTCGCTGTCGGAGCGCTTCTTGCCCGCTCGTCGCCTTTTCGAGAGGATCTCGTCTGGGCCTCCGTTCCCTGCTGCTTGTGCTTGAAGAGCACGCAGGAATGGCGGGATGTTTGTGTCGTAGGACAGGTTTTTGCCGGTGATTTTGTCCGACATTGCGGCGGCAGGCGCGAAGCCAGTGAGGCGCCTTTACTTAGATTTCGTCTATTTCTTGTGATGATTGAGGGCGCCGGTTCAAACTCAAATCAGTCGCTGTTTTCTCGGCAGGGAATGCAGCCGTGACTGGACCGTCGTTGGCGGAGAGTGTGCGATAATGGTGGTGAAGCAACTATTGTCAAATGCCAGTCCCCACGTGCATTCGCACCTTTAGTCATTGAGGGGGTGGAGACAGTGTTCTTCAGTGATCAATCAGCATCTTTAGCGGATAGCGCAGCCGATTAGCGACCTTTTCGATGTCGTAGCGTGTCCGAATCTCGCTAATCTACAGTGCACATACGCTACTACGCCGAACAGCAGACGGGATCCATCCAGGTTAAGGTACCGTGGAAAGACTCAACTACATGGCTTCTCCCCTTCTCAACTACCTTACCACTCCACCGAACCCAGCACATTCACATCACGTATCCAAGCAAGAAGGGTCACACACTCAGATCAAAAATCTGTATTGTTGAAACTTTTGAAGAACGAGGTCACTAACCCCAATGACTTTGGTATCTAATGCAACGAAAAGAACCTCCCTAAAATCAAGCGGTTTCATGTCTGTACCAGCCAACTCATGGTTGCCGCTCTCCAACGCCGGGCCGTGTAACGCTAATGCCAATGCCGTAGAGAACCTGCCAAAGGGAACCATTCCCTTGATACACAAAGAAAGGCTGTGATGAGGCACACATAACGCCATTGATATCCTAGACGATCTGCTGGATAAACGTGGGCGCCCCGGCCTCAGTGCCCACCATGAAGTTCGCGATGGGAATGGACGCAATGGGCATAGCAGTCAAGGAGCCGGTGTCCTCGGCACGGCTGAGCGCCACCACACCAGCGTCAGTGCCCCCCATGTTGGTGGAGAAGAGTGTCTTCTGATCCTTGGAGAAGCTGAACATGCGCGGGGCCAGGCCACCGGAGGAAATTTGGTCGACGAACTCGAGAGTGATGCCACCAGTCTTGGGCTTGCACTTGGAGCCGCCGGAGGCCGCCTGTTGAGTGATCTTGAAGTGGGAGATGGAGTCGGTTGCATTGCCACTGACACGGTTGGAGACGTAGGCGTGCTTTCCATCAGCCGAGATGATGATCTCGCCTGCGGCAGCGGAGGTGGCGTTGGCGGGAGGGAAAGCAGCGCCGTAGGTGCTCAGCTCCGAGGTATGAGTAAGGGAGAGGGAAGAGCCGTTGGTAGTAGAGACAGAAAAGACCTCAAGGGTGTTGGTGAGCTCACAGGCGACAACAAAGGCAGTAGGCGTGCCTCCATTCTGAGGGTACCAGGCGCCGTGGCGAGGGCCACAACCAGCTCTAGAGACGCTGTTGCGAGACACGACTTCGAACTTATCATCCTGGGAGTCGATGATGGAGACGGAGTCAGTGCCAAGGTCGCAGATGGCGAAGTAGCGACCAGAGGGATCGAGAATGGCCTGGTGAGCGAAAGACTTGGTCTGACGCTCCTTGTTGGGACCAAGCTCACCACCGAGAGTGATGTTCTTCATGTACTTAAGAGCGCTTGCGTCAGAGATATCCCAGACGTCAACGGTGCCATTGGTGCTGATTCATATTAGTTAATGACGCGTTCGGAGGGCCCAGAATAAGGATAAAATGAAAGAAGCAAGTGGCACGTACTAGGAAGCACCAACAAGACGAGTCTTGTCCTTGTTGAAGTCGATGGAGACAACTCCCCTGTTGCCCTCAGTGGAATTAGCGGCAGCCATGAGCTCGTTGGTAGTGGTGTCGAGCTGGAAAGAGTTAGTAGAAGTTTTTGGTAAGTAGGCTCCAGCAGCTACTAGAGAAATCGAAGGCGACTTACGTTGAACAAGCGAAGGTCGTTGCTGTTCTCGTCAACAGCGTAGAGAAGGTTGGGCTCCTTGAAAGCCATCCAGCTGGGGTTGGTGCCGATCTGGGTGTCGTTCTTCACGATGTTGAACGATTTGCCATCGTAATCGGCAACGGCAATCATGTAGGAAGACCCAATGATGACCTTGGACGAAGCGGCGGGAGTGTCCTGGCGGCCGATGACTGCCGCAGAAGCAGCCGCAGCAGTAACGATGATCGAAGTGAAGCGCATCGTGATGATTTGCGTGAAGTTGAAAGGGAAGAATGAGGGTATCGAGTGATCAGTATTGAGCAATCAGAAAAAGAAGCGTAGAGAGTGAAGTGCGAAAAGAGTGCGATGGAAGAAGGAGAAAAAGAGTAGAGACTGATGAGTGGTGAGTGAAGGGGAGAAAAGTGAGTGAGTGTGATGGTAGGTGTGTGAAATGTGTGAGGCAAAAGTAGTGATTTAGAAGTCGGTGGAGGGAAGGAGCAGTCGGTCGAGATGAGGCAGGCATGTACAAAATTTTCCACGGATTCTCGCAGCAGAGGAAGGAACAGACGGGGCTGGTTGGGTCGATCCAAAGCGGAGCTGGAGAATTAGTGATTCACTGGTGATGAATTGGATACACAAGTCTGATATTTCATCCGAATAATAAAAGGGAGTCCTGGGACAGTGGAGGCAGGAAGCTGCAACCTTATAAGATGATTGAACAGGCAAGGGAAGTCCGAAAAGGCTGTGTGTGCGCATGGCCATGCGGACATGTTCACATCAGAACATGCATAATAAGGTAGTCTTTGACTCTAATTCCCATGCATGTGACTCTACCTTACCTTAGCTGGCCAGATCTACCACCCTGACAGACCCAATCCCCCAGCCATGGCTGAGTTGGATGAATGGAAGGGATAGGGTGAGATGGGATGACAAGCCCACCTCAGTCTGCTCAGCCTGGAGCCAAAAAGCCCGACATCGAACCGCCTCCACGGCCACCGAACAGTAACACACAAAGAGCCCCCCTTTCTCTGCATACATGGGTGTCTGCGTGTGTTTGTGTCACCAGCTTCATTGGTCTCAGACCCCACATCATCAAATCCCTTTTGTAAAGAGTCTTGTTCAAGAGAGCAAAGATGCAAAGTGCTCAAGGCAAGGGAGGGATTGTGGTCAGGGTCACGGCTTACAACGGGCAAACGATTGGTTGGGGATGTAAGATGGCAGGCTGACCAGCTGTTGGTTGGGTCTGTTGCATGTTGCAAGGCTTACTCGCCAGGCCTAAAGAGCCCCCAAAGAGCCGCAGGACCCCCGCCCCTGGTTATTCTTGTTTTCTTGATACTCTTGGAATAATTGACAGTCAACGTTTGACTGAATTTCCAACTTCCAGCCGCCAAATTTGATGGTCACGCGAGATGCTGCATGTTTGCCGACATCTCCTCAAACCACTTGGATGCAGGTAAGCGTGGGGATCCAGCGTCAGCCAAGTCCAGTCAGGTCTGGCTTCGAGTCCGAGTTGTCGTCCGACAGTCGACGGGGATTGGATCCTGTCATCCCGCCCAGCCATCAGCCGCTCCTTTGGGCGGACAGCCACAGCAGGACGAACAGTCTCAAGGTAGACTCCCTGCGTGAACAGGTGGTTTCCCGTTAATGTTCAAGGAGCCTCATGTTCACCAGATTGGAGCATATGCAGCTGTTCAGTGAGTCGACGGTCCAACTCTTGATCGTCCGCCCTACTGTGTGCTACTCACTACCGATGAAACAGGGGCCAAATAGCCACGGAATAATATCAGAATCGCCTTCAAGTAAGGTACCAACAGCAACGTCCTTTAGGCGCTACGGTTGGTCGCCTGGTTGGAGGGGCTGAGTGAGGGCGGTGTTTCGAAACATGTTCACCCGTCCTTGGCCGCAAAGGATTGGACGAGAAACATTCCGGGCATTTCCCATACTTTCGAGCAGGAGGGTCACTGCGCTCGGCCCCCTTTTTTTATTTCAGCTTCTCTAAATCAGAGTTTCGTCATAGCTTGCTTACCTGTTTATGAGAAACTTGAGGCGGGACTTAGTACTCTCGTTTCTCGCCCCGACACATTTCATTAGGCGGCAATAGCAAGGACGGGAAAGAGGAAAGAAGCACGGAAGATCTTCATCAGCATGCCGGTCCGGTGGTCCGCCGTTACGATACGTACCGAAGTGGGGTCTTTCTGTCAAGTGGTTCCCCGGTACGTACCCTTTCAAACGCCGTTGACGTGCGTCTATTCTCGGCGTGGCTTGCGCTTCGAGAACCAACCAAATGCCGCGGTGACGAGGACTGCTGGAGACGACATGCGCATCTACACCCAATCAGCCAACCAACGTGAGATGGGATGGTAAACCAGCTCGAGGTGCATGGGGACAGCCAACCTCAGCACTAACACTGCAGGGGAGCGCGGGGTGAATGCTAATCCAGTCATCGCAGCATATTTTGTGCCAGAGCTTGTAGAGCTTGCTTCTCCTTGAATACTACCTTGGCAGCTGCGTGCTTTACTGACATTGGCTGAAAACATCCAGTCTCTATACACTGTTGGTTGCCATGCTGGGACGGCTGGCCAGGGCTTGCTTGGTTGGCGCCTTCACGATACGATCTGTGCTCTGCCTAAGTATACGGATTCCCGAGGGCGGCTTGTTGATTTGCCTATTAGAGAGTAGTTGACAGTTTATTGATACGGGCCTTAGATCTTCCTGCAAGTTGCACATCTCCGTCAGCCTGGGCCATTCCGTACACTGCAAGCCTTTAGAGGCTGTCGTCCAAATCAGCTTGGAAGGCGTTTCTGGCGGATCAGACTTACATCTGGGAGACACAGTCTTACAAAAAATGAGACTGCCACAGTCTCTGGAGGAGAAGAAGGCTAGGGCACTTCATGAAAAAGAACAGAAGTAGCTCAAGGATTCATTCTCGATTACATTCTATGAAGGTATTACAGAAGCCCAGCAGTCATGGGTATCTTGACTCCAAGGTCCATCAGGTATTCAAAGCAAAAAGACAAACGCCCGGATTCCCCGCTGTACCAATTTACACACTTCACACTCTCTCATCGCCTGTGTCCAATCGCCTAGCTTTACCTTACCAGGTAATAGTAACAGCCTTCCTCAGGTAGTTCGGGCCACCCGACTTGAAAATCTCCTCAAAGATCCACCGTCCAACATCCTCCCTCGAGATACCGTACCCAATAGCCTTGGTCTGCACACCAGTCTTGGGATCTTCAATGCCCGTCCGGATCCGCTTCTCAGGCTGTGCGCCATCAGACAAGAACGCGGGGCGGATGAAGGTGAAAATCTCATCGCTCGCCACGATCCTCTGCTCCATGACCCTCTTGTCGGCGTGCGGCTGCTTGAGGAGGACGTGGTACATGGGCACCTGCATCAGCGGCACGTCACGCGCATGGTCCGAGATACCCGTCGTCGAGATAATCGCCAGCCTCGGCTTGCCGTTGACACCCTGGGCGCGGAGCTTCTCGAGCGCACCGAGGAGCGCCGCGGCGCCGTTCTTGCACACGTCCGGGTCCTCGACCGTCATCTTGGCCAGATTGAGCGGGCTGCCGATGCTGAAGCTGACGGCGTCGACGAGGCGGGTCGGGTCGGTTGGGTTGACGAGGCAGGCGGCCACGTCGTCGACGCTGTGGGCGTTGCCCTTCTTGACAACCAGGTTCGGGTTCTGGGCTTCGGGGAGGACGTCGGTCATCTTTGTTGGGTTGCGGCAGAGGGCGATGCAGACGTAGCCGGCCTCGAGACTGTGCTTCAGCGCTGCCATGCCGCAGCCGCCCGAGGCGCCGAAGAAGGCGATGGTCTTGATGCCGGACATGATTTGTTATGAAGTTGGGGTGTTTGTGATTTAAGGTCGGGATGAGGTTGTAATGAGGGTATGCTTTGGTAGCGTGCCAAGTGCGATGATGCTCCTGCAAAGAATATAGATGAGTGGTATCAATGAATACGATTGGGCTTGATTGTTCAAGTAGGATGAACTAAAAGTCAAGTAAAAGCTCGATGTCGCCAAGAAGTAGGATGGTAGTGATGATATTGATGATGTTCTCTTCCTTCCTCTCCTCAACGGCGAACCTGCCCAGCCTTATATGCATCCAACCTCCGTCTCAGGCCGGGCAGGTATGCAACCCATCTGCGAGACGGGGAAACATCACGTTTGGGGGGAAAAAAACCACTTACTACCTCAGCAAAAAGCAACAAACATGGCATCCATGCTGTGAGCTGTAAGCCGCAGCATGTGTGAACCCCAGAACCTCACCTAGCGCGTCGCGACTCTTCGTTCTTCGTTCTTCCAAATCTCGCTCAAACGGGCGCGTTGAAGCGAAATATCGAACCAACAACAAAAAAGCACGACGTTGGTCCGTAAGACCCGTAGGCGTAAATCGAAAAGGCGGGAACGGCCATTGCAACCACGATGTGATCGGCAGGATCACCCCTTCTTTGTGGCTTACAGGATCCGCATCCCCGCCCGTTCTGCATCGCCCTCATCCCTGTCTGAATGGAACTGTCATCTACTACACAGTCCAAATGTTAGCACTTGATGTCGTCTGTCGCCTGGTTAAGCGCTCAGCAGCATCTTTCACTAACAGTCCACTTCAGCCTAGAATCCCCCCGACGGCCCACCCAATAGCCAAGCTTGTGGCTCAGCTCGCGCCTTTCGCTTCAACTCGCTAGACTCCTCGCCTCGCGAAACACCACTCTTTCGTCCTTCGCATGGCCCCCATTCATCCCGCGTCTCGCTCATCACTATTCGTCGCCTGAAGTGCTCCGGAAGTTAATTGTCACCATTCGGCCCTGGGAGATTCGACACATCATCATCAAGAATAACAAAACGCAACCAACAACCAAATCACGTCCCCGTCCCCGACTTTCCTGTCCCGCGCCGCATCAACACATGCCTCTCTGACAACCTACGCCGCATCAACTTTACAACAAACATTTTAGATGCATCCAAGGTGAAACCTCACACCGCCTCAGCTGCCTAGAACGAGATGCCCAACAAGCTTCCGGACATCTATCTCTTTGGCGGCTCATCACCGCTTAGCCGTCTCATTCCGGCCTTTCTGATCGCCGGTACGCCCCCGGCCGCCGTTCGGCCTCCTCTCGGATGCTACGGCAGCAGCCGTGCAATGTCTCCAGTGACCCCTCTCTTACTGGATGCTACAATGTCAGCATTGTGTTTGCCTGCAGTCATCATCCATTTCTCAACGGAGACTAACCACTGCTTTTCCGAACGCTGGACCTCACTCAAGTCGCGATGTGACAAGCAAATCCAAACAAACCAATGGATGACTTCAAGACTCCAACCTCTGTTGATTGAGCAGCTCTGCCATATGTACAGACACCGGCTTTGAATTCAAAGCTCGCAAACGGTCGACTGCATATGCAATTTGGTTGCCCCAACCCCCTTACCAAATGAATGGACGGCAAGCGCCATTACCCAAAATGCCTTCATAACAATGCTTCAAAGAAAGGAATGCTCTCATTACATACAAGTAGCCCGAATCGAAACCAAGCAAGCGCATCACGTTATCCATTATACCGTTTTTTTGACAAAGCCCACCTTCTAGTCTCTACTTCATAGCCAAAAGAGAGCAGTGGCAGCCACAAGCGCGGCAAAGGCGCTGGCACCGAATGAGGATTCACGGCGGAAGCCCTCACTTGTTGACCCGGAGCTGCCACTGGAGCCACTGTTGCAGTCTTGCGAGAAGCCACTGTTGCCACAACCGCTGCTGCTGCCGGAACCGGAGCCGGATGAATCACCGGAGCCTGAGCCAGAAGATCCGGAGCCGGAGGAGCTGCTACCACTGTCGCTGTGGTCATTGCCCGTGCCAGAGCTGCTTCCACCCGGAATCGTGGCTGCTGATGCGGTAGGCTGCGCCGCGGTGCCGGTGCCAGAAGCAGATGAGGCACCTGCGTTCATGTCGAGACCGGTGCCAAGGAAGCTCTTCAGAACGGTGTCCTTGTCGCTGTCCACAACAGTATCGTTGGTAGCCTTCATGCTGTTGTAGTAGTAACTCTTCTTGCTGTTGGTGCCGGGAGAGCTCTTGGCATTGTAGCAGTTGATCTCGACATCCTTGACCATGGCATAGAAGTATCCGTTCTTCTTGATGTCCTCGTGCTCCCAGTTGATGGGGCCTCCGGCCCAGTCGATGGTACCCTTGGCGTTGGTGTCGGCACCACCGGGCCAGATGGACAGCTGGACACGGGCGGGCGTCTGAGGGAAGTCCCACTGTTGGGCAGTCGCGTTCCATGTGTCGGAGCGCTTCTTGGTTCGGCCAACCTGACCGTCTACCATCCACTTGATTTCATCGGGAGTCCACTCAATCTCGTATGTGTGCCAGTTGTTGAACGTGTCAGAGAGGGAGATGTTGCCAGACTGGTCGTCTGTAGTGATTGTCAGCATCGAGTTCGGGTCAGGGGCCATGGCGAGTCGACTTACACTTGGGAATACCCTGGAAGTAGTAGTTGGTCTGAGACATCTCCAGGTCGGCACCGACCCATTCGTAGTCGATCTCGTCCTTCACGTCGCCGTACAAGATGAAGGCTGTCACGACACCAGGACCACGCGATGTCCTGATCTTTGCGGAGACACTACCGTACCATAGGTAGGTAGAAGAGGCAAGGACAGTTCCGACGCTCTTAGCGGGCATCGTGAGGAGAACGGCCTCCTTGTTGTACAGCGCGGGCTCACCTTGGGAAACCCAGTCGGCCTTGCTCGAGTCACCGTAGTACTTGCTGATATCAACGATCTTGTCTAGCGAGTTCATGGACATCTTCTTGTCCTGGCAGACGGGGGCGGGAACGCAGGCGTCGAGAGAAAAGGACATTCGGGGATCACAACCGCCGAGGCAGAAGGCACCAGTACCGCATTGGCCATATTCTGCGATGGTCAGACTCGAGTGTTTTGGGGCATTAGAGATGATGATCATAACTTACGGGAGCAGCATGGTGCGCTCTCGGGGCACTTCTGGGTGAGGGAGCACGAGGGGGGCGTCTGGGCGAGAACGGTAGAAGCACCGAGGAGGGCAAGGCCCATGGGAAGAACCGACAACATGTTGGAGTGAAATGGGTGTGGTTCTGGGTTTGTATTACGGAGTTACAGCGGAGGAATCGAGCGAAAAATTGCTGGCGACCCGGAGGCAAGTATGCGAGAAGATGTCGATATTGGTTTTACGAATGAATTTCGAGGTTCGATGGTGACCCTGTTGGACTTTCGCCGCCCGCGGGTGACCGGTGGGATAGTGTCGGCGTGTTTACTGCCGCGGCGTGGAGGAATTCGGGTGTCTGATGACTTGTGTATCCGTCTGTGACAGGGCGGAAAGTGGTTGTACAAGGCTCGTCCGAATAACCGGGTCGAGATCGAATTCGAAATCGAAGTTGTTGATGTTCGGAGGATTAAAAAACAGAGTTTGGCTGATAATCTGGGGATCCCGGCTTCGTGATTGACTCGAGTCGGCGTGGGTTCGGGACGGAACGTGGGCGTTCGGACGACGGAGGATGGGATCAAGTTCGTCTTTTGGGGGGGGGCGCAACGAAAGTTTGCTTCTACAGGAAGGTGTAGAAGAGAGTATTAAGCGATGGTAGTATGTAGTAATTACAACGAGAAGCGCGGGTCAAGAACGAGTGAAGACCGTAGCGGACGAGATGGGTGCGTATGGAAGGGGAGAGTAGGTTGAAAGCCCAGGCCGCGAGAATTAACTTGGGGGAAGGGATGGGGAGGGCGGGAGCAGTGGGAATGCACGGGAAGTCAAACCAGGACAGGACACCAGGAGGCAAGCGCTCACTGCGCTCATTGAGGTACCTTACCTTCGGTGGTGACTGCCCGTGTTGACTGTTGGGTTCGCTGTTGCTCCTACCTTCCCTCGACTACCATTTAGCGTGCCTTGCTACGCCTTAGCACGCTTGGGAAGTAGGTAGGTAGGCACGAAGGGGCAGCTACAGTTACGCTTACCTGATTTACGCTTAACACGGATGCTGCGCCTCTTGCCTTGCTGTGTGTGTCTGTATTTGGGTGTAAATTGTACCAATGGAAGGTAACAACAACGTCCATCAATCAGCATCTCACCACCGTCAATACATCTCTTCCATCGCCATGCAGGCTGCCACGCTGTACTGCTCTCTGCTGCTCCCCCTTTCTGAACTGCTCCTTTCTCACTGATAACGATCAGACGTCGTCTCCAGTTCTTCTCAGGGTCTTTCAGTGGCACGCAAGGGAGGAATGATGGATTCTCCAGGCTTCTCCTCCTCGTCTTCCCTCGTCTCCTTCAACCTATCCGCTACAGACCAAGGGACCCGGGTGGGGCATCGAAGCCGCTCCTCACTCCCTCATTGGGACAAGCGTGGCATCATTTTGGTAGGCAAAGCCGGTTAGAGCCTGACCCTGGCCCTGACCATGTGCCTGCCCGTCTCCCTTCCAGGTTCTCGAGGGAAACCTGGAAAAAGGAAATACGGGGGGAAACAAGAACTGGAGTGCAGCTTCTCTCCTTCCATTGGTACCTCTCCGTATGGTGTCCTCGTATTGGTCCAACCGCCACCTGCCCATCTTTTCTTCTCTGTGGATCCCCCAGATCATGATTTTCTGTCCACTCACAGACCACTCTTCAAAGCCCCTTGTCCTCATTCAGGCTTAGCTCCGCATGACTTGACCAATACTTTGCTCACTTTGCTCACCAAAGTTGGAAGATCACGGCATCACTGTTCAACTCCCCCGTGTCTTCCCACCCCTGGCTCTTCCCTCGGCCATCCACTTTTTCAATTCGATTAAGTCTTGCTCTGCAGTGATTTTCGCCCCAGGTGCTCTGTGCTCCCCCGGTGCACGGGGCAAGAGCGGCATAGCGGCATGGGCGCCACGGAAAACATTCCTCTTCTCTCGATGTCGCCTGTCGCCTGTTGATCGCCGGCAATTGCTGGATGAACATGATCTGTTAGGCCATCAATGCAGCCGTGCCAGCATACCAGGTTAGCACGCACGTCAGGTAGCATGCTGGCCGTGTGTCACTGCATCCTCTGTACCTCTGTGGGCTGTATGTGGCTCTCAGAGGGCTTGCATCCTTCGTTGCACACGACCTTGACGCTTCATTGACAGGTGCTGCGTTGCGGCAGCCAAGGATCGAAGCACTAACAAGTCAACCACCCATCAAATGTCAAGATCGAATTTGGCTAGGGTCAATTTGATTATCATTGACATATCGAATCGTAAACCATTGGCTTCCAACCCGTCGAGACGCCAGAGTGAAAATGTCCCGTCAACCAGATCAGCAGACCTCAACTGCATGACGCCGTTTCTTCCACCGTTGGCACATTTCATTGTCCCGTCTCCCATTGTTTATTTACCACATTCCTCGGAACTGGGCAAGCGCCGCCACATGCCACCAGCACAAAACAAACATCAAAGTCCCATCTCTTTTCCGCCGTTTATCCGTAGACTAGTTCAACAACGGTCGCCAAAAACAAAAACAGTTGAGAAACAGCAGCATCATTGAAACTAAAGAAGACATAGAGCTAGGTACTCAAGTCTTGCAACTACCAATAGTGAATGGCGTGGTTGCCAATCATTTCCTCTCGTGGTACGCCTTTCCCGTGGGCTGTTCTTTACGCACAGCGCGCACGCATGCATGCGGCGCCGTTGACGGACGAAGACCGGCAGCGAGCCCCTGGCCTGTCGTACTCATGTGACACAAAAGAGCCCGACAGCCGCAAGATCGCGCACCTTCAGTCAGGGTTGCCCCAGGCTTTCGTCTGCTCTGCATCATGTGAGAACGCGTCTAAGGGGTCCTGATATAGGACGAACTCAAAGAGATACATTAATGCTAGCATACACTAGTGCCGGGTAATCACGTACAGAGAGTAGGTATTCGAAAGGATGAGCTCTTTCTTACATACTTTCGTACCTATAATGAGAAGAGCAACAAGTGTGAGAACGCGTAATACAAATAGCTTTGCTCCCCAGTTAGAACGGAGATGATACATAGACTTGAGATTGCTACGGATTCACCACGCGAATTCAGGACTTGTATTGTATCTTGGAGGATGACGGTCACAAAAGCCGCGTGTACATGCCATTCATAATATCCTAAACCTATCCCTCGCTTTGATTCACGCCGCTCACAGAAACAGCGTACATTGCATCCAGCGACTTAATGTTGACCGGAACTTACAAGTTGCAAGTGACACTCGAGCCTTACTGGAAACGGTGAGTAGCGCGCAAGGCTGGCAGAAGGTTTACTCAGCCGCCGAAATCCTGCGGGTAAATGGAGTTGACAGCCGTGCAGTCTCTTCAATGAAGGGTTTGATCCAAACTTTTTCGAAATTTTCGCTAATGACGAGAATACATCTATCTACCAAAGACATACTCTCGGGGTGCGCCTTTGGTGAGGCTCCAATATTGCTCTTCCTATTCTCTCTTCTTGGGCCATGTCCACCCTACTTACCTCAAGTGAAGGCATGGCAGAAGATATCCATATCGCGAACTCATCAAGTCGTCAGCCCCATCTGTTCATCGCAGCGCATGTGCGCAATGCCCACAACAATCCAAGAGTACTAGCCTAGAGGAAGACGAGCAGCACCTATCAAAGCCACTCATATAAGAATGATACTGAGCGTAGCCACAGTCAGTCCGGCTTTTTGCACCGGCTTGTATGAGCATGAAGTCATCAAGTTCAATGACATATATGTGGTCTTGTGCGGTGGCTGTTATCAATGGATTTCTGGCAAACTTACTATTCCGCAGAGATTCGACACCCTTTTGAATAATTGAGCAAAAATAACTCGACGGATAATACGAACATTCACATAGCGCAATCATGAAATGCGTTTTTAGTTCCAAGTCTTCTGCAAACAAGTAACTAGCATATCATACAGAAGTACGTTTGATAACTAAAATACCAGAAGAATAACAGTAGTCAGAGTGATAGTTTTGCCAGTCATTCTGACACCACCACACAACCTCACGAGACTATGCCTGTCGTCTACCACCTCGGCCACAATCACGACGTATACATATGTCTACAGAGCTCAGTATATCCGGCAGATTGCTCATACGTTCATGATCGAAATCAATGGTCCCTACCACATGACGCAACGTCAGGCTGATTCTACGTTGACCATGAAGACCACGACATACATTGTCCTTTTTAACACCAGTCCGGAACTTCATTTTTGGTCATCTAGATCTCAACCCAGCTCACATTCATCGTCACTTGACTTACAATGCCTCACTCAAAAATCTCAGACGGCACGTGGTCACCACAAAGTCACATCAAACATATTTCAATAGTCAATAGCCTCAATTACTCACTCATCATACAGAGTACATCTTCACCAAGTCCTCTCGCAGACCCGACGACGACAACAAAACACAAATTCTCGCACACTAAAAGGGTATAGACTCGTCATGAATCGAAACAATTTCACAATCCCGGTAACCGATTCCTTCTTCCTTCCTGCCATGACACCTTTCCCAAGCAAGCAACTTATTTTTGTGTGTGATTTGTCCCGGGACTTCCTCGACTGACGTCTTCGGCCAGTCTTGTCCACGCATCATTATATCCTCTTCTTCTCTGGCAATTAAGACATGGCATAGATGGTGGGTTCCCGTTGTCTTGTGTTGGAAACCCCCCCGCACACATCAATACCATATAGAAGGTCCTCCCGCATACGTGCGCACGCGCAGACCATCTCTCAAACGGGTATGGCAATCACCCGCCATCACTCAACTTCCTTTTCGTGTTGCGCTATGAAACTCAGAGCACATTGATAACAGGCAAGCCCCGCAAGGGCACAACCGTCGTACATGAGGGCCGGCAATCCCTATAGACACATCTTCCCCACATCCGTCACAGCCACAAGTGTTCGACCAGGGGTGACCGTGCCGGAGACGGGAAGCTGGGACACAAGGGGTAAAAAGTAATTAAAGTCCAGCCTCCAAATGAAAAACGTAGAAAAAAATTAACAAGTGCAAAGGGGGAATCGTCTTTTTTTCGAGTCCGGGTCGTTGTGATCGTCAGAACGAGAAAGAAGAAACACATTTGGTATATCCCAACGCATCGAGACACTCCCAGCGCCGTTTCGCAGTGTTGCCCATCTCCCGAGTATCCTCAGAACCGCCGATGGAGCTGAGGTTCCTCTACCGGTTGGTCGGCTTGGCGTAGAGGTCTACGAATCATTTAGTATCGTTGATGTGGATGCGGCCGTACCGACGTGATGTTGAGAGAGGGCATACCGGGAAAGTGCTCCTTGGCGTACTGTTCGCAAGCCTTGGCGGGCTTGCCGACCTTTTGCCCGATGACCTTCCACTTGTTGTTTTCGTACTCCTTGATGGCATTAAGGAGTGCTTGGCTCTGTAATTTGTCAGCAATTTTGAGGGAGAAAAGAAATACTAGGAGCGTCCGCCACGAACCTCGTCTTCCGCAAACTCTGCGTAATGCATGTCCTTGTACCAATGCTTCTTGACACTACCCTCAGTACGAGTAGGGAACGTCTACATGGTCACGTTAGTGGGCTGCTCATGACGAGAGAATGGGGTAGCAAAGATGGTACGAACCTTGGCAATCTCAGCCCAGCTGCTGCCGGCATCTCTCATCTGCTTCAGGCGAAGCTCCTCGGCCGGAGTCCAGGGGGTGTTTGTGCGGCTCTTCTTGGCCGGGGGAGGCTGGGGAGCCTGAGCGTTGGCATCTTCCGTGGCGGCAGGCTGAGCCTGGGGAGGAGGAACGGCAACGGGAGGGTTGATCTGAGGCGGCGGGATGGGGGTAGCGGTGGGCGCAACAGGAGCGGGCGGCATAGGAGGGGCGCTAGTGACCGGCGGGGCCTGTTGAGCCGGGGCCGGGGCCGGACGCTTGCGGTTTCTGGGCGCCGGCTGCGGCTGAGGCGGGGGCTGGACAGCATGCTGCTGTTGTTGCTGCTGTTGCTGTTGCTGTTGCTGCTGGTGATGCTGCTGCTGCTGGTGGTGCTGTTGCTGCTGAGGATGGGGTTGGGCCTGGGGCGGCTGAGGCGGCTGAGGCACACTCATCGGAGGCTGGACCGGAGTGGGCTGGTGATGCTGAGGTGCCGGACTCTGGTGAGGCGGCGCTCCGTACTGGAACTGTGGGTGCTGATCCCGACGAGACATGTCCTGCTGATAGGGGTGTTGAGGACTAGGATGGAGTGTTAGTAAAGTTTCATTCCGACGGGATCAACGTCGCGAATGGAGACGAGGCTCCTGAGAACAAACGGCCCCTCGCGAGAGGTCGTGTTGCCCAGGCGTGCGTGCATGCATCGACGGCGGTAGGAAAAGGGTCATGTTATTGTTGTTTGTTGTCCGTTACACCCTCTTTTGCGCCGCGGAGCAGGCCCAGTATGGCCGGGGTTGCTCAAAAGGAAAAGGTATTCCAGAGGTACATGTTCATGTACCCCTGGATCACGGGTAGGTGTCGGTACACCATACGCAGCCTCGCGGGGCGGAGGAGGATGGAAAGGGAAGGGGAGCGACCGAACGAACGAACGGGACGGGGGAGAGCAAGAGTGACTTTGGGCACAGGGACGAAAGTAGAGATCGAGGGGTACAAGGTGGATGAGGTACTTACTGCATGTCGCTAGGCTGATGGGTGGAGTTGGAGTAGATGTACTCCGGCACGGGGCCGACTTGCCACTGCTGCATGATCTAACAAGAGGTCCAAAGGTTAGTACCGTGTGTACCATGGTCGATTGATTCGTGACCCGGAAAGAAAAAATAAAATAAAAAAAACTGTCGCGCAAGAGTCATGGGCGGGGCCCGCGCTGCGCCGGGTGGTGAGGCGCGAACGCGACACGGGCGCTTTCCGCCGAGAGGGAAGAAAGAGTACATGACTGCCATCGTGTGTGGCGAAGACAACGGTGATGATAGAACCCAGCGTCCGATAGAATCCTCAACGGCGCGATGAAGACGAAAGTATGAGATGGAACATGATTGAAGTAACAGACAGGAAGAGTGAAGCAGTCGAGTGCGCGCGTAAAGCAAGGCGTTGCTTATCGGGGAGGATTCACAGACGTGCTTGCGAAGACGCGGTGAGGCAGAAAAAACTTTGACGAGAGGGCGTCGACAACATGAGCGAGCCTCGATGAGAAAGAGACGCGCGCGACAGCATCAACGCGGATGAAGCCAAGTGTATCTGTATGCGCGCGACGATTCCATGATTGAGGTACAAGTGGTGATTTGATCCTCAATCGGGACAACGGGTGAAAAGGAACATAGGAAATAGGGTGCAGGTACTTACGGGCAATGTAGTGGTAGTATTAACTCAACAACGATGCATAAACCGACGGGTTGATGGATGGGGAATATTTGGTCTCTGCTCTCTCGGGGGGTGGAAGAGAGACTTGGACCAAGCCTGAGTCGCAAAAGACAAGAAGCGGGTCACGCACACGCCCGGGGTTGGGAAGGGCTTTTTTGGGCTTTTTGGGGGGGAGGGGATGACCGATGGATGGGGAGGGATGAGGTGAAGTGACGAAGTGACGAGGTAGAAAAGGATGGGAAGGAGTGGGAGTGGGAGTGGGAGGGGGGAAGGTGGAAGGGGGGGAGGGAGGGATGGTGCGAGGTAGAGGCGAGAATAAAGGGGGACAAAGATACAAGGCGCGCGAGGCCGAGGACGTGTTTGCTTCAAGTACTCTTTTTTCTGGGGGTGGTTACTGCCGGGTTGTGTGGTGCGGCGGTGCGGCGTGCCTGCCTTGTGGTTCCAATTGACCTGGCTGGTTCGGGTCGGGTGGCAGGTGCGTTGCGTAAGGTAAGGTAAGGAAGGTAGGTACTGTGTGCGTGTTGGTCTTGGTCCAGGACTCCCGTTCAGTGTGTGCGCGCGGGCGGTGCAAATACGTGTGGTGCGGGCGACCGAAAGCGACGTACTAGACGCGACACGGAAAATCAGAGGAAAAAAAATATAAAATAAAGATAAAAAAGTGAGCACCTCAGGCGGCAGTGCAGCAATCAGCGAGGTGAGCAACGATAACGGCGGAAACCAGGTGGATCTGCGTAATGGACGGCAGGGAACGGCCGGACCTGGAGACTGGAGAGGAGAGGCTGGCAAAACCTGGAAGGCTCAGGTGGGCAAGCAGGTGAAAGGTGTAATCGTCAGATAATTGGACAGTTGCAGGAAGGTGCGCTGCTGCGGCATAGAGCGACGCGGCGCGCGGTATTCGTTGGCCGGAAGGAATGGGTGATTTCCCTTTCGGTGTGGGGAACAAAGTGCGAATGACGGCACTCCGGAAGGCAGGAAGCGGTGGAAGGCTCAAAAAATACGGAAGGTACCGAAAGTTGCGTTGCCCTTGCTCTTTCCTGGTACAAGGTAATCAGGTGAAGTAGCCCAAGTAAGGCAGACCAGGGCAGGTAGGCAAAGTGAGGTGTGTGTGGTGTATCGCGAGATAAGGTCTGGCAGGCAGGTAGTGACAAGTAGCGGCGGAGCCAGAAAGAGGTAGCGTGATGTATCCGTGGAGGATGTCGAGGTTCAGATAGACAGGCGCAGGTAGACACGAGTAGACAGGCAGCTGGAGGCAGTGCGCGAGATGTGCCGTGCGTTGCTTGTTGGTTCGCGCGTGTGAGTTGGGTGCAGCTGGTGGTCGGTGGCGGTTCCTCGGATCAAGGGTCAATCAACAACAGACGGCGATCCTAAGATGGGCGCGTATATCCGTACGGGCGGAGACAGCGAGGAGTAGGTAATGGAGAGCGAGAAGAGCAATGAAAGCTGTCTCGAACCAATTTCTGGACAGGCGATGCCGAGAGAGAGAGAGAGAGAGAGAGAGAGAGAGAGAGAGAAAGTGAGAGAAGGAGCAAAGACAGATAGGAAGCTTCGGGTATGGAGTACCTTATTGCGACGCGATTCGATATGTATGCGTGTACAATGAGGTAAGACGTAGCCAACGTCTGCAGGGAAGGCAAAGAATTAGAAAAGTGGTGGACGTTGATGAGATAGGCCCGGTGAGTGATGCGTGTGCAATGCTTTGGTGGCAAAGGTAGAAAGAGATGGAGGTGCGTGGAATTGGCGGCGCGCAAGTGAGGCAAGTGTGGTGCCGACCGCAGCTATGGCGACAGCGACAACGTCAATGACAGATGGAAAGCTCTGTGAGCGATGATGAGGTGTGAGGTGATGTGAGGTGATTGAGTACGACGGGCGACGATGGTGGAGATGTCCGTTCCCTCGCGGTTGCGGCAACGTCAAAGTGGTGTAGGTGCGGATAGATGCGCGACAATAGTATGGGCGGCGGCAGCGCGTTTGTAGCGTCGATTGCTGCTCACCTTGGGATTGTCGTTGACCTTGAAGCTCTCAGGGCTTTTCGGTCTGGGTGGGTATTCTTTGAGGTGAGGTTGAGGTGAAGCGCGTGAGGTGATGTATCCGTCAGAGTTGCGAGGTACCTGGCTGGGCGCGTAGTCGGGTACCGTGTATTCCCAGCTGTAGCTTTGTATGTAGCTGTACGGATACCTTGGTTTGCTGTAGCGGCAAGGACCTGAAGCAAAAGTGTGGAGGTGGAGCTTGAGCTGGTGCGCACCTTGAGCTGATGATGTCGGGTTGGGTATCCGTAGTGTAGTGCAGGTTGGTTTGGGAACTTGGGACTTGAGAAATGGGAGTTGGGATGCTATGGCTCGCGATGACCCAAGGATGTACCTCTGATGGAAGTAACTTCCCAGTTCTCGGTGATATTTCTGGTCGCCCTCTTTTTTTTCTGCTGGGAGAAAGTGGGTGGTGGAAGGGGTCAGGAGGGAAAATTGCTAAGGGGGAGGGGGAGGACGAGGGAACATGGAAAAGAAACGAGGGAGGCAGGCGGGGGGGAAAGGAGGGGCCACTCGACCCCATTTTAGTGGGGCCTCGGTCAGGCAGAAGGTGACGATGACACTCCGAGTATTAACCGTCTGGCTGCGCTGCGTCCACTTTTGCAGCCAAAACAGCACTGTTTGACAGGAAGACACCTTCCAATTCCCTACCTTACTGCCTCGGTCATCGACTTTCAGCCACCAGCACAGACCATCTTCCCCTCGCTCTGCATGGATCACTTTTACTTGTCACTCGACACTTCGTCATGGCTCAATGCTCAGTGGCTGCTCCGTGCCTGGTCCCTGTTCCACTTTTCCTCGTCCGCCGGGCCAGCTGTCAGTTGTTCACCTCACCTCAATCTATCAGGTCATCCATCTCAAATTCGTCACTCCAGAGGCAAGTTCCAAGCAGGTACGTACGGCAGATGAGTATTTCCTACTTTCCTTTGCTAGCGATACGATCCAATGCGACTGCGAATCACGCCCGCGTGCTGCCGCTGCTCGTATTTCGTTGTACCCAGATAGATACTTATTAGCCAGAAAGACAGCTACGCATTGGACATAGGTACCGAGTTTGTCGGTCAGATCTGACAGCTACGTGCTCGCTCACCTCGGTCCCTTCGGCCTTGCGCTCCTGCCGGTTGTCGTGCCGTGTCGTGTCGCTTGCTGCTGCGCTTTGCTTGAAGTTGATGACTGAGGTCACTGGTCACAAGCGTTTCTTCTTGCGGGGAAACCCACATCACCTCACCGCACCTCAGCTCAGCCACTTTCCTCATCCAACCTTCAACCAGGTGTGCCAAGCAAATAGCAATCCATCTGAGCCACTTTTATTTCATCCTGTTTGCCTGACTGAACGGGCAACAGGCGAGGCAGCAAGTAAGGTGCCCCAACGACTGGTTGACCATTGACGGGAGCTGGAGGGGAAACGCGAGAGGACGGGAAACAAAAGTTGAAAAGTTAATCGCATAATCTCTCAGCCTCGTCCCCTCCACCAACCTCCATCTTCAATTGAGCTTCTTGTTCTGGCAGTGTTGTTAAACGCGACCTGTACCGCATTCAAGGTCAAAGGTAAAATCAAAAGTACGTAGGTACTCGTCGCAATTGTTCTCTTGGCAGCCATTTTGAACTACATGTACTCCATGTACCGCCTGCATGGTCCAAGTACTTGATCCTCGCTTTATGTACCTCTTGTTAGTGGTATCGCTGGTGGACACCGGCCAAAACATCGGACTCTGCGCGGTACGTACAGTACCTCAATGATGCATGTACCTTTCCGCCCATCTTGAGTCTTGAGTCTCGAGCCGACTAGGTTGGCGTTTGGAAACCGGATGACATGGTTATAGCAGTGTTGAATGCATCTAAATAGCTTTGCGTGACTAGATGCCGGGTACGCAAAATCAACCTTAGTATTTCATGGCTCAGTCATTGTCTCCAATCCTTGTGATAATATCATGTCGCTACCCCTCAGCCGCCGCTTTGCCATGGTGAGTTCATCCAGACAGGTAGCATTTCTTCCATCTTCAACTTGTGATGACGCCTCCCTCTCTGTGCGTCGGACCGCTCACAGAAGTGTTCGTGGTCCAACAGTGCGCGATGCTGGTCCGTTGTCTTAGCCTTCATGTCGGAATGGGAGAGCCAGCTTGCGCTCGAGGCTCTGTCTGAAAAGACACCTGGGCGTCCATTCGAGTTTTGATGTTTTGTTTTAGGAATACCTTGGTCTGGTTGAGATCGAAAACGTTTTGCGCTAGAACATACGGTCGAGATACCATGGTGTTCAATTGAAGATCATGCAACGGGCGACTCCGCGGAAATGTTTGCCTAGCACGCCGAAGTTGCCGTACGGCGTTGGCCCTCCGATGATGCCGAGGTGCGGGGCCTGCGGCCTGGCCAGCTTTCGTAATCATTCGGGACGGGGAACGGGAGCCAGCAACTTCACGGCAGCGGACCGAAGGCCCGACTTTTCCCAGGTCACATCGGGAGAGGGTCGGTGCCGGGGTACCGGGATCTTGGAGACCGAGCTGCCTCAGAAGTGCACGGTTGCAATCGGTTCCGGGCGCTTAGGGTTCCACTTGGCCGTGGCCAGATCGGGACGGGGAGACAAGGGTGCCCGAGATACCGCGGTCCATCGCTATCACCACTCTCCACTTGCTGCTCCACGAGAGTCGCATCGTGAATGAACCCGTGTGTGCTTCTCACGATAACGAAAGAGAGATATGGAAAGGTTGATGAGGCTGACCGCCGGGCACATTCTGAGCAATTGGCCGCGTATTCCGCGCACCCACGTAAGCGGTACCCTACGCAGCTTGACCGCCAAAACAAAAGCGACGCTGCTAGTCTCCCAAGACAAGAATTGTTTCAAACACCGAAAAAAGGTGACGAAACAAGGTGGCTCGCCCGACCCTGGCAACGACCCCAGATCGCACCAGGCGTGAGGATGAGCCCCATGACCACCAAAAAAGATGAGCCCCAGGTTCATGCCAAGCTCATGTTGGATGCTGTCGTTTAGCTTCATGTTGTCGACAGGTAACCTAAAACGGCCTCATGAGCCCTGACCCGGCCACGTCTACTGCCATCCGGTCTCTCGCTTTCATGCGCGTAGGGCAATCAGACTCCGTGACGCCATCCTTTCCTTGCCAGGACGTACATGTTCGTTCCGAACATGGACAGACTTTATGCCTCCTTGGCAGGCCGCGATGAGAGACCCCAGCTATGAAACGATGTTGGTCACAGGGTTCCGGCACCAATTGTTTGAGACTCGCGGCTCTTGAGCAACATATGACTGAAGACACGTTCACCCCAACGCCTTCGCGCATGGTGGCCCTAGGCTCGGCCAAGCCGTGAATCGGTACGCTGGCCAGTGCCCCTCGCGAGCAAGTTTGTCGAGTCTGTCGATGTTTTCTCTCAAAGTGCCGCTCCAAAGTCATTGGACGATGAGGATTCATGCGAGTTGCTGAGACGGCCGACGACCAGACGATCCAACGACGATCCGTGGCGACATGAACAATTGGGAACGCACCGCCGTTGGAAATATCCGTTGCAATCTCACTTGCTTTAGAGGGCTCTTGGTTTGAAGCCCAAGGGAGGGAACGTTGCATGGGACGCCCTGATGGAAAGCAGGAGCACTGGCCCACAAGGCTGGGCCGGGCATCCTCCACGTATTTACTCGGCCGAGTAATGCGAGACACGCGGAACAAGCTGGGTATGGCGACGTTCCATTTTTCTAGGCATTTTTTCTGCACCATGTCGGACAATTACTTGAAGCCAATACGGAATCTGTGTATCTCTCTGAATGGTGATTAGTATTCTTCCCCGAATCTATTCGTCGATAAGCAGTTGTAGTATCCGACTGTCCGACAGATAGACCTGACCTATTACACTAGGGATTGGGCTTGAACGGTGTAGGCAGCGGACAGTGTCAAAGCCGGGACCTGTAATCTCGCTCTTCTTAGCCTCCGTCCTCCGTGGATCACTTGTATCCGTAGTGTACTGTTGCAGGACCGTTAGAGTGTGGGGCGGCCCCAATCCATCGGTCGAGAGATCAGACGAAAAGAGTATCGCCAAGCTTCTGTCAGGGAACCGGGCGTTACTGTTCATCTAGTCGAGTCCGGTGCGACCCCAGCACCAGGTCTGGTGGGCGGATCTTGACGCGAATCCGAACCAACCACGGGTTCGATTAATGCGGCCGTTTGTGCCTCCTCTATGACATCTCAACTCCACCAACCATACTTGCGCCCGTCGACATTTGCCTTCGGTTGATGGCCTTCCCGAAGATCATCACCGCCATCACCAGATTGGAGATGAGATGGCAGAGTGGCAGACAGGGTGCGTGACGTTTGGCGATTCCTCCTGGGAGAACCGGAGACCTTCTTGGTCTGCATTTCCCACCTGGTAGGTCTGGGTGCGGGCGCTTCTGGACTCGCGGGATGCGGGCGATCCCTTCAATACCCCAGGTATCCCGATAATGAGTCTTCCTGCTCTTTTCCCACAATGCCGGCCAAAAGTTTCCTGGCCGCTGATGATTCGGATGATGAGCATCCGCCCCGTGATATGTTGCTCCCGCGTCTTGGTCGTATGGAGGGGTAAGGCCCTTTGTTTCTGAGCCTTCTTGGCTGGATGAAGGCTCTCACATGCTGGGGGGGGGGAGACTATGGGCGATCAGGGACATCGATTGGTAGGGCCGCCAGGTTACACGCTGGAGCCTGGATGGCGGAACTTAATTGGTGCCGGGATTGACGCTCGAGAGGATCATCAATCATGGTTTATCTCCGCTCAGTATCGTGGCTTTGCTAGAGCTTGCGGGACGGGGGCCAAACGGGCGGCCGGTCGAGGTTAATTGTGCGCAACGCGCAAGAGAATGAAAAGTCCCGGAGCGGACGGCCGCAAGTCATGGTTTTGCCACGGAGAATTGGGGGCCACGAGCAGCCCGCTGCGGCGGCGGGCTGTGTTTCGATCTCCATGGCGCCGATGATGGCTCGGCTTTCTCATTTTGAGTGAAGCTGCCCAAGGAACAGCCTGTTTCTGTTAGTGCTGCGGCGGCGAGAATGTTTCTGCTCCTGTAGGATGTAAATTGCGATTTGTGAATCGTGGTGGATGGTAGAGGACGGTCTATGACTCGGTGGACCCGTCCGTCAGGTTAGGCAGCGTGCCAGTAGTCTGGTTTGACAGGCTGGTAGGGCGAAAAGGTCAGACGAATCCTATTCCTGATGAGGGTAGACGTTGGAGGGGGCCCGAGACCGAGGTTTGGCTCAGACATTTCGAACTCTGTGTGGTGTGGCTCAGCCGCCCAGACTCTCGGCCGCGACTTTTGGCGGGCGGCAGTAGCAGAATGGGGTGAGGGAAGCTTAATGGACGACGATTAAAGGGCCATGAACCTGAAAGAGCGCGCGTGATGAACGGGGTTAACGCCAGACGGTATCGATAGTGTATCCACACTCTGTAAGGTACTCCGTAGTGTACCGAGTTTTTGAGACTACTCCGTACGTAGTAGAGATTCGAGAGTAGTAGAGACCATTTGGGGGGGAGTGCCTGGGAGCGGAAACGCCCCGTTGGAGATGGTGGCATGGTGGCATGGTGCAAGCCAGATTCAGTTTCAGCAGAGATCTGTTAAGAAACAAATAAGGTTTCTTGCATTAGGGCCCCTCTGTTGTTTCTTGCAATCCATGTTCGTCCCGTCGGTCAGAGGAAGGGAAGGGGAGGGTGTGGATGGTCGGCTGTCTGTTCGCAGCGTGCGCCTGTCTGAGTTTTTGGGCGATGTCGTCGGGAAGAGAGGTGAGTGGTGGAAAATGGAGGAGGAAAATGGAGGGGTGACGAAGTCCCGGGTGTGGGCAGAAAGAAGGACGAAAAAAGAGGTTTGAAGGTACGTATCGTGTACAGTAAGGTGAAGCCGACAGCCACACTTTTGATCGGTACCAGTCATGGGGTGGGCGGTGTGTGTGCTGTGTGAGTGGCTCAAGGCCGCGATGGAAGTGGATGATACGGTACGTACAGCTGGAGGACTCGATGTGGGGGGATCACACCTTTTCGGTACGTACCGTAGGCCGTCAGGGGGAAAGGGCGACCAAGAGGGAAAGGGCTGAGACGTGTGTGAAATTGCGCCTGCTTGCTAGCGAGTTTCAAGGGACGTGGGCCCTGGACATGGAAATTCACCAAGAGGCAACAACGGCCTAGGATTCCCAAATGATCACGGCTTGACAAGCAAAAACGAGCAAAGTCCCCATCCTCTGGAAACTGGACCCCCCTTCTGTACTAACCCCCTGCCTCTCTGGAGATTTTTTTCTGTACGAAGGAAACCTGCCCTCTCCCTTTAATTGTGCTGTCGTTACGAAAACAGGTGAAGCGTTTTTATTGCTCTCTCCACATCTTGGCAGGAAAGTGGTGTGAGTTTCAATGTTTTGGTGCGGCTCGGCACCCACGGAAGGCGGGGGATAATGCTTTCGAATCTCAAGGAAGGGAATGTCGACAAGCCTGCCAGTGCGTGCCCTACAGGTGAATCGCGGTAGAACAAATTCATTTATTTTGTCAACTTGTCACTTGTGACTGCCGGAGAGAAAGTGACTGACTGGGGGGGGGGCCGTGAACCAAGAGAAAGAGAAAAGTATGTGTGTGAGAGGCCACGTTGGGATGCCGATGATGAAGTGCGTATCTGTAAAGGATTCTTATCCAATGTCAAGTCTTATGAATAGCATCCGTCCGTGTTTATCCGTAAGTTTCCCTCATATAAGGTACGGAGACTTTTAATGATGCCCGAATGAGGGGTGTGCTAAGTTTGGCTGCGAATGGATGGATGCGGGCAATTCAACTTGCAATGCGGTGACTGCATCCCAGTCTGGGATGGCATCGTAGTGTAGGGCAGTCAATTTAGACAAACATGCCGCTATGCCGGGTGATCCAATGACTGCCATAGCAATGTCACATATGGAGAATAGATGGACAGGCACTCTACTGTTGGTTTCTGATGAGCGAGCACTTTGCACCAAGTACGCAGTGCACCATCCATGGACCACCACGCCCTGAGAATTGTTAGTCTCAGAGCGCAGGTGCCGAGGCGGCGTCAGAGAGGGACGAACAAGAAACAGCCTCATGTTTCGATGCAGATGCCAACGCCTATGCTTCTACTTCGCACATTACAAGGACACCGGACACCAGAAACCAGACACCTGGGCTGGACACGCCATCACATCACATCGCTTCGACAAGGTCGCGCGGGGTAGGGGTGCCAGAATTGCTGATCATCAGATGGGACCATGGGAAGAGTCTATTCGTGCGAATACAGTCGTCAGCCGTGTCATGGTCCAGGGCGACGAAGCCAAGAATATGTCTCTTACTCAAAGTTTCTTAACTGAAAGTGAATATCCGTCAGGATACTCGGTGGCCCAGACAGGACGGCGCCTTTGTTGAAGCCTTGAAGGGGAGAGCCCTGACATCAAACCAAACAGCCGGGTTGGCATCTGGGCCTGTCGAATCGTCGATACCCTAAGGTACCATATGGTAGTAGCGGCTCTGGCGCAACTGTTCCCATTGAGGAGGCTCTTACACGGCAAGCCGCAACGGGGCCTAGTGGGAGACGACGACGTGGGACGAGGTCAAGGAGGCTCGAGCCTCAAGCCTCGAGAATTGACTGACTGACTGTAATAATGGTGTATCCATACTGCGTACGGAGACACCATAGAGAAGAGATTCACTCACTGTGAACAAAAGGACGGGTACAGTAGACAGGGGTGTTCGGCCCCGCCGCACCGGTGGTTCGCAATGAGGTGGAAACTGCGGATGGGTCGTGAGGTGGGGCTCACTTGCCTCGGGACCCGATACGTATCGACGCTACAAGTACGTAGAGCTACGTACCCGTCACGGTTGCGAGGCTGACCAGGGTAATGGCGGTTTCTGTTCCTGACTTGACCCAATACGGACTAGCAGCCTCATAGCGTGCCTTGCCCTTCTGTGCGTGCAACTCGCAAGGAAGGCTCAGGGGCTGCCGCGAAAACGGGCCAATGGCAGTCACAGGCGCGCCTCTGTAACACGTACCGTCCATCGCTTGACCCCGCCGTCAAACGTCAGACAGACATCCTCACACAACCTTCAGACACAGGGTCACGATCCTGTCACGACGACGACGACGACAACGACGACGACCACTGCCCGCAAGTTGCAACAACCTGAACAACACCAGCGGCAGCATCAACACCACCGCTCGCCGCCCTTTACTAGTGTACCAGTTCCAGCTCCTCACCAAAACGGCACTTGAGTCTCGAGGTACCATCCCGAGTACACCGGCTATGCCACGACGGCCGGCGGTTGCGATGACCATGCCGCAATGCAGCCTGCGCGTCCTCTCCTCATCCTTCTGCACATCGTGACCTACCGTACGGATACGCAATACGCAGTTAAGGTCCTGTACTGCACACCGCACCGTCCGCACCTCACCGCACCGCACGTACAATACTTCGTACACGCGCGCTATACCATACGAGACCGAGACGAAGAAAAACAACCTGCTCAGTACCCCGTTTCCCTCTTAATTGGGCATATGCCGCGAATGTATGCCTCGCGTACCCGCAGAGCCCCTGCTTCTCCCCCTCTGCCTTGTCCAGCCTACGGATACTGCTCAACAACTACCTGTTCGAATCCCACGAATACCTCGCTATCGTTGTTCCAAGAATCCCCTCTGCAAGTGCGAGACTGCAACCTTACGCAGAGCCCCAAAACGCTACAGCCATTCCCCTTCCTATGCTTCCCCTCCCTCATCCTCGCCAATGCCTCCGCGAGATCGACAGCGAGCAGACGTATGCTTATCGCGACTTGAGACTAGATGTCGACCACAAATAGTAACACCCTCTTCCTTGTTGCGAGCCACCCGACCCAGCGTGACGGTGTCAACTTTGTCGAGGTCTCGGGAGGGATCAATGGTTTGTTTTCTGAGTCAAGTTACCTTACTTTTCAAAACAGCCTTCGGCGATGCCATGCCACGCCATCCCAAGCCCCATACTATGCGGCGCTCTGCCACGCGCGCAACACGAGTATCCATCCTTACCTTCAACAGTAATACCATACTCCGTAGAAAGAGAAAGAGGACCGAATTCTCTAAAGTTCCTCCTCCTCATCAGTCATGAACAAGATCCACCGACCATGTGCCGTGGCCGAAACCAAAACCAGCTGGCGGGTCATCAAGATGCTTGCAACAAACTAGCCAAGTTGAGGCTCTGAACTGAATCTGCATGGAGCCCAGGCACTCACTCCCCTTGACGAAGAAGGGGAAGAAACAAATCGGAGGCACGACACCGCTCTTTTCGGTAATGGAGACGCTACGCTGCACGCATTTGGTGGCTTTCCTTTACCATGTTCCAGGTTTGCAAGAGCCTCTCTCTCCTCTTCTTCCCAATCTCTCTTGTTCTGTTTTGCTCCCCGAGTCTTCAATGAAAGCTCCATTTCTGGGGGGCCCTAGGCTTGGTCTATGCTCAATCTGCATCCGAGCCTCCGAGGCTACAGCTCGTTGCGGGCAATCATCCATTTTACTTTGGCTTGTCTATTGGCGGGCGCCACTTGAGTCTGGCTGCTCTCTTTCTCGATCCATCATGGCGGCCGGTTGAGACGCACGTTCGTCTCTCACCGGATCCATAATCTCGCACCCATGCCTGTTCCTCGTCCGTCTCCTCTTTCTGGCCCTGCCCTCGAACAAGTTACGTACAGGGGTGTGGCCAAAAAGGGTGTGGCTTGCACAAGTGTTGCCGGGCCTGGTCTTGGTTTCTCTCTCTCTGTCTCTCTTGTCTGCTGGGTCTCTCACACACACTCTTCATCTTTCCTTTTCCCCCTTCAGAAAATGGGGATGGCAGCAGGCCAGGCGGATCAGACCAAACGTTATGCTCTGCTAATTCTGTCACATCCACCCCATCTTCTCCAGGGTCTGGCTGGCTTCACTGCTGAATATCTGCAACAGGGCTAGACTTGACGGTGTGCTACCCCCTGTCCTCCATGTACCAGCGCCCGAACATGATGAGGCAATGTTTGCTATGCCTGCCCACCCGCTCTTCTCCTTTGGGCGTGTGTGTGAGTGGTGCCTTGTCTGGTACAGGGACAGATACGGTCTAATGCTGGTAGAGCTGGTCCCGTCTTGTCTCGTCTTGCCAGTTGCCAGATAGAAACTGAGAAGAGACTGGGACCCAGGGCCAACTTTGGCTGTGGCTGTAATATTACTTTATCCTCCCCCTCTCCCCCCCATCTCGAACTTTTTCCATCTTTCTGTTTACCTTCTCTACCTAACTTGGGTTTATCATCAACATCCCTTTTCTTCGTCTTCTTGAAGCGCAGTTGCGTGTCCTTCTTTTCTTCTCCCGCAGCTAGGGTTTTACTTTCCTTCATTGTCCAACTGGCTTGGCTGCACACACTCATTTGACTACGCTTCTTGAACACCACCTTTTTTGTCAATATATCTTGACCTATCCGGTTTATTCAAACAAACGAACTTCACTTCACTTCTTTGGGACCTTCCCCCTCTTGCCTATCCGTTTCCTCTCTCCTTGACGGATCTGCAGAAAGCCGACTTCGTTGTTGCGAGCTTCCGGCTGGGACACCACCTTTTTTCCAACAACAATCAACTTTTTCAAACCTTCGATTCGTTGGCAGCAAGTTTCTGCCTCTTTCTTATCAAACCCAGCTTCCAGGACACCGCGAACGACATAACGCGTGAAGATTCTCCACCGAGAGACACAAGAGTTTACCCTACTTCTGAGAGGTACAACGACGCAACATCGACTGTTCCGAAACGATTTAACGAGCAAAAATGTCTCCCACGATGCAATTGGCGCCTCATACGGCCACCTACACTCCCACTTCCGACGCCATGGATCGTCATGAATATGGAATCACCAAGAACCGCAAGGCGGCTTCAACCGGAGGAGGCAGAGCATGGAGCGAGGATGAGGTATGTTTCACAGAGTCTAGGACTGCTGCGATCCAGAGTCACATGTGAGACCACAATGTCTAACCGTACCGCAGGAAGTCTATCTCCTCCAGACTCGTCTTCAGAAGATGCCTTACAAGCACATCGCTGCTCACCTGAAGAAGACTGAGCTGGCATGCCGCCTTCACTACCATCAGCTTAGCCACGGTAGCAACCGACGCAAGCAGCGTGCCACCTCGGTCTCTTCCGGCTCTTCCACCACCCACTCACCTGTCATGCAACCGACGATGCCTTCTTCGATCCGAGAGTCGACTCCTCGTTCGGTTTCTCCCCCAGGCAGCTCAACCAGCTACGCCCCTCACTCGCCCGCCCCTATGCAACTTCCCAGCATCATGGGCCACGAGGCTTCTCCCAGGCTTCCCGCCATCCTCCCTAAGCCGGTCTGCATGACACTGCCACCTCCCACCGCCTCCCCCACCCGCGGGTATCCCACACCTCTCCCTGAGCCTCGCAGCGCGGCTCTCCCCTCCGCCTCCTTCCAGTCCATGTCCGGCAGCCTCCCCATTACGCCACCCCTGCGTTTGGAGTGCCCTCTCCCTTCTGCCCAGTCCATCGTCAGCCATCAACACGTTGACATGAACCGCCTTCAATCCGTCTACACTGCACACCGCGCCTCTTTCTGGGCCGCTGTGGCTAACGACTACGGCCCGGGCGCAAGCCCAGTTGCTTTGGAGCAGGCATGGCAGAATGGTGCATGCTGCAACCAGCAGCAGGCCAGCACACCCATTACACCCACCTCCAGCCCCGACAATCTGGATCGCGATAGCTACGAACGCCCACAAGACAAGACTCGCATCTCTGCTATTCTTGGCATTGACGCCAACCCTCGCTCTCCCCGTGAGCGCGAGTTGGTGAGACGCATGGAGGAATCAAGAGTCGGCGCCTAAGAAACTCGGCACCGACCAAGACAACACTTTGATTCTAACAGTGTATTACTTTACAACTTTGGAGTGTCTGATTCTCGCTTGAAGTTTTGCGTCTTTTTTGGTGTGCAACAAGAAGACTACAGCATCAAGCCGCAGTTTTGTTATTCGCTTCAGTTGGCTTCTCCCTTCAGGAGAAATTCGGTTTCTTTTTCTTTTGGTTTAGGCTTTTCGCCAAACCGGTTTCCCCATCTTCATCGTACACGAACACATACGGCTGGGGTGGCTGCGAACTGTTAGGGCGATATCCGGCGCAGGGAAGGGGCAGGGGTTTTGCTCAGGAGGGGAAAGGAGCCCTTTCTTCCATTTCTTCTTCATTTCTTCTTCTATCTTTCTGAGGGGAAAAACGAGGCCATCACCGAGGCATGCGAGAGGGATTGAACGCTACATTCTCGAAACGGGATGGTTGGGCACGACTGGCAGTGCGGAGGACATTTACAACATTTCTTTCATCTTCTCGGGAAGGCATTTTTCCACCCTTTGCAGAAATGAAGTGATGACTATGAACCACAAACACCTCGCAACCGTGGGGTCTTCCCGAAACAACTTGTTACGGCAGTTTTTTGTACACTAGAGCGGCCCCTGGGGTCCTGCGGGATTCATGCAGACGATGATTGCGTTGGCTTTATTTTGCTTTTTTTTCTTCTTCAAAACGGCGAATCGAGAAATCAGAGTTTTGAGAAATCTTGTTCCATCTGCAGTGATGTTTAGTGACCTAGTCCTTTTGGTTCTGAGTACTGGTGCCAAGACAGCTGCAACTGAGAGAAAGAAGCAATACGAAGAGAGGGGAGCGGGTGCGTCTGTCCAAGCGTGATGTGTTTGGACATTGTGTGAATCACTTCGATACTGATACGATGTGTCTCTCAATCCTTGTCCAGATTAGGGTAACAAGTCGTCGAGTGAAGGTTGTTGACGTTTGTCTGACAAGTGCTTTGACGATCCAAGCTGCAGTTTCTAATTGCCGATTCCAGACAAGCGCTTCGAAGATAACGTCCATACATACATGATCAAACCGTCGATAGCGTCATGTAAGAGCGATGCAAGATGCAGAAGAGGAGTTACCATCGGCAATTGTTCCCTCGCGGCAAGGTGCCGTAGGTGTTGTTGACAGTAAGATAGATACTTCACGGCACTCTCTATCCGTACCTTGGACGAAAATTGCTTACCCTTCTCTCATTGCGGGAAAATTGGAAATAGCAACAGGGCCGTGAATTGTCGCGGGTACGTACATATGGCTCGCCTTGCCTTCCGCACATTTTTCTCTGGAGTTGAAGTTGAGGTTGAGATTGAGGTACGTACTGACGCGGTCAGAGTTCCCCTTCACACCCTCTCGATCCTCCCAAACCTCATCTTCCACCACCACCACCTCCTCCACCTCCTCCTCCTCCTCCTCCTTTTCTTTGCTACACTAATATATGGCTACTTCCCTTCGACCACCCACCTACCTTATTACCTTATCATCACTCAGCCCAAACGTCCAAAGATTCCAAGGTTTCGACGGTCCGCCTTGATCAGCAAAGCTCTGCCTTTTTGACACCCTCCGAAACCTTTTTTCCTCCCAACTCTTGAAGCATAAATGGTTTTGGCCTTGTTGGAACAGACGCCAGCCAAGCATGGTCCCTGGACATGTTTCTCACACCCCCAGCAGAAGCGAGCAACGCAGAGCACGGCACGGCTTGGCTCGAGAGAGGACGGACGGACGAAGAAGGATGGTGCAGGTGAGGGGAGAGGGGGTGAAGAAGGAGGAGGCTTCGTAATGAGCTGCGCCATCCGTCTGGATTTCGAAACGAGCAGAGTTGAGCGGATAGCTCGGACGAAAAAGAGAGGAAGGTTGGCCCCTCCCCTTGAGTCTCGACGAACGCCCTTCCATTGCTGTTCTCTCTGCCTTCCAACACCGGGGCACACGTTGAAACGAGCGAGAGTAAAAGCATGACTTCATAAGTGCATCGCCAGCGTTCCCTCGCCCTCGCCGATCCAAACGCAGAGTCAAACAGAGTGTCATCCCATCCCACTGGTGAGAGGCGCCAGGGAGATGCCCCCCTCTCACCGTCCAGTGTCCGAACTTTCGCAACACGACAGGGCCTTGGCACGATTTCTGTTTCTCTAATCGAAACCCTACTAGAGCAGACGACCACGTCCCTCTCGATTGATTTCGAGATTCGGGGCTGGTGGTGGTGGTGGTGTAATGGTCGGTATTGCGTGCATATAAGCACACGCACTCATACACGTACACTTACGATTTACATGCACACTACACACAGCAAGTGTAGCAACGGGCGGGGGAAAAGAGTCAAGACGTTGCAGCGCTCTCCACGCCCAGACAAACAGGCAATCGACCGCCCAAGCCGGGGATGCAGGGAGGGTTTGCCGGAGGACCCCCACCTAGCGGAGACTCCGTCAACCACGATTATCTTCAGATGTTCTCGTGCTAAGATGTCCCGAATGCCTCGATCTCCGAACCGCGAGCCGGCTGGGCCCCGCCTCCGGGAGTCGGCCTAGTCTGAGTCCCGGCAGATCTCTCGCCCTGGAGTTTGTTCAACGTCTTGACCCAAGACAGGGTCATTGTTATAGCAACATCTCCTTTGAGAAGCATGTCACACAGGTGACTAGCGCGGTAATGGTTCGACAATTCTCCAACCTGTTCTGTACGCTATGGACAGATCTGATTCTGACTATACGTCCACGCAGCGAAATCGGCTTGAGCTCATCTCGCGGGGGCCGGGGCCGGCACCGGCATTGGGCCTCCGCCCATTGAATCCCGTCTTGTACGACAAATGCGTCTACTTTGATTGGGACGTACGTTAGGTGGGGGACAGCCCGATTTCCCATACCGCGAGTGAGAATATGCAGACTGGACGCCGCCATCAAAAGGTGGCACCATGCCTCACTCGGACACCACCACCTACAGACCAAGTCCAAGAACCAACCAAGACAAATGCATTGGGCATCCCATGAACGCTAGTGGGAGCTAAGGACACAGGACTGCGACGAGTTCCACGAGAAAGCGTGGACAGATCCGGGAGCAGCCAGAAGCTCTTGCGTATCCCACGGACTGGCGCCATCCAAACGCCTGACTGGCCGGCATCTCACTTGTCATACTTTGACGTTTTGTACGCACCTTCACTCAGTCGCAGCAATAGCCAATTGGGAGGCGTGGGGGACATACCTTTCATTGTAGAGAATGCCGGTGGTGACGATGCTTCTTTTTGGAGTTGGAACTCATTGGCGTCTCCCCTTCTCACTTCTTAGTTGGCCCCTGGCAAGCTGGTCCGGCATCGTTCAACTCCATCGCAATTCATTTTCCGATACTCTCGTCATTCGTCAATGGGTTATTTCCATCGCATTTACCCCTCATCAACACGTCCCATCCCTTCTTATTCATCCGCAAAGCCAATTGAGTGTTGCTCCACTCCTACCGCGGACTATGCCCTGATTCCCCTCCGGCGCGGCTGGGATCACCCGACCGAAAGCTGCGAGCCGCTTCGTCTCCGTCGGCAGCCCTCCCAATAAGATCGCTCGCATTAAGCAGCAATGGATTCAATGGTGTCCCGAGCGGATCCGTCCCCAAGGTTTCTGGTGGAGTACTTCACGATGTCCCTGCCGGTAGCCTATTGAGGAACAGGAAGAAAGCAACGAGCTCTGTTGGCTTTCCCCGCGCCCTTCCCACTCTGCCCGCATTGTAAATCTTAGCTGCCGTTGTCGCTACCAGGAGCTTTGCTCTCGCGCTTGAGCTACATAGTAGTAGGATGTACACAGAACACAAGTGTGTGGTGGGTGAAACAAAGTTCAAAAAGATGTTGCCGCCCCCCAGTCGCCCTTTTCCCTTCCCCGCGTCTACTGCTGCTCATTGACTCGTTTTCTCCCTTTCATGATCTTTCGTTGACAGACTTCTCTTCCTGCTCTGTCACCAATTCAATATTTCAGGTAACCTTGGCCCTCCCGACTATCGAATCCAAACGAGTCAACGCGAATTGATGAAATTATCTACTTCCAGCGAACCGAACACCCGTTTACACTGCCCACAAGTCGTCACAATGAGCGCAGACCAAGCAGGCCACGTCCCAGGTGACGCCGAAGAGACAAGCTACAAGGACAGCCACGATTACATCCAGTTCAAGGAGCACCCCATTGAAGGTCAACTCAACCGGTGGTCACACACAATCACAAGGGAACATGACTTTCCCGGTGCACAGGTACGCGAAATATTCGGTGAATCCAATCCCGCCGTCTCTTGTGACACAACAAAGTTGGGGAATGCGGGGTTGTGGCCGGTGATGCGGGGTGTCACCGCGGGGTTGTCGAAAGCACGCAGGAAGATGAAGGCTCACGATGTTGTAGGCCATGCTGTACGGCGCTGGCGTGCCGAACAAGGAGATGATGAAGAAGGCGCCGCATGTTGGTATTGCAACAGTATGGTGGGAGGGCAATCCATGCAAGTATGTCTTCCCCTTTGGAGTGGTTGTCAAGAGTTTATCGACTAACAAGGTTGTTACAGCACGCATCGTAAGCAGATTTCCCGGCTCGAAGGGAATGCCCCAAGAATGAACTACGAAAGCTGATAAGAGAACAGTGCTCGATTTCGGCAAGATTGTGAAGAAGGCTGTTGAGAAGCAGGGCATGCTCGGCTGGCAGTTCAACACCGTAGGCGTGTCAGACGCCATCACCATGGGAGGAGAAGGTAAGTTATCCTTTCCTTAACTGCAGTTTGCATACGACAAGCACTGACATAACACTTCCAGGCATGCGCTTCTCCCTCCAGACTCGCGAAATCATTGCCGATAGTATCGAATCGGTGACTTGCGCACAGCACCACGACGCCAACATCTCTATTCCGGGTTGCGATAAGAACATGCCGGGTACAATCATGGCCGCCGCGCGTCACAACCGTCCCTTTATCATGATCTACGGCGGTACCATCATGAAGGGCCACTCGGACCTCTTGGAGAAGCCCATCAATATCAGCACTTGCTACGAGGCCCGCGGTGCTTTCACATACGACCGCCTCCACGCAAAGACCAACCCGGGCACGGAAGGCCGCACCCCGTCCGATGTCCTCGACGATATTGAGCAGCACGCCTGCCCTGGAGCCGGTGCTTGCGGAGGCATGTATACGGCAAACACCATGGCGACTGCGATTGAGGCAATGGGTCTGTCTCTCCCTGGATCTTCATCATACCCAGCTCTGTCCCCAGAAAAGGCCCGCGAATGCGAGCGCGCCGCTGCCACTATCAGGATCACCATGGAGAAGGACCTCCGCCCTCGCAAGCTCATGACCCGAGCCGCCTTTGAGAACGCTCTGGTGCTCACCATGATTCTCGGCGGTTCCACCAACGGCGTACTCCACTTCCTCGCCATGGCCAACACAGCCGATGTGCCCCTGACGATTGACGACATTGACCGCACCAGCAACCGTATTCCCTTCCTGGCCGACCTTGCCCCGTCAGGAAAGTACTACATGGAGGATCTCTACAAAGTAGGCGGCACGCCCTCCGTTCTGAAGATGCTCGTCGCAGCCAACCTCATCGACGGCTCCATCATGACAGTGACGGGTCGCACCCTCGCCGAAAACGTCGCAGACTGGCCCTCGCTCGACCCAAATCAGAAGATCATCCGTCCGCTCTCGAATCCGATCAAGGCGACGGGCCACATCCGCATCCTCCGCGGAAACCTCGCTCCCGAAGGCGCCGTCGCCAAAATTACCGGCAAGGAAGGTCTCACCTTCACGGGCAAGGCCCGCGTCTTCGATAAAGAGCACGAGCTCGACGTTGCACTGTCGGCGGGCTCCATCCGCCGCGAGGACGGCAACCTTGTCCTTATTGTCCGGTACGAGGGTCCCAAGGGCGGACCGGGCATGCCGGAGCAGCTCCGCGCCAGCGCGGCCATCATGGGTGCCGGGCTGGATAACGTGGCGCTCGTGACGGACGGCAGGTACAGCGGTGCGTCCCACGGCTTCATCATCGGCCACGTCTGTCCTGAGGCGGCTGTCGGTGGGCCGCTTGCGCTCGTGAAAAATGGAGATACGGTCACGATTAACGGCGAGACGAATCGCATCGACGCTGTTGATGTTGACGAGGCGGAGATGGAGAGGCGGAAGAAGGAGTGGAAGGCTCCCTTGCCGCATGTGAGGAGAGGTGCTCTGGGCAAGTATGCGAGGTTGGTGGGTGATGCCAGTCATGGAGCCGTCACGGACGCGGCGGATCCGTCGTGGTAGATGTAGACACGTCTTTGGTATAGACTTGTAATTCGGTATAATTTGGAAGTCAACTTCTTCAGTAGTCTATCAGTTGCGAGCCCTTGCCCGGATGATCAAGTCACAGGATACCGCCGTTGACATCTCGGCTTTCTCCTTCAGGCACTGATCTTCTGTGTTCCATACTTGGGCATGCTAGACTAGCGAGGTTAGAGGTAGCTCTTGGTAGCAATAACTTCGGCGAGATGTACTGTTTGGCCTCACGTTATGGTTCTAGAAGGAGAGATTATGAAGTATCGTGACTTTGTAGCAGACTGTAATGTACTTCTAAGTTGGTTAAAATTAGATTAAGAGACATCATCCAGGACAACTTCCATTCATCTATAAGGACTTCAGTACGACTGAGCTAGCAATCAAGCATTGTTTGGTGTCTAAGTCAATACGCTGCGTCGCGGTGCCTGAAGGAGACATAACGGACAAGGGAGAGAAATGGGCTAAAGGAGACTGAGGTCTCGCTGTTGGTCTATCATAGAGCAAAGCGGACATGATACCCTGTGGAACTGACTTCAAACCAGTCCCTTTACCAAAAGTCACTGGTAGCAAGATTGACCCTTATGGAATTTCTCTGTCTCTACAGACTTCCGTCACAGGGCAGGCATCACAGCATCGGGACACTCATGTTCGGTAAACCACATGTATACCATTGGCACTGGAAAGGCTGGGGCTTTCCAGCATGCGCTTCTAACTTTGAAAGCTCTCCCGAGAACAGACGTCGATATTTCGTTGTTTATGCGTCTCATACAGCTTGGTATCCTTGTGCGCGCGCGGTAAAAAGGGACTTATCCAGCACCCTCGTTCTTCCTGCAGCATGTCTCCCCCTCTCGCTCACTATCGAGGCTGCCATTTCTTCCGCCTTCCTCTGCTTTCGACAACTTGAAAAAAGACTTGCGCAGCTCTAGGAATAACCTGAGCCAACCATTTCTGTAACTTTCCACCTCTCTATTTCATGCGTCGCGATTCCTTGTGGTGTTTGATGAAAAGGAAAAAAAAGACAACGATTATGGACAGTGGCCGAAAACTTTGAAAACCTTAACTCCCAAAGAACTCGAGCAAAGACCTGTAATGGCGATGCCGTTACACCTATGCGTGCCAACATTAATGAGACACCCTTCTGTGAAGACAAAGAGTCTGAAGTCTCCGCTTTGTCAATATACAATCCCTTTTTATGTCGTTTCCTCCGTGACTGGTGCCAGCGCTCGTCTGCTGGCTGTGGCTCGTGACATCGTATGCGTATGCGATGCATTGTTGTTGCATCTACGGGCTGGCCCATCCACCGGCAACATCGACCCATTCAGCAAGGCACGATCCCTCCTTGCCCTCGACGTCGACAATGTCTGTGTCGCAGCGGCATCTGCATCCGACACCGTTCTCCTTCTCAGCATCCCAGTTTTCCCAGTACTTATCTTCCTCGATACGCTTCTTTTCGTCGAGGGTTGTCGTCTCGAGGTAGGGCTGCCTGGGCAGCTGTCGGGCCGGCGCATTGGCAGGGCAGTGCTGGATAGTGGTGTGTCGGTATCCAAAGTCACGGAAGTAGTGGATGTCGCGAGGGGAGAGGAGGGCGCCGGCTGCCAAGGAGTGGATGGGGGCATCACCCCACTATCAAATGTTAGCTTGGCTCCTCATGGTTCTGCATCCTGCGGACTTACGCGTTCCATCCAGAAGCCTCCACTGCGGTCCATCATCTCGAAGAACTCTTCGTACTCCTTGCCGCGGAACCAATCAAGGCTAGCAATTTCGAAGTTGGACCAGAAATGGCACATGTTGTACGACTCGCCTTCCATAGCCTCGGGGTCGATGTCAGGCAGGTTGTTGCGGTTGGGGTCGGCACGCAAAACTTCTTCGGGCAGGGGGGACTGGTCGGTGACCGGCTCTTCCTTCTTCTCGACGGGGTCGACGAACATCTCCCACAAGCCTTTAGACTTGAGGCCCTTGAGGCGCTTGTAGGCGGAAGCGTATCTGAAGATGTTGGGGACAGTCTCGCGAAGTTCTTTGACAGCGATGGTGAAGCCGTAGGTCTTGTTGGCATCGATCATGGCCCAGAAAGGATCACTGTGTAGGAGTTAGCAAGTGAAACGTTGATCGATTAAAAGTGTCCAGACGTACTAGGTGATGTCGCAGAAGTACTTGATCTCGGGCTCGAGACGCCAGTACCAGTTGTACTTGGCGAGCAGCTCGTGCTTGTAGAAGAAACTGTGCCGGCGTTAGTATAGAGATAACAAGCGGTTTGCGTTTCTGGAACGTACCCAGAGTAGAAGCGGCACATGGCGTGGTAGCTCTCCAAGCCACCGTACATGACAGCGGCGTCACCCTGCTTCGCGATGCCCTCCTTGGCGACCTTGTGGTCGATCCAGTCGGGGTAACCCCACATCTCAGGACCGACCTTGCCAAACTCGACGGGTGCAGACGTGTAGTTGGTGACAACCTCCTTGAAGGTCTCGTTGAAGTCACCATCGTTCAGGAAGACGTAGGGGTAGTGGTACCAGCGGTTGAAGTGACGCTCAATGGACTTGATGGATTGAATGACACCTTCCAACTCCTGGTTGCGGGCCAGAACGACAAATGCACCGTTGGCCTTGGGTCTGCTCGTATCGGGCTCGAGACATCCGGTGACGAAGACCTTGTCGTGCTCTTCGCTGATTTTCCTGTGCACAATATCGTTAGGCTTAATCAATTGAGAGAATGAGATCAGGTGCATACCTGATAGCAGGGGGAGCGCCTGCGGGCATCAATATCCTTCCAGGCGAGCTCGGGTGTCTAACGAACAGCACGAGGATGAGGATGACGACGATCAAGGGAAAGAGGATGACGACGCCGAGAGGCACCGAGATGCTCGAGTTTCCGCGGAGTCGCAGCGGTCTTCTGAAGAAGGCAAGTCGCGAGGTCAATCTGTTCTGGCGAGCGGCCTTTGTGGTAGGCTTCTCGTCAGCGGTGGGCAGTTGCGGCGACGTCGAGGTCGCCTTTGCGGCTCGTCTAAAAAGATCCATGGCTACGGCTGCGGCGCACCGTGGCCGGCAGTTGTGTGAAGGAGGAGGTTGTGTTTGGCGGTGTCGCGGTGGAAAGATGTCGGATGAGAGATGGGATGGCTCCAAGGGTGGCGTTGAAGGATGTGTCGTCAAAGATTAGCAGGGCTGGTTGGATATGGGGTGTGTGTGGAAGGGCGATTGCGGTGCGATGCGTCGATTAATGGACCTGATTCCTTTTTCCTTTGGATGAACACGCGAACCGCGAACAAATGCAAAGCCGTATGTTATCGAAGCAGCATACACAGGCGAAAGACAAGAAAGGCTGATTGACACGTGGGTTGCGTGGGCGATGCGAATTGCGAAGGGGTGCGGTACGTGAACGAGCGGCAGGGACGAGATTTCCCTCGAGCAAGGCGTCGGGTTTGGTGGTGGTTGTGGAGTGCTGACCGAAGACGGGGGGTGAGAAGCTGAGACTGAACAGTTTTCAGACTTCGCGTCGAAGGCGGAGGAAAGACACGGCACTCGCTGATGGAGAGGGTGTGATGTGGATGCGGTAGCGGAAGCGGAAGCGGAGCGCGCGGTTGCTTTGCGAGGCCTCGCTGTTGCAATCAATGGACGGAATCGACGGTGAGACTACTACCCTCGTGGTATGTGTACGATTGTGCGTGTGGGATTGAGCCCAAAGGTTTCAATGAAGCGGAAGAAGGTTGGTTCTTCACTCCCAAGGTCACACACACACACAAAGGGCCTGACGGGTTGAGCCGATTTGGGATGTGGTCAATTGCGTCGAGCAGAGGGTCTCGTCTCGGCAGGCGACATAGGTCAGTGGCGTTCGCGAAGAAAAGAGGCGCGGGCGCTTGCGAACGCTATCGTGGATTGTCGTCGTCGTCTTCGTTCGTCAGGTCGGAGGGGAGGGAGGGTGTCAAGTTGGAGAAAGGGAAAGGTCGTTCGGCGGGATGAAGGGGGTGGGTTCGTGAGTGGGAGAGAGAAAAGGGAGTTGGAATCCGTCGGGACCAAGTACCTTAAGGAACCAACTTTTTTTTTTCGGGGGTGTGGGAAGGGGGGAAAAGCTGACAGATGTCACCCGTGGATGGCTACCTTACGGATGAGGAGAGACGTAGGAGAGTTACGGACGGGATACCTAAGGAGTGAGGTATTAGGGTGGCATTTTTTTCATGGCGATAGGGAAGCCGGGGGAGGGAAGGAGACACGGTAGGCGCCTTCCAAGTTCCATCTTCCATTTTACAGCTCAATGTGACGGCAGGCACCACGAACACGGCACCTGCCACCACGAACACGCAATCCAGTAGCGAGATAGGGACGCCGTCTCCTGTCATGCACCTCACTGGGTCCCTCATAGCCTCAATCAGAGTCCCAGTCCCCTAATCACAACAATGCCATCTTTCTTCACAGTTCACTCCATGGCTGCTCACCCCATGCTGGGCTGCCCGTGGTCTAGGACTTGTAAGTTGACGGGGATGCCAGAGACCAGACCGGACTGGACTGAATCTGGACGTGAACTGCAACGACTGCAACTCGACACAGCCAACCATAGCATAGCAAGGGGATGTAGAGTGGGGGCGAGGGGGGCTTTGGGTGGATGCGAGCAGCTCAGGGAACCTCGCGTCATTGGATAGATCGTCCCGCCAAGAAACGCGGAAAGGAGAAAGTGGACCCCCTCCTTTCGTCTGGATACCGGTAGGTACTCTGGGGTACGTACCGAGGTTCTCCCATCCTGCAATCTGGACTCTTTCCGTTTTCATCCAGCAGTCGGGCACTCACTTTTTCCTTCCATTATCAGTATCTATCTACCCGTCCTGTCCAGGGTTACAAAGTACAAAAGTACGAATACCTTATGGACTTTGAATCCCGGCATCCCAAAGGCTTAGGTAATAATCCTGCATCCTGTCAGCAAAAGTAAGTAGTGTTTAGAGGCTCAGACCTTTCTTGCCATGTTGCATTGGCTTGCATTGGATGCCATTTCCTGTAATCTGGCAATCTGGCAGCTGCTGCCCTGGAGCTTGTCAGCTCCTGTCGCCTGCGCCACACTTCCCACCTCCCGTCTGCCCAATCGCCAAGCAGACAAATCGCACACACCAACTTCCAACTTCCATCCTGTCACGAAGGACAAGTGTGGTCCCCAAGGGCCCCAATCCGATCCTGCTCCGATGGTGGCACTTTCACGCCCAATAGCAGCCAGTCTGTGCTTCTAGCGCCACAACCGCATGCGACACTGTCATCTCCGGTGCCTCTTGTCCTTATCGACTGCCCACGAGTGGCACCAGCCGCGCTACCTTACCTTATTCATGAGGTTGTATTAACAACCTAAGCGCACGCCGGAAATAATACAGATACAGCTTGGCTAGCTCCGTTGATCATTGATGAGATTGATGAAGGCCATCTATCGGTGTGGATCACCAGATAACCATGACTTCAACTCTAATCGTCCTGTGGGTTACTCACATGTTGTGCATGACTGGTGCATGGCATCCATCTCACTTCACGACTTTACGAATTGCTTATTTTGATGCCACTGACTGTTGACATGAGGTGAAGAACTGCCTTAGTACCGGTAGTACGCCCTGTCTCATTTTGCCATATAGTTACCTTATATCATCCTCCTACATTCTTCAAGTCCTTATCGAGTTATCAAATGTTGAAATGGCTGAGACAACACAAACCCCCCATACCCTGACTGACGTATGATATAGTAAACTCTAATCATCTTTGGGCTGTTGAGCCTTATTTACATCTCGATCACCAGATTCGACAATGATTCCTTTCTCTAATTCAGAACAACCTTCTCCAAATTAGCTTATGGAACTTCATAGTGTCTCAGTATCTCTCGTCTCGCATGGGAAAGATGAATCGATGACTACCCCTTTTCTTACCAGTCTGCCACTGGAGACTGCCTGGAGAAAGTTGATAGTGCCCTGCTGAGAAATACTATTCCAAGGACCCGTACTTCATAAATTACTACCTGACACCAACCTCATCCTCCATCTGAGATTCGTTGATGATCATCGAGAGCCCTCACTTCGCCTTGCTGAACATCTTCTTCTCCGTAGACCTCATCTTCACCATAATCCTCTTATACAACGGATCCTGTAAAACCGCAGGCACCAGATCCAAAAACGCCATCTGCACCGCGTGACCCCAGTACGGAATCAGCACCGCCCTCCCGCACCCGACCCGGTCCAAGATAGCATTCGCAATGACCTCAACCGAAGGCCAAAATGCCCGCGGCGTCATCAGCTCCGGTTTAGTCGCCACTGCCCCGATCCGCACGCCCATGACCTCGACATCGAACCCGTCCATCGACAGCTCCCGTGCCATGGACGTCGACATGGCACCGAGGAACGCCTTGCTCCCGCTGTAAAACGACAGCAGCGGCAGTCCGTTGTCCGAAAGCGACCCGACATTGATAATTAGCGCGGGCTCAGACGACGCAGTGAAGCGCGGAATCAGAATGGCGTTGAGCAGCGTCGGAAATAGAGCATTTATGTGCACGTTGGCTGCAATATCCTCCATGGACGACTCATCCAGTCTCCTCATGATCGGCTCCGCCGGCCCGCCGCCGACATTGTTGACAAGCACGCGTAGATTCAGATTCTCCAGCGGTGCAAGCATGACGTCCCACGGCTGATTCCCTGATCCGAGAACCCCGGCATCGCCAACCATGATGCGGAACTCCCTGTCCGGGTTCGCGAGCGCGAGGTTGTGCCGCACCTCTTCCAGCTTCACGTCGTTGCGGCCGTGGAGGACGACATTGAAGCCCCGCCGAGCGAGCTCGTTTGCGAGGCCTTTGCCTATGCCGTCGCTTGCGCCGGTGACAAGGGCCCAGGCTGGTTTGCCGTGGACGGGGACGAGGTAGCGGTCGAGTTTGGATTTGCGGAGGAAGGGGAAGAAGGGCCATGCGAGGTTGTATGCCACGGCGACGAGGGCGATGAGCCCGACTATTTGAAGGAAGCTGAGAGTGTCCATAGTAAGGTGATTAGAAGGGGGTACCAATTAGTTCCTAGCTAGCTGGCAAAAAGCACGAATGTGAACGTAAAGAGCTCAAGCTGCCTCTCATACTCACCTTGTCCCGTTCCATACTCAGCTACTTGTACGCTCGAAAGAAACGAAACACGCATGTGAATGGTCGGACCAGACGTCATCCAGTCCAAGAGGTTGTCGAATTGACTCTGCCCAACAGGGATGGTTCAACAACACCAAACGCCAGTTCTTCATGCTCCCCGCGTGGGAGTTGAACATCCGAGGGCAGCCGGCTACCAAAATCCATTAATACGGATACGCTCTACCATGCCATCTCGGAGTCAACTCGTTCCCCGATGAGCGGCTAGATGAGCGGGATCTTTCCGCAGCGCAGGCAAGATAGTCCTCTGCATGTCAGCAATGCAAGAGTTGGGCCGAACTCTGCTTCCCTTTCTTGGCCCTGTGTCTCTGGTAAGCCTATTCTTACAGACCAGAGCCTAGGCCGTTCGTTTCCGCTCAACATCGGACGGAGAATAGAGAGTGCGGAAATAAGGCCCAGCTGTTCGAGCTTGGGGGGTAGTAGTAGTATTGATACAATGTCTGTACATACAAATCGCCGGGAAGTAATGGTACATTTATTCGTCCTGTTTTTTTGTGCTCTTCCTCCACATCAACCACCGCCCTCCCCCGTCTACCAAAGGGTGTTGTCGCGGGTAACCTTCTTGGTCTCCTTGCGCGACTCCTTGTCGGCGTGCTCGATGCGCTTTCTCGCAAGCGGCACCTTGAAGTACAAAGACGGTGACTCGCCCTCCTTGAGCAAGTGGCTCAAGTAACCGCGGTGGGCGGGGTCGCGGTAGTACTCAATATCCTCACGGCTAGTGGGGTCGGGCAATCTGTAGAGGAACGTCTTCTTGCGGGCCTCGGAGAGGATGCTCTCGACGTACTCCTTGCCGACGGGCAGAGGCTTGTCGGTGTTCTGGGACTCGCCGCGGAGGAGGCGCTTGATTGACTGCTTGGTGTAGAACCTGGTGAGGATCTTGCCGCCATTGCCCTCGACGGCGTCGATGGCGGAGGCGGAGGCGCGCGAGACCATGATATCGATGGGCTGGCGGAGGTCGGTCTTGCCGCGGCCGAGGAGCTTGATGCCGTCCTTGACACTGCCGATGAGGCCCGACTCGATGATTTCCTTGACGGTGATTTGCTTCGTAGGGTCTAGGCGGCCGGCGTCGATCCATTGTTGGAGCTTGTCGAGGTTCAGTTTGGACATGACAGGAGCGCGCCTGCGTTTGAAAGTCAGCGACTGAAGATCCAGTGTATATACAAGGCTCTGGACAAGCCATTGGCGTATGATTTTCGGAAATACACCTACTTGTTGTCGAAACCCTTGGTTCCCCTTTGCACAATCAACGGTGTCTGACCACCCTGGAACCACGGCTTGACGTGACCATGCTGTCCCTGACCCTTGTGACCTCTTCCAGATGTCTTGCCCTTGCCAGCAGAGGGACCGCGACCGAGTCTGATGCGCTTGTTGTAAGCTCCCTTGTTGTCGCTCAGGCTGGCGAGGATGGAGGCATTGCGGGTGCCAATGGACAGGCCAGCGAAGAGGGAGACGAGGCTCGTGGGGTTCGTGGAGGGGCGAAGGGTGCGGCTACAGCATGTCGCAGCATGCAACGGCGATACTATCCGTGGCGGCATTGTGAGGGTGGATGTGGTGGCGGTCGTGGGCGTTGGGTGACGATGAACAGCGACAAGGCCGAGATTCCAGGTCCGGTCCTCCAAAATTTCCAATGGAGCCTCACTCTCTCGGGAAGCTGCTGCAGGTGGCCCCGTCGCGGTTCGGCGGGTTCACGCGAAGAAGAGCCGACCAAGCCACATCCAGGAAGAGTGGCTGAAGCTGGCCCAAGTGTGGCGGATAATCGAGGTGTACCCTGCATGCTTACCTAAGGCCCACTTGAAGGACATGACTTGCGTTAGGCGCCTGAAGCTTCCCTGGCGGCAGCCCAGTGCCCCTCTACGGAGCACCTTACGGAGCACGTCGACCTGCGACAAGGACTGTTTGCTCCGCAACAGCGTGGTCTCCTGGTTCAGTCCACTAGATGTCCCAGCTCTGTCCCTAGTTCAGGCACTGAGTGAGGCACAGACGGACAATTGGGATTCAGGCTCACCTCACTGTCAGTGTCGCCAGAAACAGCGTATCCTCGTCCAAGTCCCAGAGGAACTTGAGCAAGAAAGTAAGGTACCTGACCAGGTACCTGACCAGGTCCCTTCCCTCGCAGCCCACGGCCCGTCTCGACTTGTCTCAAGCTTCCAATCCTTGGCCCCAGCTCTGCCTCCAGGTTGGGTTGTGACTTTGGGAGTCAAAAAAAGTTTCAAGCTTTTTGTCTTGATTAATCTTTTTTCTGTTCAAACTTCCAATCGTGAGATCGCTCTCTGTTTCTGTACAGTTTGTTGTGCGTGTGTACGTACGCATCATCGTCAACCATTTCAGTGCTGCGTGTACATACTTAGGTACCTCACCTTCCATCGGTACCTTGCCATTGTCGCGGCCTGTCGCATCATCCACCCACTGGACCCCCCGGTCTTCCTTTCATCATCGTCTTCTGGTTCCTCGCGCTGTTGGTGTTTGCAAGGTACGGATACTCGACTCGACTGGACGCAGCTCAGCTCTCCCACACCTCTGCTGGAACCGACCTTGAGCTCTCTCGGCTCTCTGTTACTGCGATACCTTGACGTTGGCGCCAGTACCTACGCGGCAAGCTTACTCCGTCCGGACCTTTGGTCACCACGACTCGCCCGTGGACCTCTCTGCTCTCTTACCTTATCTCGTCACACTGCAACCGCCCGTATTCTCCAAAGTCCCCCGTTACGCATCAATTACGAGGCCTCTCTGCTCTGCGTCCTTCGTTGGATAGCGCACTCCTCCGACCAGCAGCCCTTCCAATCCATCCAAGGGAAGTCAATCGGCCTCTAGAGTACAGATACCACCAGCCAAACGCCAGTACTACCTCGATAACCTTGGAATTCGTTACCACCCTTCTCTCGCACCCCTCCTAATCGCAGTTGGCCGTCCAGTACATAATCGCCTACAATGTCCCTCTTCGGATCATCACCACCGGCGGATTCGCCCTCAAACACCTCTGCTGCGCCCTCGCGATCGCTGTTCGACGAAGGCTCCATGTCAAAGTCCGGCTCCAATTCGCTCTTCACCGACGACGATCTCGCCGGAGCCGAGAGCTCACCCTGGGACATGCCCACTCCGCGGAAGAAGCAGTCGCGCGCCGATGTCGTCCGCAACCTCTTATCCGCCTCCGACGTCCCCGAGCCCTACATTGAGACCTTTGACACAGTCGTGCGCGAAGATGGCACCGGAGGGCGCATCAATGCCGGTGGCATAGCCAAGCTATTCGCTGCTGCGCGCCTGGGAGCCGACCAGCAGGCGCAGATCATGTCCATGGTTGTGCCAGCTGCAGGTGGCGACATTGCTGTCGGACGCGGCGAGTTCAACGTCCTGCTGGCTCTTATTGCCCTGTCACAGGAGGGCGACCACATCAGCCTCGACACCGTCGACGAGCGACGCAGAAGTGAGTCCATTTTCTTTCTACCTCTTTTCTTTCATCACCATCATCATCACCGTTTCCCAGCACCAGCAAACATCCACTTTTGTCTTGCCCACCTTGTTATGTCATGACCTCGGCACCCTGTTCGCCGAGCTGCCCTACCCGACCCTCGCAGCTATCCCTCCTTCGTACCTTACGACCACTTATCAGTGCGCGCAATCTGTGTGGGGTTCTCTGCTAATTGCCAATACACTAATCCAGATCTCCCACTCCCCAAGCTCGCCGGCTTGACTGCTGCTCCCGTGATGCCTCCCGTCTCCGAGCTTGCTGCCAAACCTCCTCAAGCCCCTGCAACCCCCGTCCAAGATACCCCATCGCCGCCCTCACCGCCGCCGCCGCAGCCCACCACTCTGCGCCGACCTCCGATGGACTTCCCAGAGCCAGAGGACCCATGGAATTCTCCCGATGTACACAAGGGCCACGCGCACGCCATCGCCGAGTCCCCCAGTAGAACCAACGGCGCCAGTCCCCAGCGACCTGCAGCAAACGGCAATGGCAACGGCAATGGCCACTACAGCACGTCTCCGAGCACCGCCATTGCCGGTCGAACCATGTCTTCCTACACGTCTGCGGCCATCGGCTCAGAGAGGAGTTCCGGGCGGCAGGATGTAAACACCGGCACATCGCCGGGCGGTGGATGGGGCGGCTACTTCGATGGCAACCCCACGGGAGGCGGCTTCAGCGAACCACCCCAAAATAATCAGGTCACAAGTCCTTTTGGTGGTGCAAGCGGTGGACGCGACGCGAATCTCAATCCCGCGACCGTGCCCTCTCTGCGGCCTGCCGTGAGCGGTCGTTCGGGAAGTTCTGTGGAAGAGAATGTCGTTATCACGTTGATGCCGGAGAAGGAAGGACTCTTCATGTTCCAACACCACAATTACGAGGTTGCGAGCGTCCGACGGGGTAGCAAGGTCATCAGGCGGTACAGCGACTTTGTGTGGCTTTTGGACTGCCTGCACAAGCGGTATCCGTTCAGGGCTCTCCCTCTGCTGCCGCCCAAGCGTGTTGCTGGTAGGTCTCGATGCTGTTTGTTGTTTACAATGTTTACATGGTCCCCACTAACATCTATACGTTAGTCAACGGTAACCACTTCTCTAATGATGGCGCATTTATCGAGAAGCGCCGCAGAGGCCTTGGAAGGTTCCTCAATGCTCTTGTCCGGCATCCCATTCTGAGCCAGGAACAGCTCATTATCATGTTCCTTACCGTCCCGACTGTAGGCCGCTTCTAGTCTTCTCGCTCCACTGCATTTCGCTAATTGTTAGTATCAGGAACTGGCTGTATGGCGCAAGCAGGCCACCATCTCCGTCCAAGACGAATTCTCCGGACGTGCCTTGCCGCCCAACCTGGAAGACTCGTTGCCGCCCACTCTCGAGGCCATGTTTGATAAGACGCGCTCCGGCATCAGACGCTCAGCCGAGCTGTACATTAACATCTGCAACGTCATGGATCGTCTGGTGAAGCGCAGCGAGGGAGTTGCGGCGGACCATGCTCGTATTGCCATGTCTCTGACCTCCCTCACCGAAACGAGTGCCGACACATACGCCAGCGACACCAACGATGTGCCTCTGCTAAATGATGGCCTGACGTCCATGAGCAGACACTTGAGAACGTGCCAGACACTTTTGGAAGATGAGAGCAAGGCCTGGGAAGAGGGTGTGTTGGAGGATCTCAAGCGCCAACGAGATGCTCTCGTGAGCATCCGTGACTTGTTCGATCGCAGGGAACGTTTGGACAAGGACAATATTCCCTACCTTGAGCGAAGGATCCAGACAAATGAGACCAAGTTGGCCAGTCTCCGCAGCAAACCCGATGGCATGGTCAAGCCTGGTGAGATTGAGAAGGTGGTTGAGTCCATTCTCAAGGTATGTTGGACGCGTTCCTCTCGCTCGTTACAGTACTGATAATAGTTACAGGACAAGGAGTCCATCGTCAACCAACACAACCGATCCATCTTTGTCAAGGAGTGCATCCGTGACGAGCTCATCTACTTCCAGACCACCCAGTTCCACGTCTCGCGTTGGAACCAAGACTGGGCTCAGGAGCGCGTCAAGTACTCCGAAATGCTGGCCGACAACTGGCGCCGTCTTCTCGATGAGCTTGACGGCATGCCCCTCGGCGACTAATTACCTTTACTCCGTACTTTACCCTTTCTATGAACGCATCGGCTTTGCATATGAGCGTCTCTTCACTACTGGCGTTCCGGTCTTTCCTCTTCATCCGCCGGGATTATTTCGACTCTTGCGTTGGACTGTGTCAGCGACAGTCTACCTCAGTCTTGTACGAATTTGTGTCCGATGGTCCTTGATTTTTTTTTCTGAGCGCGATATCTCACAAGTCAGAATGTACATCTTAGAGCAGGGACCCGTTGCCGAATACCCTTTGGTTACGCAAGTTGCTTTTAATACATTGTTCTTAATCTCTATCTCATCATCTGCTCTTGCATCCTTTGGCCTTTACCCGGTAGCTTTCGAGGCCTTGACTTGATGAACATGCCATCGTCATCGTCATCGTCGTCATCGTCGTCGTCGTCCAGCTCGAATCTTTCGCCAATATACGCTGCCATCAGATTAAGCAAGTATCTCACGGCTCAGGTCAGACTTCAATCCACATTCCTGATATCATTTCAATGACAGTTCTCATGGCAGATGAGACCTCAACTTCATGAACTATCATTGGTCGTCTCTACAAAGTCGACGAGATTAACATGCTCGTCATCTGAGGTACGTACAGTATCTGGCAAGGAAACCTTCGAAAGGATGCTCAGCAAGCATCAAGTCCTTTAGACCAGGTGCTCATGCACTTCTCCCTATCAATCCAATTAATGGCCTCATGTCAGATGAGACCAAGCTCCTCATCCAAGCGAAAGCTCTGTCCATTAATGAGATCACAGACGCCATCTACCAGATAGAGCCCCATCGTCGGAAGCTCTCGAGTCATTGAGATGCCTTTCCGAAACCAGAAAGGCCCATATCGAGTGGCTTCACCTTAGGTGTCCATATGCGATGCCCATATATGCCACATGATGATAAACTTGGCTCTTATGTGCCATGAAATGCCCGGCTCTCGAGCCAAAAGATGATTTCCTCGGTCCTTGATCCGTAGTCGGCGTCAGCGGAAAGAATATAACCCATCATGCAGAACTTTCTGTTCATCGAGGCTTCTCTTCAATGGGTACCTACCTTCGTCGAGCTTTCTGTCTCTAGTGAGCTATCACTGATCTATCGATGAGACATCACCATAAACAAGTTTAGCGATTGGATATGGCGAAAGCCTTACATGGAATGACGTATCACTCAGTCAATCCTCGGGGCTTCTAGTTTCTTTTCCTCTTTGCTTCATCCCTCAAAGGAGCACTATTGTGCTCTGATCGTGCCCCTGGGTCATACATCGCATGTACCCTCCACCGTTCCCCATCACCACTTGATGTGAAGAGCCCCCATCCCCGTCCTCAGGCATATTATGGCTCGACAGCCACGGGACAAAACCGAGTCATCGTGAAAATCTCATGAGCTCCGTAATAACACAAGCCCTAGAATGCCGTCAACAAGCGGATACCGCCACGATGGGAATTCACGTCCAGAAATCCTTTCAGTTGACGAGACTTTTTAGATTTTCTCTTCTTTCTTCCTCCCATCCGGGCATCACCACATTCTTCCAGCCTTTTCTGGACATATCTCGACAGCCAACTATCTCCAGATTCACGATACCTACCTAGTCAACATGGATGTAAGTCCTCCCTCCCCTTGGTCCCCTATCTTGTGAGTGTTACATACTAATAATCGATTGCCAGCAGGAAAAGGGCAAGAAGGATAAGCCCATCGTCGTCTCGAGTGACGAGGGTGAGGCCGAGGAGGGCAACCCCTCGGCTCCGCCCCTCACCCCCCGAACCGCCGCGTCTGCCGGCCAGCTCCGGGTTGCCCGGCTTCTCGCCGAAGGCCCCGAGGGCTGGACTCCCGGGCGTGATCCTCCTACCCTCGCCGAGTTCGGCCTCGCCAATGCCCCTGCCCGGGTCCCTGCCGCCCCTACCGTTCCCATCGCGCCCACCTCCCGTGCGGCCAACGCCCGCGCCAGCCCGGCGGCCTCGGCAGCCTCAACAAGCTCAAGCTCCGCCGGCTCGATCGGGTCGGGAAGCTCGGCCTCTGTCGGCTCTTTCTTCGACGACGAGGACCTCCAAGGAAGAATTCGGGCGCAGGCAGGCAGTAGGAAGGACCACCGTCGCTGCAAGTTCAAGTACTACCAGCGCAGACAAAGCCGGTCCAAGTATCGGAACGTGTACCGTTGCAAGGGGTACCCCGGAAATCCCGATTGCAAGAACAAGCTCTACTGCTCCCGCGAGAGGAAGTGCTTGCATAAATCCAACTTTAAGGACAAGGACGGACGTATCAACCTCAAGAACTGCGCAAGTTGCCGCGCCGGAACTCGTACCGCCAAGATCGAGGATAAGGGCGAGCGCGAAGCCAAGAGACGCCAGCTGGCCTCCGAGTTTAACGCCGTCCCGTTCAGACGTGGTTCCGGTGCCGGTCGTAACGCCAAAGGCAAGAAGAAGCGTCTCGGCAAGAAGAACAACTCTGCCCGCAAGGGCAAGGCCACTGCCAAGTCCGGCCGCAAGGCTGCTGCGGGTGCTCGCGGCAACATGAACGGGAACGAGACTGAGTCTGACGTCGAGACGGAGGAGGAACCCCTGGATCACGTGGAACTGCCTGACGAGCGTCCCGGCTTGAGAAAGCGTCGCCGCGAGGACGAGTCTGATGATGACGACGACAACTACGGCGCCAACGGAAAGGGTGGCTTTTCAGGATTCGGTGGAGGAAATGGCGCGATCCTTGTGGCGGCTTGCTAAGGAGGTTTCTGTTCTCGTCCCAAAACGGTACGGAGGTCATACATTCAACTTCATTCGCAACTTGGTCCTCTACCGGTACTGGCAGCTCGCACATTACGACCTATCGACAGAATCACTGGCCTGGTTCGATACAACACATATACATGCAAGGCGTCTCGTTTTCTTTCTCGGTATGACAGGCTCGACATGGCTAGTGGCTCTCATTTCTTGCACAATTGAGGGGAAGTGAGCGTGGAGACTGTGTCTAGATGGGGGCGTTACTTCAGCAAGGGGTCAACCCCTAGGAGGATTACTTTGGCTTTGGAGGGCAAGGACATTGGGTTTTGGGAGACATGGGTGGTTTGCTGCTTTGTTTTTTTGAGGAGGCTCTCGCATGGATCCGTCGAGAAACGTTACTAATGACGCCCTTCACGACATTATCCGCCATGTTCTTGAGCATAGGACATCCAGTATTGGCGAGAAGACTGCATCACCTCATCGGTTGCAATCTATCTCAAGTCACATTGCGGCGCGAGGAAGAAGAGGCACTGGCGAGCATCAAATTGCCGGATTCACGAACTGGAGACGTACAGATTCGTACCCACGACTCTCTGATATCGCATACGCCTTTTCGGCTCGTTTCTCGAGAGACTATGGGCCTGGAGCTACAGTATAGGCTTGGAGGTACCTTTATTCGACTTAATTCATGACTTTTGGCTCGAAATCATCCCTCTCTAAATGTAAAAATCTTCCGAGTGACCTGCTTGAGATCTGATAATGTGTTGACTGATACCCATGAACTGAGAGATATCTGAAAGCAGAACGTACTCCAGCCTTCAGTTTTGATTTGTAACAAATTTTCTGAGACCTGTCACCTGAAATACCATTCTCACCTCGCCAAGGCTGCCATCCATATGACAGATAGCCTTCACCATGCCTGCCTACCATCCTTTCGCCCTGCAAGTGAACTACCTAGTGAACTTCTCAATGAACCTCCTGTTCACTCGGGGGCCCGCAATAAGCCCAATCGCTCACACTGCATTGAGGGCCTGCCCTAGGGCTATCATGAGCTTCACGGTCAGGTCAAGAAAGACACAAAATGCCACCTCTGACCGGCAAGCGGGGTGGTCTGCCTAAGTAAATCTGTACATGAGCTGATTTGGCCCCTTCTTCTCTTTCTTACTCTTTCCATACTCAACAACCACAAAGAGTTCTTCGATCGAGGTCGAAGAGGCTCATCACATCAACAAATCTCACGAGCAAAGAAATCAAGGGGCTTCGAGCCAAGCCACTCAGTATGGCGCCTGTAAGTTGGCCTTCTCTTTCGTTCCATCTCGATTTCTCTTATTCTCTCCTGTACTGCCACAGAGGGAATTTTTCGACCTTCAGTCTTGTGCTGGTGGTTTTGGTGCCTCTCAAGCTGTTTTCTATTGCATTACCATCACCATTAGCCCACCACTCTTCTACCCCATATTGCTTCAAAGCCCCCCCCCCCAGAAAACATGGATCTCATTCTCAGAATCATTCGTGTGCCATTGAATCAGTGGACTGATATTCGATCGAGTCACAGCGCCAGAGAAGTCAGACGAGCATTCATCACCATTGCTACATCGACAACTATCCCGAGACCCAGTATCCCAAGGGCACTCCCCGCCGTTGCCGTGGTCAGGATGCCGAGTGCGCCAGCCTCGTCTTTTGCAGCACATGTCGCAAGTGTCACGATGAGACTTGCTTCCGCCAGAACTCTTCCGGTTTCTTCGAGGCTCGTGCCTGCATCGATTGCGACAACAGGAAGAAGAAAGCGAAATTGAAGAAGGCCTCCAAGGGTGAAGATACCGCGGACCAGGCGTCTTCCAGTCACGCCTCTTCCAGCCAAGCCTTTCCCAACCAGGATGCTCTCAACCAGGACTCTCTCAACCAGGACTCTCTCAATCAGCCCTCTCAGCTTGTACGGCCGATTCATCCTCCGACTCAGCAGCAACTCTCAAGCCTTCATGCTTCCAATCCCCACCAGCAAGCTTTCGGCCATCTCCAGCCAAACTTTGGCTCCGTGTACAACCATCAGTCTCTCGGCCTTCCCCAAACTCCCACTGGACGTCATCAATCTGCCTCTGGTCCCTATCAGCAGTTTTCTGGCCCACCTCTGGCATACTTCCCGGGTTACGGCTAGCAGCCTGCCTTGTATGCCCAGGATCCTCCTGATGATGATCCGGAGCCAACTACTCACCAGACCCCTCATCAACCGTATCCGGGTCCTGGAGACGCGTAAGGCTGGCAACCAGGGGGAGGGAGCTGTTGTTGCTCTGAGACTTGACATCTTCAGCGGGTTCTCCGCCTTACTGAAGACATCGACATTACCACTTATGACGAACAACTTTGCAAATGGGGCATGTAGACATCCAAAGTCGAGATCTGGGGTCGCGCTCTAGATCTGCACAATTGCTCTCTACTCTTACGAAGGATGGAGAGAAGGTTGGGTGGTGGTTGTGCATCCGCAAGGTAAGCTCATTTCCTTCACTTCAATGCGACCTTGCCCAGGAACTAACTTATTTTCTAGAAGAGTATAGGGACAGCTGAAGAAAACGCAAGCTTGAGAGCAGCCGGGAACGTGGAGACCGGAGCTGGGAAGAGCGAGAGGCCGATGATGTAAGAAGCTTAGGTCGCCCCCGGATTCATCGTCAAATAAATGCATTCCCTTTGAATATGCCTTGCGCACCCATGACGTGGAATTCTCCAACAGTGACTAGGAAGGTGAAAAGAATTCGAACATGTGCAAATCATTCCATGAGTTGGCAACTCTTCGCGGGTTAAGCTTTGAGAATAGCATACCTTAACCACTCCACTAATTGGCTATATCGAGTCGCAGCGTGGATCGAAGAGCTCACGGCCACTTTGCAATGAGACCATTGCTGGAGTCAATGTGGTGATCAATGAGCTTAAGCCGGGCCACGTCAATCCAGTCAATTGACTCTACAAGCTGTCAGATGCTGGCTGGATCTTGGCGCGGCATGGCTGTCATCTTTGAGAAGCAATACGAGAAACTGGAGCCCGCGGTCCGCGACGCCGCATGGCCGACGCCTTCCGGGCGCCGACTCCCGCCGGCACACGGATTGCGAAGGCTTCATAGCTACTTGAAATGGCGAGACTCACGCACTCTCAACCACTTCAGCTCGACTGATGTGCTTTCTTGGGTTCATCTTCTCGTGGAAGAGAAGCCTAGTACTGGAAGGGGAGGGGGAACATCGGCACCTTTCCCGAAATCGCACAAGAGCAACCCTCGCCTAACCTCATTCTTCGATGACCACTTGACATCCCTCCGTTTTTGGTTCACCGCTGCTTCACACCATCTTCGCCCAGCTCCCGCTGCTCAACTCTCTCATTATTCTCGTATTCCACGCCCGTTTTGCATCTCTTGCACCCAAACTATAATGACGGTACCATCCCAAAGAGACCCAAAAAGCAACCCTCTTATCTCATCACAGAGATAATGGACGGCTGGGATGTGGGCGAGGCTGCCAACCAGAACGTCGAGACCCCCGGCTAGTTGCCGGTGTCGCGCATATCAATAGATAATGCACCGCGATATGGGTATGTGGGATGTGGGATGCGGTAGAATGCCAGCAGAGCAGATCGCTGAGACTAATGGCCCATGGAAAACCTAGACCACAGCGTTGGATATCAGATACCTATATCAATCGCCCCGGGTCACTAGTCCCGCAGGGCGCGCGCCATCGCGGGGCAACTTTTTCCTGACTTCAGCATATCATCGCGAATGGGGAATCTTCTCGGCAGCTCGGCACCGCCAACGATGGGTTCGTATCCCAACCGAGAGTTGCGTAAAGCACACACTTAGACAACGGATGGATTAGGATGTGCCGTGTTTCCCGACGGATCTTACGGGGACTGGTTGCCGTAAGGGATTAATACTGGCAGTGCGACACGTTCAATAGTGACAACGACACTCCTCTCACTCTCACGGACCAAGATGCAATTCGTTTACAGCAAATGACAATCACGATCAAGCGAGGGAGGAACGCTCCGGATTTTGAGAATATGAGTCGACATTAAGGAAGAGGAATGATTTCCTGGAATATGTATCTCGCATCTATCTTCGACGGCCGTTAATGCGCTCGAATCCGATCTCGTCGAAACGCGACCGTTTTATCTACCAGGAAAAGGGAACCAAAGTATCCGGGACACCATTCGATGAGAAGGAGACAAAGAAAAAGCGCAAGAAAACCCGAGGTATTACATCCGTCCTGCATATCATATTCGCGTTTCGACCTGCCGTTCGCTCCAATGTACACCAACCGCAAACAACAGGGTCGCTACATGTATGCGCCAGAAAAAGCCCAAGTGAGTAATGAAAATCCCACTGATTGGAGGAAAAAGCAAAAAATCGTGAAAAGCATGAGGGACGAGAGGGAGTGATGACTGAAGAGTGCGCCACCGTCAGCCCAAGACAGCCGCAAACCTTGGCCGAAAGCCTTAGTTGCACCACATCTCAACACGAGTCTTGTCAAGCTGGTTCAGGACGTCAAAGTCGAGTCCTGTTTGTCTGAAAGCGACGATTATCATGTCGAAGCGCTGCTCTAGCGACCGCGCATTCCAGTCCTCGACATCCAGGCGCGCGATTTGCGGTACAGCCTCCTGCTTGACGAGAGGGTCGGCCCAGCAAACATCGACCTTGTCCGTCAGCACGAGGCTCTTTGCGAGTTCGAGACCGGGAGAGTTAGCCAGGTGCGACTGGCCCTTCTTGAAGCCCATGCCCACGACAAGGACGCTGGGCCTCAGCTTCTCGGCGCACAATGTGTCAACCGCGCGCTGAGCAATCGTCATGGGGCGAGCTCGCATCTTCTCCGTTGCATGTTGCAGGAGAGGAAACTGACTGTTCGAAAGAAGGTAGTAGGGGTTGACTGGAATGCAGTGACCACCAACGCCGAGACTGGGCATAAACGGCATATATCCGAAGGGCTTGGTCGCCGCCGCACCGGACACCTCGTACGGGTCAACGCCATGGCCCAAACAAGCATCGGCCATCTCGTTTGCGAACGCGATACACATCATACGCTGGCAATTCTCGTACAACTTGGTCATCTCAGCGACTTCGGGCCGAGACACAGGGACGACATTGTCAAACACCTGCGAGTATAGGCGAACAATGGCATTGAGCGAGCCAGGAACCATGTCATCCAAACCGGAAACAATTTTGGGAATGGCGAATGCAGGCGGCTCAACTCGGCCAGGGTCAACTCGTTCGGGCGACATTCCGGCAAAGAGGTGACGCTCCTTTGCCAGAGGCCCAAGCAGCTCTCTCGTCATACCGACTGCGACGGACGATTCGACGACAACCACCGAACCGGGGCGAGCGTATGTGGCGACGTTCTTGAGAGCAGATTTCAGAAAGGAAGCGTCAATGGTCTGGTCTGGGCGCAATAGTGTCGGAACCGAGATGAGGAAGTGCGTGGCAGCTGCCATATCGCTAGGCTTGCAAGTGAACTTGGCCTTGCTGTCTGGGCCAAATTCCTCGCCAAGACCCTGGACACGCGCCTCAGAGACATCGAAACCGAGAACGTTGAACTTGCGAGCAAAGTTGCCCACAAGGTGCTCTCCAACGTATCCGACACCGATGACGGCCACCAGAGGTTCCGCCTCAAGATCAATGGAGCTTGCAACAGTGGCAAGCTCCTCATCCGATTCGCACTCCTCCGTGGGAGGCGTGATGGGGTAGTAGCCATCATGAGGAAAGTCCCATGCTTGAGGCTTGGTCTCCGGAGAGTCGAAAGGATATCCGTTGTGGCAAGTCGGAAACCGCTCCGGGGTGTCAGGAGTGAGCATCTGGGCATCCATTGCAACGGAGCGAGGATATAAACGAACGATGAGGGCTTCTGGAAAACGAGTGGTGGGGTAGGCCTGTGAAGATGAAGGAGAATATCTCTTCTGATATCTGCCTTTGGGAAAAAGTCAACTACAATGCCAAGTGTCTAAAGCTCTTGGAAAGGGCGTAGGAGTGGAAGAGAGGGGCGCACGGAATGGAAGGAAGAAAGCCCTTGTCAGAGGAAAGGAGACGTGAGTTAAAAGGACTTTCCAACTGAGGCACTGACATGATGGCCAGGCACGAGGAGGAAGGGAGAAGAGGAGACAGCCCACTCATGTTGACCCTGCCCCTGGCGTCAGCTTTCTCGAGGTTGCCCAGACCAAACCGTTGCGGCCGCCGTCCTCCATGGCAGCACCAGAGCAAAGCAATGATTGAGACATGGCATCGAAATGGGTGTTGCCGGGCCTGATCGGGATCCACGTCTGGTTTGCAGCATACGGCATAAACGCCATGGTAGTGGTGAGGCTCCCTCAAGCCAGCCCGGCGGCACGCGGCTGGAGAATAGCGACGGGGCCGTGGACAGATCAAAGTCGGGAAGCAGAACGACATGTTAGTTTCAGGTCGAGGCTAGCTCCCGAGCAGGCCAGAACTTGAAGTCAAACAGGCGACCATCAGCAATAGTTTGTCCAAAAGCAGTCCATGGCAAAGCGGCCTGAAGGTGGCTGAAGGTTCCACCCCCTCAGAGCGCAACCACAACCATAACCACGGGCGCGCTTCGGCAAGACGACGCTGCACGGAGAAAGGTACAATAGCGCAATATGGCATCAGCACAACGAGAATGGCAGAATGCTGCTCAGGCCGGGTGTGTCCAGTCTCTCATCACTCACCAGCAATATCATCGAGCGTGGAATCGCCAAGCTGGCAAGCCCGGATGCATGAGGCAGGCAAAGACACTCATCTCCCCTGTCTGCCCATCGCACTCTCGCCGAGGTGTCCTCCGACGCTTGATGTCATGCAAAACGCCCCCCGTCAACACTTGCTGAGGACCAATTTTTGGGGAAGAGGTTGCTGCGGCCTGCTCGGCTGGCCTGGAGTAGGCATGCTTTCTTGGAACTTGGACGCGGAATTTGAACATGACAATCTTTGCTGCATGGCCATATTCGGGGTTCGTAAGCGGTGGTCCAGGGTACTGCTGGATCGAGATGAATCGAAAAAGACCGGAGGTTACGCTGGGGTCACCTTCGCATCTCATGGCCGAGGGGGGTTGCTTGCTTGGCCACCGGCCTTGGGCGCGTCGATCACGCATGGCTGAGTTCTTTTCGCGGAAGAGATTTCTCGACCTCTCGACCTATCTTCTCCGGCGATATCCTAAAAAAAGGCTTGGAGGTCATCTTCGACAGAAACCTTGCGAGAGTATCGACAGGGGGTCTGCAAGAAGAGAGGAAGGGTGTATGAGCAAGCTGGAAAAGAGCCAGGATGAGGCTTGTTTGCAGAGTACGGACTGGAGGCGGCGTGCAGAAAGCTCCTTCGGTCTCCGTATTCCGTATGCACATTTCGAGGTCGACGGAAGCTACTGTCTTGGCAGCTTGGAATCGAGTCGAGAGTCGAATGAGACGACGTTATGTGTCGAAGCACAACAATAGAGAAGTAAGTACTCTGTATGCGTTGTGGAGAGGATGATTGGTGTGCGGAACGAGACAAGGAACGTTTGGTCAGCTCCCCATGGATATGCATATGAGACTAATGCATATGCATATGGGAGATGTATATGCAAGTGTCATGCAATATGCATCACGGCAGCATGGGAGCGAGGTATCCGCCCCCGCCGAATGCTTTATTGCATGTCGGAAAAATGCTGGGTGGTATTGCATGAGTGCGAAGTCCAGGGTGTCTCTCATCCCCGCTCGACTTTCTTCTTTCTTCATCTTCTCCGTTACTGCATCACCATCTTATCATTTTCCCACGCCCCCTCCATCACCACCATCACCCACCCTCCTTCATCCCCTCGTCCGCCCCTCCTTCATGAGCTATGTACCGGTAGGTTCTTAGCTTCGTGGGGCGCGAGCCCCCCTTCCATGGCTTTCCGGTCCGTCCTCCACGATTCCATCCCATCAACCGCCCGTTCGACACCGATCCAAGCTTACAAGCCACAAACGGCCCCTTGCACTGGGCGCCATACACGTGGTGGAGAACAACGCCAATGGACAACTAGTTTTCCCTCAGGGACGCCTCTCTTTGCCCTATCCGTTCTCTACAAAGCTCGTTCAGGAAGGGAAGAAGAAAACATGAATGCCAAGAACCCTCCTTCATCTCGTCATTCTCGGCTCGGGACCGGCGCGGCGCCTTGGGGGAAGCGCTTGTGTTGCACACGCGGCCGACCTGCCAGCGGGTTATCATTTCGGGACCCCTCAAGCCACAGCGGACGTTTGTCAACCAGCAAACAAGCAGCCTCTGGTGCGCTGAGCGATGCTATTTGCAGTCCCGTCGCCTGGGGCCAACGTATGGCTCGAGCTGATGGGTCGTAGCATGATGCTTCATTCGAACAAGCAAAGCCTTTGTCCAAAACAGGGCGCTGAGAAGTTTGGATCGACAGCCAAGTCGCACACTGTCGACCTGAGCAGCAGCATCATCAAGCATTCGGCTCGTTTCATATCACGATGGCAGTTCTTCTCGAAAGGGGTCCATAAGCGGGAATTTGCCTCTGCACTCCCATGTGGCTGTGACGGCGACGGGACGACGGCTTCGACTGTAATGCCGTCTCCTCACCGTGATCTCGCAACACTTGCCGACCTGTCTCTCGACCACCAGAAGCCCGCCGCCGCGTCCACGAACGAAGGCGCACCGCCACTGCGCGTTGCTCAGACTAGTTCTCTGTGGTTTGGAAGACTGTTTTCCAATATTCTGATCATGGGATTTGCCATCGTGCTCGGTGTGTGCCCTCAACACTAGCATGATTGGTGGGACTTCGTGCCCTCGTCTAAAGCTGACGAACCACAAGATGAGACACAAGATGAGATGGCAAAGGCCTTTGCGCTGGTGCCATCTGCACTGCAAATGCAAGATGCAATACAATTATAGAAATTCAAAGGCACCCCCAACGGATTGGGCATGGATATTGGAGCCGCAGCCTACAGCCCTGCCAGGTTGGCGCCAAGTTCTGCCAACAATGCAAAGAAGACGAGGTGCATCTCACTCTTTGTGTGAGGTTGGGGATATCATTGGCCCCAGCCATGATCGCACCGCTTCAGTCTGGCGACTGGTGCGTCCTTAGGCTTCTGATTATACGAGGAGGTTCAGCCGATGAGGCTGCCGTCTTTACTCAATCATTCGCACTTTACGACCTTGTCCGACCTGATGACATCAAAAAGTCGACAAGCGTAGGCCGGCCGATGTTCATGGAGACACCTTGTTACTGAAAAGGTTGGCCTGCGGAGAGGAGGATGCTGACAACACTAAAAGATTGGAGCAAAGCGACATTTTTCACCGCCAAGGACCAAAAGTTCTTTACCTGTTTTTTGGAGTCTGGGAGGCAGATATTGCCGACTGGAACCTCGCTGACGAGGACGCGGCACTAAGCATAGCAGTTTGTCGCCAGGTATCGGCGACTTCACCTCCCGGGATCATTACCAGAACCTCGGAGACAGCCAAGGACCGGCGCGTCCGCAGGAGGACAAGCCTGACCAGCCTTGGGGAAACACAAACCCGTCCATTCGGGTTGTCGGCTGGAAGATTCCGATCTTCGCACCAGCTTTCGTACGACGTTGAAGAGAGCAAGATGAAAGACAACATGTCCTTGTCCTCGATTTGGTCTTCAAAGTCATGCAGTGAGGCTATTCTTACGGTCAAGTTGTATTCTAGACATCGTTGTCGCAGGGCACGGAACCTGGACAAGAGAACTCCTTGAGAAAAGACCAAGACGGGTTGATGACTTCCCCGCCTCTTTGGTCTCTCGTTCTGTTATGTGCATCTTCGAACAAAGCAAAGTATTGCTCGGATAATCGAATGTGGATGATTGACAGGGGTCATCTACTCACAGCCAGGGATTCTAGACTCCTCGGGGGCATCTCGTCGCCCGCGGTCAGCCCCCCGGTTACATCCCAGCTCCTAGTATTTGATCTTCCTCTAGGTATGCCCCTGTTACTCTCACAAAGCACATCATCAATCTATCATTAGGGCACCTGCAGTGGATCTTCGGTCTGTCTGGCTGGAGGTTGGCATGCTGGCCTGACTGGGTAAGTATGTTATTGCCCAGCTTCTGCAGCTCCAAGTCTGCAAGAGCCCAATATGTCTGGTCTCACTCAGCCCATCTCATACTCAATGGGGAGAAAAATTTTCCTTTTCACCGTTAGCCTGCCAACGCACACCTTGTCTACCAGTTACCGTCCGGCTGTTGGATGGCTGACCTCGTACACGAGCAATATCTGCCGATCCCAGCCTTTAGTCGGGCACAACGGGGCCGTGATCGGGTGAAGGCTCATATGGTTCATCTCTTCAACCCCGCGAGCTTCCCGTACCTGACCCGGCTCTCACGGCTCCGCAACTCGTATGCCACCTGTCGACAGCCTATGCGTCAATGTCTGGCATGTAGTCATGCTGGGGTCACGTACGAATAGTTGGGTCCAAAGCCATGGATTCAGTCATCTGAAGGGCCGTAGGACGCAATGTCATGCTGAATATTGGAGTCTTAGCCCACGATCTGACGGAGCGCCGCCTCGTATCGAGAGGGTTGAAGGTGCCAGCCTACCTTTGCAAGTGCCGTTTCTCCCGTCTGACTCCATCCATCTTTGGCCTGAATAATGCCATTATATGCGCTTGGCCCAGCGCCATTGATCCAGCTGCCAAGTTACGCGCTCTCAGCCAGCCTACTCTTGCCCTCTCTGTCAATACAACCCGAAGGACTGGACTCAACACGGCGTCCTTGGCAGGTCTGTAGGAGCAATATCCATCTTCGTAGTGTAAACCCGAAGACCAGTCATTATCGTCGAGGAATCTCTCGTAAATACTGCCCTTCGCCTCCTTTGAATCGTTCCGGAACCTATTCTCCATCTTGCCCGCAGCGTCGATCGGTCGGAATCATACCCTCTTTGCCTTGCAGACTGCCTCACATTCTCTAGCCATGCATGCGCTTCTGCCTATTCTCCTCTCAGGGGCGGCCATGGCCGCCACTATAAACGCTCCCCTGAGGAAGCGCGCCGAGTGCGGGCCCGGAATCGGGTCCTGCGATCCGGGACAGTGTTGCTCAGAAGCCGGCTGGTGTGGAACGACGGCAGATTATTGCGGCGGCTCGCAATGCCAACTTGATTACAGCGACTCTTGCGATACCTTGTAAGTTAACGTCGGCCGGAGTCCTCATTATGCCGTACAGTTGCTAACCAAGCCTCGACAGCTTCCCGCCACCTGGTGCTAGCACGGAGAGTATCGCGCGGCCCCTTGTGGGCTCCGTGCCTTATGGTGTGTTCATCTGCCTATGCATCGTGGGACTGACCTAACTTGCATATCCGTCTAGGCTCAATCATCACCACTTGTGCCAACCCAGGAACCTTGGCATTGACCTACGATGATGGCCCCTACATCTACACCTCCAACCTACTCGACATCCTCGAGGCCCAGAACATCACCGCCACCTTCTTTGTCGCCGGAAACAACATTGGCAAGAACCGGATGGACAACCCCGATACGCCTTGGCCGGCCGTAATGCAAAGAATGTACGCCGCCGGCCACCATATTGCAAGCCATACATGGACCCACCGCAACCTGAACGAGGTCAACAGCACCATTCAAAGAACCGAGATCATCTACAACGAGATGGCATTCCGAAACCTATTCGGCTGGATTCCCACTTACATGCGCCCGCCGTTCCTTGAATGCGACGCCGGGTCAGGATGCCAGAACCTGCTCAAGACGCTCGGTTACCACATCATCAACGTGAATATCGACACCAAGGACTACATGTATGATTCGCCTGAAGAGATCCAGACCGCCAAGGACCGCTTCTCCAATGGTGTCTCAACAAACGCGGCAGCAAACAAGTACATCGAGTTGTCCCATGATGTGCACTATCAGACCGTGGTCAACTTGACACAGTTCATGATTGACACTGCCAAGGCGCGTGGTTATCGCCTGGTGACCGTAGGAGAGTGTCTCAATGACCCCAGAGAGAACTGGTACAGGTCAGCGGGTGGCGCCATTAGCTCCGGCGTCGCAGTCGGCACGACGAGGACGACAACGACAACCTCGGTGCCCACTTCCGTGGCCTCGACGCTCGTTTCATCGCCGCAGACCAGAGCCACGTCCAGCACAGCATTCACCAGCGTCGCAAGTCGCACATCGTCGTCAAGTGTCCCTGCTTCGACAAACGTATCACCGGACCAAACCTGTGGTGGCACCACGGGTTACACGTGCCTCAACTCAGCGTTTGGCAACTGCTGCTCCTACTATGGATTCTGGTAAGCCTCTGGACGCCTTTGACGCCATGAATGATACGGCTGACATCTTCCCCCTAACACAGCGGCTCAAGCCTTACATACTGCGGAACAGGCTGCCAATCAGGCTTTGGGTCTTGCTCCCCCCAGTCATCGACTGTGACCGAATCTTCCAATGGTCTCTGCGGAAGCCAATGGAATGCCACTTGCAAGAACTACGGCACGAAAACTTGCTGTTCTCAATATGGATACTGGTATGTTTTTTTGCACTTTCTTCTTTTCCTCTCCGTTAACCCTTGCCGTCGGGCCTGGTCCATCCGCAACAATTAGTCGCAATAAGTCGGCATGCTGATGAGAATATTACAGTGGCAACTCTGCAACGCACTGCGGAACAGGCTGCCAGTCGCTTTTCGGAACATGCAATTGATCGGGCTGTGTTGTTTAGTGCAGCATATATTGCCAGCCTGCATCTAACCTTGAGGCTGGCCGCCATACTTGCACAACATGGTCGATCCTCGGGGACCTCCCCTTCCAGCCCCGGGGAGCCCCCGTACAGATCACTTTTCTGCAATATATCGCGCAGAAGCTGACAACGAACATGAGGGGCAAACTTTGCAAACCTTGATTCACATAGTTTTGTTTTTTTCGGTCAGTCGGGCTATGGAACCGGTAGAAACGACCGTCGCGCAGTTTATCGAGAGACGCCAAGGCTGTCGGCGCGGACGCATTGCTACCTGGCTACTAGCTACCACCTACCTTTACGATCTCTACGGCCGAGAAGCTGGGATACAGCTGGGGAGGGATTTGAAGCATTTGCATTGCAGCAGAAGCGTTGGAATACAGTTAGAACGCATTGGCATGTGGACGCAAAGAGGGCTTAGAACATTTGGGGGGAGGCAAATAGTTTAATGATAACACCTAATCGAGCAGGCGAGAGGGCATGTCTCGACCTACATCGTGCGTTTGCGACATCTCAACGGCCAGTGTCGTGCTTGTTTTTTGCAATTTGAATTGTTTCTCCGGATGATGCATGTCTTGAAGCGCGACTACAACGGTTTTCTTTGTGTTCACCTTCCATATACGAGAAGCCTCCGAACGCGACGCCATGCCATGTGTAGCATCGAAGGAACGCACGCAATTATCGTGGTCCGGTCAGTCAGCTGAAATTACCAGACATTGCGATACTTTACTTGGACACCTGGCAGCAAGTAACGGGGAAACATATCCCGAATACCGGAGAAAACACCATTCACCCAAGCCCAAAAAAAAAGTTTGCTGCACTACGACGTATGACGAGCTTGGCCGAGCCCTCGGGCGATGGGTTCGAGAATACCATGTGGTGGGACCGGCTCTTCAAGGGTACTGTAAACTAGAGAGATGAAGCGAGAACTTGATTAGATGTCAGTTAGTCCCCCCTCCCCCTAGCTCACCCGCGCGGCACCCGTCTCCGAACTGCCAAGGGAAGCAATAACTACCAAGACTTTACCCGAGCTTACGTGGAGAGAAGAGATGAAGGCGAAAAAGACGCAGGTAAGCAAATAACTTGAACTTACCTGTTCTAGGTGCCATTGAGCTTAGCACACTTGTCGACGATGTGATTGCTTGAATAGGACGGGAAGGCTTGGTGCGGAATGTGAATCACGAAGGGAGGGTTACCATTGCCAGCTTACGGCCTGAATGTTTACCCGCACATCAAAAGTACGTTGAATCGAAGCAGTTTGGAAGTATCTAGTCGATGGCTGAAAGCGTGTGTCTTCCAGCCCTCCTTAATCATACAGACAGATTACGTCAAGTAGCGAGGTCTGTTCATCACTTCAGGGTGTGCTTTCTCGCCCAACCTTACGGTTCGTCAAGTCTAAGCGAGGCCTTCATCTCAGCTCCGCTGGATTGCACTGATTCAGGTGTTCGGGTCATCTAGAAAACAGCGTGATCCGCGTGAATCTATCATTCGATGTTTGGATAAAGTGGGTCTAAGATGATGATGCGCGGCCGGACTTAAACAGCCCTTGAATTTGACGGAGACGATGAGGGGTGGTCGGGGGCGAAGGGCTACGTGAAGGAGAGGGGGAAGACGGTACCGTAGCATTTCGTGGGGGAAATCGATAGTGCCATGCTGCAGCAGGTGTTCACCCAGTGATATCCAAGGTCGGGCAGTACTGAGGCAAACTTGTGTTTGTATTCGTAGAGAAGCCAAGAGGAAGGGGCATGGCAGCCAGGTCCCGTATGGGTGATGTATAGGTGCATACACGAAAGCCATTTGTGCCATTTGTGTTGCCCCGTGTCGTTGTGAGGGCTTAGGCTAGTTCTGGTGTGAGGATCAGGTCTATCCTTTGCAATGTCATTCGTGCCCCCATTGACAACCACCTGGTATGTGTCTGTGTGTGCGTGTGGCGGGCCTGTTCTCTTCGTCCTGCCCTGCCGGCCTTCTCCCTCCCCAGCGCTGTTTCTCACCTTATTTTACCTTAGAAACAACTTTACAACTTCCCCATATTTCTCCCGCACATTTCTCCCCTGGTCAGATTTTAGCAATTTTACCCTAGTTCCCCGAGGTGCCAAGAGCGCGTAACCTTGGAAAACAAGGAAGAGGCTACTGCAGGTCCTGGGATGCCGCGTGTCTAGCGCCGCGCTCAACTCTCACCGGGGGGCTGAAGTGGGGCCGCTTCCGCCGCTGATGGACCCACTAAGGCCTTCCGGGGCACCGACCGCGCAATATCGAGATAAACGGTTATATGCATAACAGAATATTCTATCCGCCGGTAATTACTCCGGTTAATGGAGGGGGCGTGTGCATCCTTCCCCCCTTCCCGTCCCCTGCGTTTTCCACCGCCGTCAACCTCACCCTCTCACAACCTTCACGAAGACGACGACAACCACACACATTCACGCAACACCCCCCTCCCGCCACCCCGTCTCCCTTCGCAATAGGCTCCTCCCCTCATACACCACCTGAATACCTAGAATTCCGCATCGTAACGATATGCAAGCCGCTTCCGCATCGCTAGGCGCCCCGCTTCCCATCTCCCACACTCTCACGATCCGCCTCGACCCCATCGTCCAGTCATACCGGGGAGGGGGCTGATGGATCATGGATGAGCTGGGGCTGGGAATCACGTACCGGCCATTCGCAACCTCAACCACGGACCATGGGCACATCCACAAGATGGTGTGATGTTGCATCAACGCCACGCTTTCTTCTTGTGCCGCTGGCTCGCCGCCAGATTCGCCATACTGCCTGGCCACCACTACACGCACACACGCACACACGCACGTACGCACGCACCACGCAAATCCCATGAGAGTTTTGGGACCTCTTTCGTACCGTCAAACCTATGCCCAGCCGGCTGGCAGCAGACTGCTCCAAAGTGAGTGTCCTGATTCTATTACTCAGGGTCTCTGACAAAACAAAGAAGCAAACGTTCTCAGCTGGTCATTCCCAAAGCAGACACGAAGGTGGACAGAAAGGGACAGGAACGAAAAGAAGGGTCTTCTTGGCCGTGTTTGACCCTCGTCTGCTTCGGCCTCGATTTTGTTTTTTTCTCTCCTCTGGGCTGGGGCGGTCGTGCCCGTGCGACTCTCAGACAAACCGTTAATGACCCAGATATTGCAGATGGCAGGCAGGTTTGGAGGTTGAGCCAAGGTTGTCGAGCTGAGTCAAACACCAGCCATTCGTCCCGTCTTTCCAGTCATCCGAAGTTCCTGACAGACGTAGGGAACCACAGGCGCAGCATTGGCTCGATCCCACAGACATTAGGCTGCTTTGCTCTTCTGCGTTCAATAAGTGCATGCCCACCTCGTCCACTAGGAGTTATCGGTCAGCGTCCGTGTATGGAGGAAATGAGACTTTAGTTCATACGCTCACGCAAACTCACGATTGTGTGCCTGACTGAAGGCGGCAGCCCTGTTCGGCGTCCTTCACTTGGTGCCCAGAATTCAAGCTTACTTGTGTGTGGAGGCATCTATATGCAAGGACAGGCACTGTACAACTTTCCTGCCCACTCGTGCAGCCCGCGAATCCATAAACACGGGCTTGGCACGCCGGGGTTGATCTGACTTGATTCGATTTACAGCTCACTGCTGCTGCAGCCAGCAACCATGAGATGTTGTTGACCCAGCTTTCTCGCCTCTTCAAATCCTTCCTTACAGCTCGTCTCTTCAAAGGGAAAGAGTGCGATAGGTAGAAGGATGTCGTCTGAATGGAGACGATGCTGGCCCCCCCAGCGAGCCGATCAAAGTCCAGCCCAACCCAGTCAGCGTTCTGTATCTGCGGCTCTTCTCTCATGCTTCCTCCCCCTCCTTTCGCCTCTCCGTGCTAGTGGTTACTCAGAAGCGAAGATCAGCCGCGAACACCACCGGAAGAGATTCATTTGCCTTGAACCCGAGCCCAAAATATCTCTCGCAGCTGCACGTTGCAACTCGCACTCTCAAGCAGCGGTGTCCTGAAGTTGAAACTGACGTGTATATTGGACAGGGGTCAGCGGAGCATCACCGCGCTAAGTTGAGGACCGATCACCACCATCGACCACCAACCCCGGTCAACGTCGCCGTTGCCCATGTCTTGCTTAACGAGCGGCTCCCGCCTTGGGGTGTAGCACTGACCATGCGTCTTTCGCTGCGCCATCTTTTGAGCGGCTCTCTCCTTTGGTGTGTGCTTGCGGGCTGTATTTCTTTTTGTTCCGAAGGTGGATGTTGCTGTTTTCTGCCATTTCCACGCCATGCCACATGTTGTCGTTGAACGCCACAGCTTTCCTCGGACGAAGCCGATGCCCTTTCGGGTGCTAGGAATCTCTGCTTGATGTGAATTGGTACACACAATACATCGACTGATGCATATCGTTGGCCCTATGCTTTGTATCCCGATCCGTATTCTGTCGATCATGGCGTTCTCGGGCTCAGGCGTACCTGCTGAATAGCAAGAACGTAGCGGCAACACCAGCAACACACAATCACAGAAGAGCTGGAAAAGCCCTATGTGAAGTGGCCGGCGTCAACTCGGGGGCGTGTAAATGACCGTCGGCCAGGCATACCGCTGTCTGTTCGTCCAAGGTCCGCTCACCTGCAGCCGCCGACGTGTGCTGCTGAACCTTTTTCGAGAACATGGGTATGGTTGTCTCATCTCCACCACCAACCACACACACATTTGGCAGCAACGGGACAGGCTTGTTCCCCTTGCTGCCTTGCCTCCCCTTGCAACATCTTTCTTCGTGATGGCACCAGATGGCGTTTGATGTACCCCCGTGGCCGGTCGAGTGGACAATCTTTGAACTTGGTCCGAATATGGTATTCTTTGCTTGCTCAGCTGACGCTAGAAGTCATGTTGCTGTCGCCATGCCAGATGTGTGTATGGATATCGTTCGGCCAAGCCCAGGAACTGCAACCAGTCAATAGTCCGTATTTGCGAGACATGATCGCACGTCGTTCCCGCCAGAAAGCAAGTCCAGTCAGTTGACGAGCAGCATGGCGGTCCATGCCTTACCCCGGCCGAGCTGCCGCCACTCTATCCGAGCCTGAGAAGAGACCTTTGATTCCGACCCAGACAGCTGGTCGGATCAACCGCCTCGTGAGGCTAGCCCCGAATGTCGAGTCCAGGTCCGGCGTCCTGATGTTACCCTCTTTTACCCCATGCTGGCCCTCTTTTTTCTCTTTTACCGTCTTCTCTCGTAGGAATAAAGATTCATCATCCACTTCTCACTTTTCACTCTCTTTCCTCCCCATCGGTAGGAAACTCTGCTCTGTTGCCTCCGGCAGTCATCACATTCGTTTTGTTGTTGGCCCGACTCCCTCCCAGGATCTTGATCAGATCCCTGACCCTCCGGCCCTTCAAACATACAGTCTTTCGCTCCTCATTGTGTGCGCTTGATACTCCTTCTCTTGTCGTTGTCGAGGTCTTTGGTTAGAATCTTTCAACCTTCATTTCCAATTCACACAATCTCAAGCCAGCCACCATGGCTCACCGTCCCGCACCGCCACCTCCTCCCATGGCGGAGAGCAGCCGCCCTCCCCTGTCTCCTCTCTCAGGAGCTACAACACCGGCTCGAAGCCAGCGAAGTCTCTCTATTCCGAGGCCACTTGGATCTCGAATCCAGTCACAGGGCTCTGTAAGTCGCATGCCTCCGTTTTGAAGGAGTGGCACATTACTGACTGGCTAGTCTGTTGTTGGCTTCACCACAGAAGACCTCCCCTTCGGCGTCCGTACACCCGGTTCCTTCGGCCACCGCTCATGGCAGTCTCGTGGCGGCGAGTCTGCTGCCTCCTTCGTATCCTCCGTCCAGACTGAAGAGGCGAAGCTGAGATGGGACTCGGACTCGGAGCTGAAACTTGTGTCCAAGTCTCTCTTGCGGTTCCAGAAATGGTGCCTGCTCATCGGCCTGTTGTGTATCAATGCCGCCCTCATTTACGTGTCTTTCACGTATCATGTCGCCCATTACTTCTTCATGGTGCTTCTCAGCTCCAACACCGTCCTCCAATTCATAATGATCGTCTTCATTCTGGGCCACTTCATCTTCAAGGGTATCTTCTTCTGCTTTCGCCGCAAAGAAAAGGTGCCAGAGACCCCTGAAAGAATGGTTATGCTTCTGCCTTGCTACAACGAGACGTTTCAGGAGCTTACTCGATCTCTGGACTCCTTGGTTGCGCAAAAGAACATTGACGACCACCCGCGCATGATCTTCATTGTCGTTGACGGCAATGTCAAGGGCGCTGGTATGGAGAAGACGACGCAAGAGTACCTTCTTGAGGATATCCTGGAGCCGGGCCCAACGCGCTTCTTCGAGAACGGCTACCGCGCTCGAGACGGTCTTTTCATGCCGACCAAGATCCAGACTGGTTACTACAAGGGCATTCCGTATGTCTTTGTCGGCAAGCGTTACAACCAGGGCAAGCGCGACAGCTTGTGCTTTGCCCGTTCGTTTTTGTACCACTTCCACAAGCGCTCCACCAACATCATGACCATGTTCAGCAATGAGCTATTCGAGCACCTCGGCAACGCGTTCGTCTCTCAGGGCCTTGAGAATGTCGAATACCTTGTTGGTATGGACGCCGATACTGTGTTTGACGAATTCTGTATCTGGGAGATGTTGAGGGAAATCCGCAAGAACCCCAAGCTCGTCGGTGTCTGTGGCCACGTCTGTGTCGACTACGATGGCAAGAACTGGGGTCTCTGGTCGCTGTACCAGTCAGTCGAGTACTCTCAAACCCAAGGTCTCCGTCGCATGTTCCAATCCCGCATCACCGGCAAGGTCAACTGTCTCCCCGGTTGCTGTCAGTTGATCAAGATTGACGAAGCCACTTTCGGCGACGAGGTCCTCCGCCAGCGATTCGGATACTGTCCCAAGCCCAACGATCTCATGACGCAGCACATCATGGGCAACTACTCCGAGGACTCCATCCACGCCAGCATCATCTTCTCGCTCTTCCCCCAGCGCCAGACCGCCCAGGCCCTGCGCGCCAAGGCCTTCACCATTGTGCCGCAAGACTGGAAAGTATTCCTATCCCAGCGCAAGCGTTGGGCTCTCGGCTCAATCTCTAACGAGTTCGTCATGATCTTCCGCCCCGGTATCATCCCCATCGAGCGTCTTCAATCCATCATTGCTGTCATGACCTGGTTCATTACACCCTTCATCATGGCTGCCGTCATCGCTTTGATCATCATTCTCTGCCGTCGCGGTGATGAGTTGGTGAGGGATCCGGTCTTCATGTCGCTGTTCGCCCTACTCTTGTTCCGATACGTAAGTCTTCTCCCTCGAAAACTCTTTCGCTTACCATATCCGATAAACTTTTGAGACAAATTCTAACGGAGTGATTTCACAGATTTACTCCTTCTGCATCGGTTTCTGGCTGCCGAGAAACATGCTCGAGCGCATGCAATACTTTGTCGGCTACTTCTTCCACCTGTGCACGTCGCCCTTCCTCAACATGATCATCTTGGGATACTCCCTCGTTTACTCGGATGACTTCAAATGGGGCAAGACCCGCGAGGTCATCAAGGGAGGCGACGACGAGAAGATGGACGCTGAAGGCGGTCGTGGCACTCTTTAAGAGCCTCGCGTCGATCCAGATCAATCCAGATTGCTGGATGATGCGCGCTGGCACTAAGGGTGTCACTATTGCCCTGGCGTCGCGGCATCCCACGCACCAAGACCGAATTGGGCGTTTCTCAGCTGACTACTTTTTGCTTGTTTTTTTCCCCTTCACACACACATTTCTTACTGTTGAATCATTCATGTGGCGTTTTGACCTTGCTTGAGGCTGAAAAATATGGGAACATTAGACTCGTCCAAGTCAGACGAATGGGAACGCGTCAGAATATGGGATCATGATTGGAGGGAAACCGGAGAAAAAGTTGATATCGCATCATCATATCTACATAGTATCTACACTCTTTTGGGAAAAGGACACACAACTGAGGCGGGCTGAATATGGGGGGAAGCGAAGGGATTCGGGGATTGGCTCACTTCATCTATGCACACACGGTACCGCCACCATCATCATCACATACCTCGACAAGAGCTGAAAGTTCGTACATATCGAAGAACTTATTGTACAGATGGGCGCGGGTGGAAGAGGAGAGGGGATGATGATGATGAGGGGCTGAGCTCTGGCCGGACCTTGATCGATTCGATTCTTCACAACTCGCTATACTTTCGTTGCCGGGGGTTTCCTCAGACGACAATTGTTTTTGGTCGCCGTTTTATTTCTTTATTCGTAATGTAATGTTTAGGTCTGGTGGCTACATGAAATGACTTATGAAGCATAGATACCTTTCCCATGAGTATCCAGAATAACAATTGAATATCGGAAATTTGCTTTGATCTTTAAATCTTCGCGTGCATCTCGACTGATCGACGCTTGGTGAAGTCGTTAGTCCACTCATCCCACCTTCTTCGATGGACCAGATCGAAGTCTAGCCAGCGCTGGCCTTTGTGGCTTGCCATGTGTCATTGAACTGATGGCATATCTCTGGTCGATAATGCGCGCTAAGGCATTTGGGCTAGAATAACGTCAACTACGGCGAATTGAGTTTAAGATCGATCGTAGTGGGGAGTGAGGCGTCGACGACTGCCAGCTGAAGACAGCGCCAAAAGTCTAATCGAGGTGACTTCGGTACATGAGAACCAGCATCTGCCGTCGGGGTTGAGCGATTGGAGCCCTCGAAATTTCATTGGCGTCCACTATTTTCAGTGACAGAAACGTCTCTTTGATATGAACTACTTGAACTCTGAAAGCCGCCATAGTTCATCTCAAGAGCTCAGGGGTGAAACACTCACAGTACACAGTAGATGGTAATGATCCCCTCCACCCTCCGCTTTCTGACCGCCCTGCCCTACTACGATTCATTCTGGACCGTGCTTCCCAGGCCCAACCCCGGGGCTTGCGATGTCCGTGGGGTGAAAGGCGTGAATAGCACCAAGGCCCTGTGTGTCCGGGCCGCTGCGGAGACCTCTGGGGGTAGCGCTGGCGCCGCCCAAGATCGCATTAACCACGGGACCTAGCAGCGACTAGTGTTTTGGACTGGTGCTGAGGTAGCCGTAGCCCATGACGAGCACCGCCAGGCATGCCCGTAGGTAGTCCCAGTCAAGGGGGGCGTGAGCCTTTGTGTTCCAATATAGTGATAGATCATGGAAGATCGTGACGGCTTCATGCCCGCGATTCTAGCTTGTTGGAAGCGCCGGCACTAGAACACTGGGACAGTGCCCGAGTGGTACCCCGCCATCCGAGCCCGGCATCGATCCACAGTGACTCGTGTCCGGCAGCGCACCGGAGGCGGTGTCAGTCCGTCTCTCAGACTTATTCTCCATTGTGGCTTTCTGACTCAGCAATGCTTTCTGTCTCGGGGAGCGATCGTAGGTTTGAGTCGAGTAATGGAACGACAACGGTAGTGTCTTACATGTACATAATCGCTCATTCAAACCTTGCCCACCCATCACATCGATCACAGTAGCCCCAGGAGTCCCAGGCGTGCCAGGGTGCTAGGTATGGACATCAGTTGACGTGATTGAGTTGACAAGGCCATGAGCGGTCCGCCTGGGCACACTGGGGAAGTGATCCGAACCGCGACCTATCCATTTCTCCCACAATTAACGTAGAACGCCCCGAAGTGTCGATCTTGCTCCCTTATCCTTACTGGCCACATAAGAGTCTTTCCAATAGAGGGCAACGTGGACTCGGTCCATTTGGACGAGGTCTGGTGTGAAAAGACTGGGTAAACATCATACGCACGTAGGCCAACCAAACTTTCCCCATGCCCGCACCCCGCTAAATGGCATCAATCCTTGGAATGATTTTAAAGATTTTCCACTCAACTGCAGATATTAATTTGCGTATTATCCCGAAGGTTTTCGCCAAAGTCTGACAAACAGTCGAGCTTACTACATTTGTAAAGAACAGCGAGCTTCTAACACCTAGTTGCTATTCGGAAAAGCCTGAGACTCACCCGTTTTACCCCTCATCTCATTTGAATCACATCGTATTCCAACCACCAGACGCCCGATGGCCGGTAGGGTGTCTTGGTCGTTCCTGACAAGGCATAGGCATAGGAATGTCTTGGACAAAGTGGTTGGCGTATCACAACTGTCAAGGCTCGATGTGGCCTGGAAAATACGGGTTAGACAGGGGAAGTAGAACGATACTGGAATACTTGCCACTTCAACGGGTCAACCTCTTTCCAAGCCACCGTCGTCGGTGGCATCGCATCCCCTTAGCTTCTTGGCATCTGCCTCAAGGTCGAATCCCAGGACTGCCGGGCGAGCGGCAGTACCGGTAGGTAATAGCTGGGAACAGCCGGACTTTGCAAGGTGACACAAACTTTTCTCTCCTTCACGTAAGCATGTGCGATCCTGGTACCTTTTTTTTTATTTCACCAACTTTTGTGCGAGTACAACCCGATGCGGTGAATTTCGAGCCAAAGCTGCACGTAGCTTCAGCTGTGCCGTGATGCAGCATTGCGTCGTGCGTGGTGTGTGCAGAATTGGGCGAAGCGAGGAATCCTTCTGAGAGAGTTGGGAGACCAGGGAGGGGGAGGAGACATCCTACCCAACACCCCATCCGACAGGCGGGTACCAAGCTCGGAAGTTGAGTTATGACCCGTTGCCAGCGGTGCCATGATGGATTTTGTGAACCGTGAAAATTTTGACTAAACATCAGGCCTTTTCCCTTCCTCTCTTAGAACCATGGCACCTTTGCTGTGCCCGATGGTGACGGGGAAGACGGAGGCTGGAGAAGTGGGAAAAGAGTTGGTGAAACAGGAACATGGTTGGTTGTCTCTAAAGTCTGGGCAAACCCGTGTCTGCACGAAACTGGAGCGGTCAACTGCCTAAAAGACGCCTCAATCGCCGCCGATGTTGCTGTCAACCCGGCATCGGATCCTCTGCCGACATGAAGGGCACTGAATTGGGATTCTTGAGAAGCATCATGGCTGGGGTGTCGTGGGCGTTTGCCGGTCTTTTGTTTGCCTGCCACCGTAAGAGTCACATCAGAGCTAGATCAGACCTGATACGCACAGGAGACTCCGGCCACGACCATGGCCACGCTGATGGTGATGGTGAACGGACGGTCGAGCAATGCCAAAAGAAGACAGGAAAGCTTCAAGAACGGGTAGAGGGTGTTGAGAGCCCGACCCAGAATGCTTGCCTCACCAGACCCCTGGCTGCTGTCATCGCCCGGCAGAGATGCTCTCAAAGCATAATAGTTCCCATCCCCAGTACCGGGAGGTAATGAGCATTTTGGTTCCGACGTTCAGGGCTACCGGGGCGTCCTGAACATGAGAGAAATGTAACCGTAGACTTACAATTCGCAACTTACAGAGGAGTAAGGACAATGACAGCCCACCGAAGTCTTGCCAAGCCAATAATTCGGCAGGCCAGGGGCGCTTGTGGGACGTGGCAGACTCTGAGAGAGCGCGTTGCTTTGGCCTCTGCTTACCTTTGCACCGTTTTCGTAGACCTTGGCTCACCGCGGGGTAAAGCTGCATCTAGCGGGGTTCAGCGTTATAAAGAGGTACTGGGGTCTCTTACCCGATTATCGCATGAGACCTACTCAGATTATTCACTTTCTCTTAAGACCAAAAACGAACACCCCCCTCGGTCTTGCTCCACTTTTCCACTTTCTGCCCCGCCTTCCGCCCCCGGTTCACTGCACACTCACTCACTCCATCCACTCGCTCCCGCATCTCTCATCCACCTCTCATCCACTTTGATCCTCTCATCCTCTCATCCCCTTTCTTCCCCTTCGCGTCGCGCATACGCAGTATGGTTTCTCCTCCCCCTTCCGTTACTAGCGGGTTCCTTATTAACCTCCAAGTGAGGTACTAACCTGCTACAGAAATGTGACTGTATCTCATCATCCACAGTTCATCCTGCCCATCTCACCTACATGAGAAAATGCGCAAGACTTTGTGAACGGTGACGGAGCCTTCTCCATTTAATAACCACGAACCAACGATTACACGCGTCAGTCGTACAGGCAATAAGACGATGGACCCAACGAAGGATTCCGCAAGGTGAAAAATCATCATGCCATTGTCTACCGCAACGTTGGTTGCTCGGCCGTTCTGCAAGGCAAGGCTGGGCAAGCAAAGGCACGTTGCAGTGTCCGTATGAGCGAGGACGAAAGTCTTTACATCTCGTTTTCTCATTTTGTCCGATCCTTTCTTTGCTTTTCGCTGTTCAACGGTTCGTTCATGCTGTTCAGTACCCCACAACAGCTGACCTTGATCGGCCTCAGCGTTCATACCGGCTGACCTCCGGCACTGTCTCGTACCTCGAAAACAGCTCTTCTTTGTACACCACTTCATCAGTCAGGCACGCAATAGCACCATGTATTATTCCAATATTGTCAGCGCTGGACTCTCTCAACGCACCATACAGCCTCGTGAACCCGAGATGCCAAGTCGCTAAAACATACGCCAGGTTGCCAGCGTGGTCTAAGACTGAAGGCAAGGACAGCCAAGTGGCGCCCCGGCAGACTTTCATATTGAAGACGAATAGCAAATACATTCTCTGCCGGCGGGTTGAATGCCCATGGTTCGGAATTCTGATTCAGCCATCTGCACCTGAACCATCTCCATATGTGCTCTCGGCGCAGCGACATTGTTGCTTTTCCTTTCCAAATGGACCTCTCCCAGCTCGTATTAGTCGATACAAACAAGCAGGTGACTAAAATAGCCCCGTGTGCCGGTAGAGAGGACCATGAACCAAGAAGTGGCTCGCTGCAAGGCACCCTTGCTCCTGGTTAGCTATCCCACACGCGCCTGTCTAGACAATACCAGCACCACGCGCGAAATATCAGCCGGCCACTATGTCTCTGCGCTGTTGACTGCCCGGGCTGATCTGCCCTGTTTAATTTGCTCTGCTTGGAGCTGGGCGACCAACTACTGGCCCAGCTTGCAGTAGCCGATCGCTCACACGCTAGGTCAAGGTTGCATTTTCAGCCCATACTCAGGCTGCTTATTGCTTAGTCTACTTACCCGAAGACGCATCTGCTTCCGTGTTATATAACAATGGCCGGCCCCGAGCCGTCTAGTCCGCTTTGCTATTCTTCCGGACCACGGTGTAATTAAGTTGTCGAGTGCAGTGCTGCATCGTGTACATTGTCCCAATCTGGCTCGGCTTCTTCTTTATTGAACTCTGCTCTGCCAATTTCATTCGCTAGGCGCTACTTTCTTTTTGCTTTAACCTTCGGGGAAGCCCATTCGTTACCGCACATACTTATCTTCTCGCTGTGCCAACTGGCTAGTTGACCCTCCATCAGAATGCATTTCACAACTCTCGCTTTTGCCGTCAGCTTGGGCTTGGCTGCTGCCCACGGTGCCCATGGCGGCGATGAGCAGCCCGTTCCAAACATCATGGCTGGTAGACGGGCTTTGCAAGATTTTACTGCAGCTCGTCGGACCGTACAGCGCCGCGCTGCCCATGCCGGGACAGAACCCGCGGTCTCAGAGTTGGAGAAGCGCCAGTCTCCTGACGGTCGCTGCGGTCCCGATCATAACAACCAGGTCTGCGACCAAAGCGACTGCTGTTCTAGTGCTGGGTAAGTTGTTGGTTGCGCCCGGCAGCTGAGTCTTCAAGAAGTCTAACCATGCGACAGGTGGTGCGGTCAGGGCTACCTTTACTGCTCGGCTCCCTCCTGCATGATCGAGTATGGCCCATCGTGCGATGCCAACATCCGCCCCGACGGACCAGACACGACGAATGTTCCCCGTACTAGGCTTGGCTCTGTCCCTTATGGTCAGGCCATCTACCACTGCGAGCACTATGGTGACATTGCTTTAACTTTCGACGATGGCCCTTACATCTACACCGAGGATCTGCTGAACAAGCTGAAGGTATATCGATGCCTTCAACACGTGACTATCAATGAGCCGTGCTGACGTGCATGCAGGCATACAATGCCAAGGCAACGTTCTTCATTACTGGTAACAACCTGGGCAAGGGCAAGATAAACGACCCAACCACCAACTGGCCTGCTCTCATCAGGGTTTGTCTGCATCTATCCTGCAGCTCTTGATCAATGACTGACCTCCCACAGCGCATGATTGCCGAGGGCCACCAGATTGCCAGCCACACCTGGTCTCATCAGAGGCTCACCACTATCAGCGCCGAAAAGTTCCGTAACCAGATGATTTACAATGAGATCGCCTTTGCTGACCTGCTGGGATACTTCCCTACTTACATGAGGTATGCTCACTGTGATCATGATCAAACATGAAGCGTCATTGCCTAACCAGTTATAGACCCCCCTACTCGGCCTGTGATGCTACATGCGAGGGCTATCTCAATGACTTGGGTTACCACATCACCTACTTCAACCTCGATACTGAGGGCTATCTCCATGACAGCGCCGATCTCATCCAAGATTCCAAAGACATCTGGGACGAGAATGTCGAGGGCAAGGACGTCGCCACGACCAAGTGGCTTCAAATCGAGCACGACCCCGTCTATCAGAGCGTCTACAATCTGACAGACCACATGCTCGAGTCCCTCTTCCGCAACGGATTCAAGTCCGTCACCGTCGGCGAATGTCTCGACGACCCGCAAGAGAACTGGTACCGCTCCGTCGGCGATGCCCCGCCATCCAGCGGCACCACTACTCGCGTAGCCACGGGAAGTGCCACGTCTTCAAGCGTTGCCGCCCCTACTGGCACTCTCCCCGCGTCCACCGACGGCCGCTGCGGAGCCAACTTTGGCAGTACAACATGCTTCACCGAGCCCGGCGCAACTTGCTGCTCATCCGCCGGCTGGTGTGGAAACACGGCCGACCACTGCGGCGCAGCGTGTCAGCCTCTCTACGGCAACTGCCAGATCTCCGGGGCATCGAGCTCTCCCGCCCCCGTTAGTTCCGCTTCGTCATCTGCAGCAGTCCCTACGCCGTCCGTAACCAGCTCCGCGCCTGCGACCACTGGCACGGCGGCATCTCCGCCTCTGAGCACCAACGGGCGCTGTGGTACCACGCAGGGCGGCGCCACTTGCATTAGTGAACCCGGCGCAACGTGCTGTTCGCAGTATGGATGGTGCGGTGCCACGACAGACCACTGTGGTGGTGGTTGCCAGGCTGGTTTCGGTACTTGCGGCACGTCGAACTGATGTTGGTCAAGTTTGTCTGGATGCCTCCGGATTCATCCCTGCATTTTGGGAGTTTCAATTTCTCAAGTCACCTCTGGTCAAAGAGCAGAGGACAAATCTTTAGTGTGTAATCTTATAATGGGAGCGCTGAGCTGTCAGAGAACTCTCCACGTACATATTGGCGTTTGGGCTAAGGCGAAAATGAAAATGGTATCATGGGTGCTTGATAATATAAACTTAATGGGCAAATGTCAATCTTATTCCAGTCGATCGAAGCAAATCTGCCCTCACCATCTGACTCAAACACCCTGTGTTCATGATCTACTCGGGAGCATGGTGGCTTACATGTTCGAGGCAGTATTTCTCCCAATTGTGACCACTCACCTGAGGCCTTGAAACCGTGTAGTGTGCTAGTACGAGATGACATCGCAAACTGCTGCTTCACCATGGACTCTAACACAAAGCCAAATGATTCGATCGCCTTTTATAGCATGCCTCTCAACTAATTCTCCGCGGTCGACTACATCGTTGCGAAAGCCTCTTGTAGACTCTGACCGCTCAGCGCTGGCGGGCTTACTGTTCTCGAGCGTGACTTCATGACTGAAGGTCAGCTGCCCAGTGCGCGAGTCTTGACTCGGAGTCTGGGGTCTGGACCGTCCACAAACTTCTGCTGCCCGCGACAAAAACCTCCGAAAAATAGAGGCCGGGCCGATGTGGGTCCACCGCGGATCCTTCAGAGTACCGTGTTGCCCGGGTGCCCGGAGAGAGTGCTGGAAAGCAACACAGAGGGCAGTAGTCGGAACTGCCACGCAAACAAGCCAAATGACCTTTTGAAGTTTCTGGGAGTCTTAGAGATAAATAGTGAGTTGACCTGAATCTAGTAATACCTTAGAAAAGAATAGAAAATTTCGTAGGGTCTACGGCAGCTTGGCCACGTTTCATGTTATAGCCGAGACCTCCGCTGGTGGCCTTGGCATGCCCCTCGGCTACACGAGCCGGCGGGATCGTATTCTTTCACCCACATTCGACAGAACCTAAAGATGTTGGTTATTCTCGTATTTAACTCTCTTTCAATCCAACTAGGAGATGAACACGCGAGCGGCGGGTACTACACCTTGGCAGGCACATTAACTAATGTTCAGTTAACAAGCGGATGAAACAGCCGGCGGCGAACACCTTCATCAAATTTGAACTGTTTTTCACGAGTCAGTGGGTGCCTGTCAGAGCTGACAAAATAGGGCAGGTCGGCTCGCACCCAAGACTTTCAAGCAACCACAAGTAAACCGATGGCACCGACTAGACGTCGCCAGCTCAAAGGCCAACTTGCTGGGACCACTTCATTTCGATCCCTATCGATAATGCCTCTGGGACCTGGGAATTGGGCGGTCAGAGGGGCATGCACAGCCGTCAGAACTGGGTGCTTACTTGGCATTCTATGATTCCCCTCTTGGTCCTGGTTTTGGCATGATTAAAGATTATAGCCTGAACTTTGAGCTGACAGAATATGGGTCCTTCTTGGAAGGTTATGCCTGACTTTGATCATGGCTGAGCAATATCATATCCTATCCAGAGTGTAGCTGAGGTTTGTCAGCGGTTAGTCTCGAGATATGCTTTCCGACCATACTGCGAACGTTTTCTAGTACCAAATATTAGCTAGATACTAGGTTTCGTCAGCGTCAAGAAGGAGCAGGAAAGACATCGCTATTTCCACCTTGCCGCTGACAGGAAAAGTGATTAATGGCCGTGTCAGGCGCCAGTGACACTTACTTGAGTGGTATGCATTCATATTCGAATCCATCGTACGTCACATCTGGGTTCATGAGAACATTGAACTCAAAGCCCCTTAGACTGTAAGCGAGCTGGGCAAGAAGAAGCATTTCCCTTCAATTAAAGCCAAACCCATCCTATCTTTAGACTGGATGACTCCAATCAATGCCACTTGCAGGGCTGTGTTGATGGAAGTTGGAACGAACCGGCTGAAGACTTGGCGAGACCGTCTCCGCACCGGCCTTACAAGGAGACTCAAATAAACTACTTCGCTTTCCTGGGATGCAGAAAAGTTCCGTAGGGCTGTTAAGCGGTGTACAAGAAAACACGGTGGGCAGCCCTTGTTTCAAAACGTACCTTTTGCTCATTGTCGTTAATGCTTCGACGTCTTAAAAAGCGCACCGATATAGCAGCCGGTGGGTAGTTCCAGGTTAAGGGTCCCACCGGGCACGAGTCGGGCGGCACGTAGAGAACCACGCCAACTTACAACCAAATTCATGCATGACTGGAAGATGACTGATCAGTCTTCAGCTCAGGAGCAAGTAGGCTTTGTTACCGGATATCGGAAAGATGCCTTTTCGCGATGTATAAGACCTCAGGGTCGGCTGTATTGAGAAGATGAGGTTCGCTACACTCATCAAACTCATCTATACACTCTCTCGGCTGTCTTTAGCTTACCAGGGCTCAGTATTTGCCCAAGACATTCTTTTACTTGGAACTTAAAACTTCTCTGTGTGTCAATACGAGTGCTTCTTGAAGAAGTTTTCAAAATGAGGGCAAATTCAATTCTTCTGGCCTTGGCCTACACCGGCGCTTTCGCTACCCCCGTTCCACAAGACACTGGTTCTGCAGACTGCAAGACTGAGGCTCTCAACCAAGACACGTGGAAGAAGCTCGACATTGAGAATTTCCTTGCTGATTGGACGACCTTCAACGTCAGCAAGGTAGAACATAACGCTGTCCAAAACTTTGCTAATTCCTTTGGTGCACCCAACTTCTTTTGGTGAGTCTCAAACCGTGACTTTATCTGCAGAATGTAGACACTGATACCCGGAATAGTGGCCTCGACAGTTTCTGCAATGCCGGACAACCCTGTTCTCCGGTCAAATTGCCTGGATGGTACGCTCTCGTTGCCGTTCAAAACTGGAATAGCTACATGAACTCTCTCAACACTGCCATCACCTTCGCCTCAAGCATCTTGAGCCTCACCCTCCCAGGCATCGTCCAAGACTTCTACCCGAACCCCAAGGACGACATCACAGACCTCAAGACCATGACCCGCGTCTTTGCTGGCGTTCTATCCATCATTCCTTTCACGGGTCCCCTCAGCACCGTTGCCGGCGCCGTCGGCAGCACCTCCAGCTTTGTCTCCACCAACCTCAAAGCCCCTGAGCCCACCAACCTCTTTCTCTCTTGGAGCAATGTTGCTACTTCTCTAGGAAAGGTCGTCCAAAACTGGCAGTCTGCCGTTTCTTCAAGCTTTCAGACCACCATCGACGCACAAGTCAACGTCACGGGGGGCATTTTCCAGATCATCCGCGACGGGAAGTTCCTTGGAACCAGCCGCAATATCACTCAGGGCGACATGCAGAAGGAGATGACGCGCAGTTTGGAACTCTACACTATTGGCCTTGCCCTGCAGGCTCAAAAAGTGTTTGTCCTGCGCTCACAGCCTTTTGCCGAAAAGTGCACAGAGTACACCGAAGCTGAGCTCTGTTCGCAAGATGCTGATGGCCGCTGGCGTCAGTACATTCTCATCCAGCGCTCGGATCACAAAAACTCTATTGGGCGCAAGGATCTTATGAAACTCTTGACTGAGAAGTATCAGTTGAAGAAGGAGACTGTCACCAAGGAAGTAGCTGAATGTGTTGATGCTGCTGGAGGGAAGCAGTTGACTTATCCCTTTGGAGACATCCTGCCTGTTGACAGCACCGCAAAGTGCATCTTTAACTTGCAGGTTTGCACCACACCCCCAGGTGCAAGAGAGGGCATCATCACAACGTGCGAGGGCCTTGGATTGGATGTTTAAGGTCTTGATAGCCTCCATATTAGCGTAGTGTCTCGTTGAAAAATATATTGAATGATACCCTCAGGTTGGATCTGTTTCCTTTGTTGCCAGTGTGAAGAGTATTCTCTCGGACTCAAGTAACGTAAGCACCTTGGTACTAATATAAAAATACCAGTGTAAATGTCAGGAATCCAGTCTCATGTTTCTGGAACTTGATTGTAGCCGAGCTATTGAGAGTGATCTATAGAGACAAGCACCGCAAATACATGTAGTGCTACTCAAGTTCCTGTCAACAGATCCTTAAAAGATCTCGATCAATGGCTGCACAGCACCGAATGAGTCTTTGACTGGTGCAATCTGTCCGCGCGTCTGGACAGAGACGGTTAGCTTGCTGTGAATGTCCTCCTTACTCTCTGCTCCAATTGCTCTCATCAGATCCTCTCCAAAGGGGATGTAAGTATACGTGTCAAGCTTGTTCTTCTGGCAATTCTTGCAATTAGCGAGAACCCATCGACTGAGGATTGCGTCGCGATCAATCTCAACCTCTCTGCCATCGGCAAGCTTGGCAGAGGTACGGATGACGAATGATCCCTCATGGTCCATGGTGCTGATGCCACTGACGCGGGCGATAGCGACGAGTGGAAGCTCAGGGTCACCCAGGACGGGTCCACTGGTCGGAAGGTCAAGGGAGCCTTCGCCGTACATGTATCCCAACTGATTGATATCGGTGATGTCGTCGGAAGTGTAGAACACAGGGTTGCTGATACTGCCGGACTTCAAGAAAGGGGCAAGAGGACTGCTCATCTCCAGCTTGCTTCCCGGAGGAAGAATGGGACTTCCTGCGCTGAGTGTTCCCGCCGTGATGTCGGGTTCCACTGACAGGCTACCCGGCTGAGTAAGACCGTGCTTGACCTGCCAGGTCCAGAAGACATAGTCAATGAAGGCATGGTGAAGGAAGAAGATGGGGTCGAAGCTAGCGGTTTCGTTCTCTCCCATGTCACCATGGGCACCCTCAACAGGTTTGGCGTTTTCTTCCCCATCTTGGTAGAAGCCTCCGATAGCAAGATGAACAGCATTGTGTGGATCTTCAAGAGAAGTATGGAACTTGCTCTCCAGTGAGCCTCTCGTGTTATCAAGCCACTCGCCCCTGGAAGCTTTGTTCGAGAACAGCGTGTAGTTGGGGGCATCAAGGCTGGCCTTGTATCTCGAAATGATGGAGACAGTGTCCGGAATTGACGCTGGTGACGCCTTGCCATCAATTTGGATCTTTCCGTTGAGCCAGGCTGCAATATTGCCATTGAGAATGCTGGCTTGCGAAGCGGGGTCCTCTCCTTTCAAGTCGGTGACGCCCGCAAGCGGGTAACGAGCCGTCTGTGATCCCGTTGATTTGCTGTAACGCTGAGCATCTGATGGCTTCTCGTGGTTGTCTGCAACTCCCTTCTGGAATTTGTAGGAGTAGAGTGGGTTCGTATTATCTCCATCAAGGTCGAAGGTCGGAGTGGTTAAGATCCAAGGGAGGGGAGTATTCTGGTCGAAGGGCCGGCACTCATCCAAGAATGGCAGGGCTAGGCTTGGAGCATCGGGAACAGCCCGACGCATGGCGTCTTCGAGCCGAAGGAGGTATGCTCGATGCCAAGTGGGGAACAAGACCGTCTGATGTTGGCAGTAACCTCCCCGCCAATTCTTTTCGCGGCTTTGTTGAATGAAGCTCAAGTACCTGCCACCAGCGGCCTCGGCATATTATGTCCACGTTGGGGTCGATCTGTGGCGATCTTCCGTTCGTCGAACCATTCTGCCATTCCGAGACTCGGCTTACATCGTCAAGTTTGTTCCGATTCCCTTCTTGCTTCCTGGTAGACATGTTCATATGCGAACTACCTCACAAAAACCAGAACTGAAGGGTATGTTCGGCATGATACACGAGAGCACGCGGTCTGCCTTGTTCCTCCCTGTATTGCTCGGTCGTTTCTCTTGAGTAACAGTTCACATCGCACTTGACGCCCCTGGGCCGGAAGCTTGCATCTGTAAACCGTGACTGATCGACACACGATCACATGTAACAACCCCCTTGTGAGAGTTTCAACGCCGCTCAAGAAAGATGAGGCTTCTTCTGGCGTAAATTATCTCTCATCTTATAGCTAAGTAGCCTGAGCGAAGTGAGACAAAAGTGCGCATCCAACCGCCTGGACGATCACTGGCGTTTCAGATTGCCGCATCGAGGACTTCATTGGCGGCTGCGTTGTCTTGCATGTCTCTATTCATGATATTCATCGAGATCTAGTTCCCGCACTTGAACTTGGAGACTGAGAAAAGACGCGGCTACTATATCTCTCGTTTACAGGAAACAGCAATATCGACCCTGACGCAACTTCAGCGGTATAAAGTCGCCGGGAGTCCATGTCCCCATGATTCTAGGATCCCTGGCTATCAGAACACGCAGAATAGTCCACAAGTAACATCAAACACTTTTACCAGATCACCACTTTTGTAAATCACAATGTCCTGAGTCCGTCCCTCTCTCCAAGATGTGTGCGACCAATACACATCTGGAGAGGATCGGACTACCCTGGAGAATATCATCAGAGCCTTTCGAAGGCTTCAGAGACTTGATCCAAGCAACGAAGACTCCTTTTTTCAGGTCAGTACCTATTCGCAGTAGAAGCGGGGAAGTAGACGAGACAATGACGTAAGTTGAGCTCATATGAATAAGGTCCATTTTCTCAGTCGAATGCCTATTCAAGCTAGTGTGATTGAGGTCAGTCAGTGACCGAGGAGCGGCCGCCAAGTAATAAGATGCTATTTCTGGATTCGAAACCGTTCAATTTTGAACGGTTCATGGATCTAGATTTGATGGCAATTCCGAAATCCATGTTGTTATTATCAAGTGATGAGATCAACGTTGAGGAAATTGTAACTGAGCCACGTAAGCGCTCGAAAGACATCTCGATTGTTCGGCAACCGCGAAGCACAGTGGAAGACAATCGTGCTTGGCAATGACATCTCAATTTTTACCTAACATAGATTTGAAATGAACTCAAGGGCCATGCGGTCAACTGCGTACAAGACAAGAATGCTCAAAATGTAGGCATTGTCATCAGCCTACATGGCGAACAAAGTTATCTGCAACCTTTTAGTCATGCATGATGCAACAAAAAACACAAAAGCATTAGGGTTATCAGATGTATTGTATGGGGTTGAATCAAAGAAGTGACTTCTTAATACAACATCTACTCACGCCACATAAACCTCTCTTCTCTTGGATAATGACTATTTTAGGATTCTAACCCTAACACCATCTAACAAGAAGCTTCGCCAAAGGGAATCTCCTCCACATCCGACAAAATCCACACTCCTGCTTTCCCTAGGATACTCGAGCCTTGTAAGCTTCTAGAGAGCGGCTTGAATATCCTTCTTCAGAGGCCGCATAATAGATTGCTGGTTCATGGTAGCGACCATGTTCCCCTGTTGATCCCAAAGCCGGGCTTCAGTGTAAGTTCGGCCGTCGTTGCCGGCGATAGTCTTCATCTCTCTAAGGTGCCAGTTGTCCAAGTTGATTTCTGCAGTGAAGAACCTCAACGCAAAGTCTAGTGAGGAGCAAGGACCGGCGTCATCTAGGAACTTGCTGCTGTGGGTCAGGGGGATGAAGGACAGAGCTGCGTCCAGGATGAACCCCAGTGCAGAGAACCGATCTTGGAGTCGCTCCAGGGGATGGCGACAACGGAACCAATCGGCCGAGGTCTTCGATGTCAAGTCGAGACTTTCCTGGGGCGTCTTGACAGTCTTGGCCATGCCGTAGAGGTTGTTCGGTGCAATTGTCTCCGGACAGCCGCGGGTCTCAAAGAAGCGGCTGTTAAACCCAAAAGTAGCCAGGTACAGGACCCCCAGCTTTTTTGTCACAACACCCCTCTGCACCTTATCTTCAGTTGCCTCCTGTGTTGTGAGACACTTCTCAGGCGGTGAGTAGCTCATTGATGGCGGTGCTGAGTATACAAGAAGAGAAGCCTCTTCTTTCACTTGGAAATCGGCCAGCATGATCATGCAGAGCCTGGGTTTGCCGTCGTCTTGATCTTGGCTGATCTCAACCAATCTGGTCGCGAATGTTCTCGTATCGCGGACTCTTCGGACGGTACATTTGAGCTTGCGGTCTGTCAACGCTGGGCCTAAGTAGTTGCCCGTCGCCGAATACAGCAGGTACTTGGGCGATACAGTGCTGCATGCCGCTTGGACGCCGATACTGATGGTACAACCCCCGTAGGCAATATTTGCCTTGTTTCCCATGCGGGCGGGATCGACGCGACTGGTGAAATGGTCTGATCCCAGGTCGTCTACCGCAACTTGCTCCCGCATTGTGCTGGCCATAGAACCGTGTGACATGTTGAGTTATTCGGCCTGAGCTGTCGTATGGTAGATCCTTGCTGTGATTCACACAAAGTTTGGACGGAAATGCGACGCTGATTTTGTTGATGAGATGTTCAGTAATCAAGCGATGTCGGCTGTGAGTTTGTGTCCTTTCGTTGTCTACATCGTTGCCGCCTAGTCGCGTTGGCGCGCCGCCTCGGCGCCTCCAACAGGTTGGGGAATTGGGGGGCCGCTCACAACCGAGGTTGGCGTTTGAGGAATGTGAAGGTGGGGCAGGCCATGGTTGCGCTAACAGGTGAATTGGCAATCACTCTCATGTTATGTGAACATGGATTCCATGAGAGTTGGTACAATCATCACGTATTGTGAATTGAGGTTGGCAAGATTCAAGTCTTTGTTGTTTCTTTAATGAACCTATTTATTTCCCCTAGAGAAATCGTACTCATGCCAGTGCATGAATTAGATTCACTAGAACCTCGAAGCTTGTTGGTGCACATGTTGTGTCTAGACTGATTTCCGATTTGGTTGGTTCTAGGAAGGTTGGTGGTGGGAGCTTCCGTACACCTCGGCAGTAAGTGGGGCCAAACAGGTTGTGTCCGTGACCTCGGACTTTGACTTGCATTCAACATTTTGTTGCTGTATTTTTGATGTTTGATATGTCTCATTACTATACGATCAATACGCAACCACTTCTTTTGTGTGGTGCAACCTTAGCCCGGGGGCCTGTTGTTGTTGGTGACAGGAATGAGAATAAGGGGGACAAAGGCTTTCAATTTTCCGTATATTATATTCGGGACGGTAACGAATATTAACTAGGTACCGTGGAAACTTTTAGATATTCAGATGGCAGCTTCCTGTCATGACGCTATACTTCGCGCTGCCTAGTGTGATTGCATTATACCGCTTGCTACATTGCGAGAACTCGCCTCCTCGGGCATATATGTATGGCCCATCCTTGGGTCCCTCTTTTGGAAGAATTAAGACACATGCTACTGTCTATGTCTTCCACTTGTCTCCTCGCTCTGTGACAATCTCGCCTTAGAGTTAGAACTCATAGCTTTTTTTTGTTGTACTAAGCCAAGTGGACCTCTGACAAGAGCACCCTCTTAGCATGTATCAATGGCATCTTTTCTCTTCACAGGCACCATTGACATTGACCAGTATTCTTTGGACGCAAGTGCACCATGTGATCGGATGTAAGGTTCTGTAAAGACCTAGGCCTATCACAGGTCGGGGTGGTGTGAGCTATGAGAGTTGACTGAGGTAAATTATGATTTGTGTTCAACAAAGTCCGAAGCTTTGTCAAATGATTCAGAGGAGCTAGTGTCAATAGGTATGTCAAGCAGGGAGGAAGCTCGCAGAGGCCGACTACTATTAGGGTCAAAGAGACAAATTACTGAAATCTGCCCCTCTTTAGACGTGTAATTCCTGCGCTGTATATATGACTGAGGTCCTCCTTTGTTGCTTGGACCCTTTCTGACACCCTCATGCTAACTTCTCTCTGGGAGGGCTTTGACAGAGAGCGCTTGCCAACTCGCAAGAAGCAACCGATGTAATTACCTTTTGTATATCCGTCCCAATAACAGCGGTTAGAGTGAAACATTAGAAATTCATTTGGTCTTAATTCTAGATGAAAAACTTACTCAACGCTTTCCGGAAGGCAGAGAACACAAAGTCTCAATAAGAGATTGATCTTTTTTTCCTTTTTTTTTTTTTTTTTTTTTTTTTTGAATCCAAGTATGATTGTCTACTTCAGCAGTCGGCCCCTAGCATCAAGTCACGCTATGAGTTGGGACTTGTGAATGTAATTGGACATCGAATCAGTTTTCATAGTTCTGGTGCATTTGTGTGATTTAAACGGTCTCAGCCGTGGGTATCTTGTATTTAAGTCATTGCAGACTTCATGTGACTATTAATTATTTACAGGACGGTCTTACAACCTAAGACGAACGGCAAGCAAAGGGCTTGTGAGCACTTCCGGAGCTTGTCTCGTCAATAATATCAACGATGGTTGAGTAGGTGCCGGCAACCAATGTGACAGCTCCGACGATGAACGCCAAGATGCTGCCAAGGCTGATGAGAATGTTCTCGCGTGCGAACCACTTGCCCTTGCAGAGAAGGGTGAACCACATGATGGCAGGAACGTAAAAGGAGAATCCGGAAACAAACAGCGCCGAAGCCAGCGAGAGCAGGTCGGAGAAGATGGGAATAGCCTCAGCAATCACCCACGCAATAATGGTGAACACGACAACAAGGATGATCCAGCTGGCCCAACCCATGGGGGTGTTGATGTACTTCAGGTGAGAGTTCTTGTACATGCGGCCGTGAATGTATCGCAGGGCAACAGTCGAGTTGATTGAACCGGAGATGAAAATGACCGGGATAGCGACTCCGAAGGCGATCTTCGAGATAAGGGGTCCGGCAGAGAGAAGAGCAGGAGATTGAACCGAGGGACCAATAAAGGCGTAACAAAGAGCGCCAGTAAGGGTGTAAATGGCGATCTGGATGAAGCCAGAGGCCCAGATGGACTTCATATAGTCGGTGGGCGTATGCATCTCATCCATGAAAGAGAATTGACCGATGGCGAAACTGAAGGCGAAAATGATGTTGCTCACGGCAACAAAGGCCTCGGAGAAGGTCACACCCTCCCTGGGCCAAGCAGACCACTCGATGCCGGAGAGACCGCCGGAGCCGCTGTTGGCCTGGATACCGGTGGCGATGACCGTGATTCCGATGGCAGCCAGAATGGAGACGAAGTCGATATAACCGAGGATAGCGACCTCAGTGAACGAGGGCGGGATAGCAAGAATCAGGAGAATGATAGCTGACACGGCCGAGAAGACAATGGAGCAGACGTGACCGCCGTTGATATCGACGAGCGCAATGCTGCCAGTCAAAGCGTGAGAACCGACGACCATGACAAGCTCAAGAACAAGTGCAGCTCCGAAGATTTCGTATCCGATGCGTCCGTAGCGACCAAAGAGAAGTCTTCCGGCTTCGGCGTAGTTGGCGACGTGTGGATGGGCCAGCTTGACCTGGCCAACGATGTAACTGGTGAAAATCGAAAGCATACCAATGGTTATGGTAAGGAAAACTCCGGGGAACATTCCGAGGGTGTGGTAGGCGGAAGGCAAGCTGAGAGCACCAAGGGCAACGGCCTCGACAATGGTGACAATTGCCAAGCGTTTCCAGCCCAGACGGTGGAAGTGAGCGCTGCCCTGTGCAGCGATCTGCTTGAGGCGGTCGTTGTTCATCTCATCGCTCGTCTCGCCGAGCATGGTGTTATCGTTCATCTCAGGCCAAGGGTTAGGGGGCTGAACCATCTCGGCATCAGGTCCGTCCTCCTTCTGCTTGGAGGACTTGTTGTTGCCGTGGTCGACCGTGTGGGAGATGGCGTCCGTCATGGTGGCAGAAGGTGTATTTCAACCGCGGCGAAGTTGAAGACAATTGATGGACGATAAGAGGCAGTCCAAGGGGAGGTCGTTGAAGTGATGGGATGGAAGAAGCCAACGGAGAAAGGAGGGCTCGAGGAGGCAAAAAGGGCACGACGCGTCTGACGTTCCTGACTTTTAAAAGATCAACTTACAGGCGCGAGTCAGATGGATTCAGGGTCCACATGGTGGTAGACGGACTGGATTCATCCTTGACAGAGGTTGTCGTCAGTTCGGTAGCCCGGTGAAAGCCGGGCCACCTCCACAGAATGATCTCGCCCCCATGGGCGGGAAAGATAACAGATCGCCCTGCAACACGGGGAATGCATTTCTGAGTTGATAAGATCTAATTGTTTTGTGTCACTGCTGTCAAATTGCCCCGTAAACTCTGGATTGCGACGTCCCTAAGTGGGCGTTCTTCGGCCTGTTCTTGACACTGACATTGCGGAGGGCGCAGCGAAGAAGTTTTGATGTCGTAAAAGAAGCTTTCCATGGCATGTTGGAGCCGCGCTAAGAGACCCGCTCGGCGGTTCTCGATGGAGCCTTTCTCGATTCAGAAACACAAGCGAGGAGCTTTTAGGTAAAAGATGGAGACAGTTGCGGCTCCCGCGAGATTCAGATGAGTGCAAGAATTTTCCTATAGCAAAGCCGAGTAAAAACCGCCGCTAACCACCGCGTCAACATGACTTCGCCGTCAAGTCTTTTGCCTGCCACGGAGCCTGTCCGGAGGTCCAAGCGGGGCCGTATTACGTCCGTGAAATCTCTCTATTGGGCGGACTTGCCGGTTTGTACGTTTTTATTCAAGGGCTGGACTTGTTAAAAGGTGGACATTGTCGCCTTTGCGATGTGCCAAGTGACATACAAATTTGCTCACTGGTCAACAGAGATAAGGACTTGTAATTTGTTATGGTAAAGAGCTGTTGAACGACAGCTACAATGTAGGATTCTGCTGAGCTGCTCCCGAGGCACAACAATAACATGCCAGCTCATGTCTGATGTCTCGACCCTTGCGCATATCTCTTCACCTCCCGTTCATATGATCGTGTTGAAGGGTAACGGCTGCAGGCTTTAACCCTCTTTGGCCATGGCGCAAAATTTTCTCCGATCTTGGTTCCTGCATCTCGAGTTTAGAAGGCGGGCTTGGTCTAGGCTCCCCACCAGCCAGAGATGGGTCATCATTTCTCAAGGCGTCTCTTCAGAATCAGGGTATGGTTACTGGTAGGGCCTTCCACGTGGCGTCTACCCGGCTCTCGGTCTATCAAGTTGCGTTTCGCTACAGGTCAGCTGAAGTTTTCGCGCGAAGTTTATTGAGTGAGTAGAGAAGTGGACGGGAGATAGAGATGCCTACCCGTAGCCTCTATGTTTACTTAGACCCTCACTACCGTCATGTTATTCGCCAGAATTGGTAAGGTCTCGAACTTTACCGCTTCAAATTTCGCGATGTGTCGAAGCTTTCGGGCTAGATATATCTTCAAGAATCCTCTACCGGGCTATCAACTGGGATTGGCAAGCAATGAGGCTTGAGAGCCCGGCTTAGTCACGACAAAGAAGAAGTAGTTGTGACGATGAGTAGGGACGATTGCCTAAGCATTGGGGTTATTGCATAGGCCATCTTCCTTACATTGATTTCAAGAGAGGCCCTGCCTGTGAACCGAAAATTTAGCTGCGCGACCCACCAGTTCAGGTGTTTTAATCAATTTCACATTGGCACGGATGCTGGGGCAGGCATACCCAATCGATAAACTTAGTCGCAGCCGCACCAGACTGCATGCACGCATCACCCGCAGGTGATACTTCGTACAGCATGCTGTAGATACAAGCAGTGTATTATAGACATTTACTGCTTCGGGGTTTAACGTATCAACCTCGAGATACATTGTATTTGGTAAAAGCTTCCCCGAACCATTCAGTCATGCTGGGCCGCTCTTCCCTCAACTTGGGTTCGACTTGAGGGCGTAGATCATCTCTACCTAATAACTTTTTTTTTTTTAAAAAAAACTCAAACTCAAGTAGTTCCTCTTCCCCAAGCAACTACGAAAGATAAGCGATGTCCAGTGTGTCAATGAAAAGCACAGGCGAAGTCCGTTTGCGGATTTGCACGTTGGCGAGGATCACGACAGTGTTGAGGTCGTGCACATTCCGAGTTCGTCGGGATTCAGGCTCCAACATAACGGATTACTTAATCCGATAGTATCGTGGTCTTCTATCGAAGAATCCATTATCTGGTTTCTCGCTTATGTGATCGGTTCGCCCACCGGCAGCGCTCCAGGTCTACAGAGCGGAGCAGAACTTTCTGGCGCCAATTGAAAGCAGGTCGCTTCCACTTTGAGACTAAGGGCAACCAGAAACATCTACTAACAGAGACTCGTCTCTCCGCCTCCTGCCCGGCTCAATTATTGCTCCGGTCAACTTAAACGCCATGAGCGGAATGTCGAACGGGATTCGGGTATCACATAACTACGTTCCTTAGTCGTATACAAACAAACCAACTCTATTCCGACTTGATCTTGCTGTAAAGACACCAATCATCCACCTTTTGGCACAATGACTTCCTCCATGTGGGCAGTCACGGCACCAAGCTTTTGCGAACCGTCCGCATATGAGCTTTCCACGATCCCCTTGCCGGTTGTAACAGAAGCTACTGATGTGGTATTCCGCGTCCACGCAGCGAGTATCAATCCCGTAGATGTCAAGAAGGCAGCAGGAGTCTTTAAGCTTGCGGTTAAAGAGAAGTCCGTCAGGAAACCTCATCATGCGATCATCTTATCAGCTAACACCATTAAAACAGATTCCCATACCAAATTGGCTACGATTGCTCAGGAACCGTAACAGAAGTGGGACAGGATGTCAAAGGCATCAAGGTTGGTGACGGGATTTACTCGCGGCTACCGGAGGCCAGCCGAGGTATATATACGCTCAAAAGTTGCGATAGGTCATAGGTACAGATGCTGAACTCCTGTATTTGCAGGGGCATGGAGTGAATTCGCCAAATGTTCACAGCATTACGTCACTCTCAAACCTAAGAATCTGTCTTTCGATGATGCCGCCTCATTGCCATTGGCAGGTATGACCGCACTGCAAACTTTGCGACGATACGAGGGATCATTATCAGGCAAGACGGTCTTCGTACCAGCTGGCTGTGAGTGAGATTCATCGTAATCTACGCGGGAAAATTACTGATGATACTCTGGGAAGTGAGTGGCACTGGCGCGTATGCGTGTCAGATCGCTAAGAACGTCTTCCATGCCGGCAAAGTGATCACCACTGTCTCAACATCAAAAGTAGAAAAAGTGCCGCAGCTGCTTGGTAAAGGCACGGTTGACCAAAGTGAGCCACCATCAGACTACCTAGTTATTTGAACAAAGAGTGTACCTAACCGGAATATAGTAATCGACTACACCAAGGAAGACGTATCCCAGGCCATTCCTCGTGGATCCGTTGACTTCATCTTAGACACAACTGGAGACTCTATGTCTTTTCTTCACCTCATGACTCCGTCTACGGGTGTCATTGTCTCTATAGCTACGCAGCCCTCTGGCACTCAGCTCCAACAATCGAGCGTGATGAAGAGGCCAGATGATCCAAGTCTCCCGTGGCTCGCACGCATGGTGTTGAACATGGTTGATTCGTATCGGAGGGCACGTGCAAGACGCTGGGGTGTTAAATACGAGTACTTGTTCCTCGATCCCAATGCCAAAGACTTGGAAACACTGGCACTCCACGCGGAAAAAGGAGATGTCCTGCCTGTTGTTGGTTGTAAAGTTGACTTTATGGATATCGACGGCGTGAGAGATGCGTGTACAACGGTGTACAACGGGAAAGGTGGCCTTGGGAAAACGGTATTTACTATGATCGCGAGTTAAGTTTAGCAGTTTCGGCACGGGCGATAGTTTATAGGCTTCCACGCAATTTTCATTAATGACGCTTTATCGAGGCGAATTACATGCATTATCAGTCAACGTTCTTGTCAGGTAGACTGTAGCTGATACAGAGGCGTTGTGAGATGAGACCCGATACCATATCGTTCATTTTCAGAGAGCAGGATAAACTAGGCTACGCAAGCGTTCAGCGTCAGCAATACGATCTAGACCAAGAATGATGGTCAGTGGAAGGAGCAGATGGTTAGAGCGATGGACACTATAACATCACCCTGATCGGTTTGAGTCAGCGGTGAGCGGTTTTGCATCTATTGGGGACGTGTATCTCTATTGAAGGAATGGGCAGAGGCTTTCTACGCCGCCTCTAGTGCTAGTAGTTCTATTAATACCAGAACTGTTGACTCTAGATGGGGTTTCCTTCCCTCACTACGTAGAGTAGTGACCAGTTGATAAGAGCAACAAGCGTAATGCCCCAGAATGGCGCACCAACAAAGTTGTTGCTAAGTCCCCAGCCAAGGACAGTTCCTCCGATAGTAGGTCCGAGCATGCGAGCTGCGGCTGAAGTGCTCGATGCAACACCATGCACAGTGGCTAGCAGGGCAGGGTGCGGAGCAGAGTCGTTGACCAGCATGATCGTTGCCGGCCCCACAAACGTTCTCGACATGACTTGTGCACTCAAGATGACAGACAAAAAGGGCCACAAGAGCGTGCTTTTGTTCGACAACAGGGCGAGATAGGGCAGCGAGCAGTACGCCAGCGCACTGAAGGGGAGGAATGTGCGGTAGGACTGCAGGACACCGAGTCTACTGCTGATCCAGGGAAACAAGAGGATTTGGAGGGGAAGACCGACAGCTCCAATGACTGTGTTAGCAAAGCCAACCTTTTGGGATGACAGACCCAGACCACCCGTGAATCGGAATGGGAGCTGAGCATTGGTGTTGTCTGCTTGGGGTGCTGGTAGCATAACGAACAGTATGGAGTTGAAGGCAGAAACGTGGAGAGCCGAGGAAAAGTTCTGAACCAACGTCAAGATAACGTTGCGCGTACAGATAGCACGCAGAGGCGCCCGGCCCTTGTCTTCCACGGGCTTGCTGGACGAAGATTGGTCTTCAACGTCTCCTGCTTCGGTCGACTCGTTTCCATTGCCAATGAGATGATAATCATTGGGCGGGCTTTCCACTCTGAAGACCTTTCTGAGCAGAAAGCGCCCGAGGTCCCGGCCTCTGTCTCGTTGATGGCGCCTGAGCGGATGCGTTTCGTCCAGCCCAAGAACTACTCCCAGCGCCGCAATCATCAAGATACTTGAGCAAACAAAGTTTGTTAGAGCGTATGGGAATCGTATCATCCACCAAACTCCATTTTCACCACCGAGAAACGAGCCTGGTCCGAAGATTGAGGGGAGAGATGCAATAGGGTCGGCAAGAAATCCACCCAGAAGAGGTCCGATGATGACGCCAACGTTGAAGCACATTGGAAGTAGAAGAAAAGCGCGGGATCGATACCTATTTACTTTTTAATACTGATCACGCAATCCTAAATGAAAGGGGTATCAGATCACGCGTACCTTTTGTCTTCAACAATTTCCGAAATCATGGTCCTGAGAACACCTACGTTTCCGTTCAGTGCTCCAGCTAGAACACGGAAGAACACCACAGAGGCATAGGAAGTGGATAGTCCCATTCCGATCGCTGAGATACAAGTTCCCAGCAACCCCACGAGAAGGACTCGCTTTCGACCAAAAAGAGGACTGTCAGCCACATGTCCCCATAACATGCCAGTCACACACTGGGCAGCGGCGAACGCAGCAGTGAGAAGACCGGCCTGTCTTGCAATCGCCGAGTCTGGGAGAGACGGGCTGAGAAACTTCAACTGATAGAAAAGGTACGATGTAAGTGACCGCTCAGCCAGCGGTTCAGCTAGGCGGGCAAAGACGACCATGCCCAACTGCCACTTCTTTGGCATTGACATCCAGGACACCGGTTGTTGGGGCGCTTCTGTCTCAGCCACGAGACTCAAGTCGGGAGTCTGATACGAAGGAACGGCCATGTTGGAATGACTAGCTTTGAGAAGCGGTGTCTCATCATTGATAACTACGTTGTCATCTTGATGTTGGTCTCGACTGCTGCGTCTTCTTTGCGAGCTTGCCGTCGAGTGAGGGCTTTTTGGAGCCGAGGAATCGACCGGCTTCGCCATTTTTCTATTGGTTAGATAAAAATATAATGAACAACGGAAAGGTTCCAATGGAGGCAAAGAAATGCAAGCTGCAAGCTGCCAGGTGATCTTCTAGATCAAATGTTTCTTCTTCTGCCGTATCAATCCACGTTAGCTCCAGCCCCGACCCGCCCACATCAAGAAACGCGTTCAGGGATCAAAAGTCCCGCAAGATGCATGCACTTCTAGGTCGGCTCCCACTCACTCGATAGATCGACTTCTGTTAATCCCGACGTAGTCCAGAGGGGCGTGAAAAAGACGTTTAAAGCATGGTTGATTGACGGATGTTGGCCGCGTAGCAGTCCTCGCTGGCTCGCTCGCTCGAGCCGAGCGGAATAACGTCGTATCACCGAGAAACCATGAAACTTGTTTCCAAGCTGTGATTCGTCCGTTCTTCAACGTCACCTCGTTCGACCTATTGTTGAAGATGAAGAAGAACAAGAGGAAACTCTGCGTATCTAGCTTATGCGAGTAAGTTTCATTCAGTGAATATATAAAAGCTGATATTTCCATCCTGCTTTCACCCTTTTTTCCACGGGAATCAGCGAGGTTTTATTCAGGGAACCCAGTACTCTGTGTTAGGGTATGATAAAGTCCAGTTGCTCCAGAATGTCTTTTAACACCAAACTACCGCGATTTAGACTTCTAGACTTCCCTTGGAACAACAGGGATTTTGGATCTGCATGAAATATCACTGTGAGAAATTCTGCACAAACAGTAGAGCAATGCTTATTGGTGTCTTGGAGAAGATGGACCTCCACTTCATGCGCCGCCGCTACTCACTTTAGGCCATCCCCGGGACAGATTTTTTCAGTAACAGCGCTTTGGCTTGCTTTACCTCCTTTGTCGGCTCCAAGGAGACTCATCATGTTCCCAGTTTGGTGGTCCAACCTTGTCATCATCGGGTCTAGCTCCTGCAGATTCATGATTCGAAGGGTCTCTGCAACCTTGATTTCGGCGAACTGTGGATCTAATCTGATTGATTAGATGCGCCTTCGTCGGACTAGACAGGTTCATCGCCTTCTCATCTGCACGTGGTGCCACCCAGTTCCCAAGCGGGAGCGCCTGACGAACGCAGGGCCATCCACGGCTTGCGACCCTAGACGCGTAGTCGGGGTTAGGACCCTCCGTTGTTGTCCATCGGTCAATTTTGGAGTGACATTCATGATGACTATGCTATAAGAACCAAACTTCGTCAAATAATGAAATCGCCTTTCGCTCTACAGTCGACACTCTACGTTTCTCCACAGTCGGACGGTCTCAGCTCAATCTCTTCTCCTCCTCCTCAACACTCAAGCATGGCTGCCGAAGCAGTACCACCCTCTCGGGATGCCGAGCAAGCTCCCGCAGACTATGTCTCTGAGACGAGTCAAAATGAAAAGCAGGGCTTTACAACCGCTGTCTCTGCGTCCCCGGATAGCGATGAAGTGTCAGTCAATAGCAGCCTCAGACCAGTTCCCTTGACATGGAAGTTGGCCTCTGTTGTGTTGGTAACAGCTATTGGATTTGGTTCTCAGTGGAGTTCCGGCCTCAGCGGTGCCATGAAGACGACGATGAAGAAGGAAATGAAGATCAACAACACGCAGTTCTCTCTTTTGGAAGCTAGCGAGGATTTCATGGTCACTGCTCTGATGCTTCTCAGTGGTGTCGTCACGGACAGAATTGGTGGCGCAGGTATGAAAACCCGCAGACACCAATGCGAATTTTACTGACAGACAACTAGGTGCCATGTTGTACGGCAATTTCCTCTACTCGGCCGGCTCGATTCTTGTGGCAGCAGCAGCTCAGACCCGCTCTTACAAGTTTATGATTGCTGGCAGAGTGATCCGCTCCCTCGGAGATATCGCGACTCAAGTGGTGCAATACAAAGTCTTCTCATCCTGGTTCGCCCCCGGCAACGGCTTTGCCTCGACTTTGGGCTTCGAGCTGGGCATCGGCAAGATTGGTGCATTTGCTGGAAAGTCGTCTGCCAATATCATCGCCAAGAAGACGGGAGATTTCGCCTGGGTGTTTTGGGTTGCGGTTTTCATGAATCTCTTCACGAATGTCATGACGGGCGTGTTTTACTGGTTCACAAAGGTTGCCAACAGCAAATTCCACGGCGTTAGCGACCCTGCCACTGGCGAGAGATTGAAGGAAAAGACGAAGAAAGTCGAGTTGCGCAAGGTTCTCGAGTTGCCGTGGGCCTTCTGGGCTGTCATGGGCTTCTCATTGTTCGAAACGAGTACTGCCATCGTCTTCCTGCAAAACGCCACCGAGCTCGCCGAGCAGCGCTTCGGAACAAGCTCCATCACTGCTGGTTGGTACAGCGCCACGTTGCAATATGCCGGTGCGTGTCTACTCTTCAGTTTTCCCTCTACCCTTCAGTCAGCTAACATAGGCAGGATTCTTCGTTGTTCCCATACTAGGAGTCTTCCTTGACCTTTACGTGAACCGTATTTCAGTCTGTGAGTGCTTGAATAACAATCGATTCTGCAAAAACGAGGTCTTGTGACTAAAACAGCCCTCTAGTGGTCTTCTGTGGCATTGGAATGTTCACTTCCATGTTGCTCGTGTGTTTCGCCAACACCACTCAGGGTACTGCTGCGAGTTTCGGAGTGTTTGCTTTCGCCTACTGCTTCGGGCCAGCCACCATCATTGACAGTATCCGTACATCAATGTGGGACTCGACTGTCTTTGGCTCAGCTTACGCTCTGAAGATCACCATGAACAACGCGTAAGATTTCTGCTCAAAACCTCCTCTGATGCCCAGTCCAAGCTAACATGATGCTTCTTCAGGATGAATATCGTCGTTCGCGTCATTACTGGTGTCATCCAAGACAACGACAACAACTCCTACGATAAAGTGACTATTGTCTACGTCATTCTTGCTGGAATCTCCGTGGTTGTTTCGTTCCTCCTGACGTTCGCTTCCTGGAAGTCCGTCGATCTCGGACACCTTCAGTGGACACGCAAACTGCGCATTGCGCGTGGCGAGATCCTCAACGTCAGGAAGGAGAGGTTCTACGGGCAAAATGGCGAGAAGAACAGACTCATATCCAAGAGCTGCTTCGTAGCATTGATCGTGCTTATCTTGGGAAGTTGGTGTGGGTACTTCTGGGGGGTTGCGACTGGCAACAACTCTTGATGACTTGAGCGAAGGACGAAACAGGATGCGATGACTCGTAAGGGACAATCAATCTCGTATCATACAGTCATGACGAACATGAAGAATTAACATTCAGTTCAACTAATACAACTGACGATCGCCGGTCATTCTGGCTACTATGAAACCTGCTTTCAGCGCAGCGTCACTTAGCTGAAGTAATGTGCAGATGAGCAAGACTACTACCGCGGCGTCGATAAGTTGGGCTATAAAATTGCTTCATCGTATATGGCTTTCGGTAGCGTTCGCATTTGAGCCGAAAGCGCCATGAAAGTATTCGCTTCACGCAACTTGCTCAACTTCCAGACATAATCCGGCGCGACCGTTGATACCCCCATAAATCGGGTCCGAAGCCGCCGAAGGAATCCAAAAAGCCGGGTGTCTAGCGGAGAAGAAAGCCGGGGTAAACCGGATCAGAAGGATCGATGTAGAAGTTCATCCGCCCAACCAGATTGGCATGTCCCCGGACGCGAGGGATACAGGCAGGGAAGCCTTCCACAGGACTTGTCTCCTCGGATATAATGTCGGCTTGGAAGCGGGTAGAAACGATGGATTGGTGCATAAGCTTGGAGCGACCTGGTGTTATCCTGCCCTGCGCAAGCAGAACAGCAAGTCTTGCGCAGGTACCCGAACCGCATGGAGAACGATCGATTTGTCCATCAGCAAAGACGGTGACGTTTCTCTGTTTCACCTCATCTCGCTCACTATCGACCTCGCCTTCTTCGTTGTAAAATATCACGCCATAGAGATCGTAGGTGCCATAGTTGGCCTTGTCACCAATGGAAGCCTTGATCTCTCTGCCGAGTCTGATGAAGTCCTGGTGACTGCCAGGCTCGACCAGGACTCCGACCTGAGATGCATCCAGCGTAGCGTAGACGGCACCGGCAAAGGCAAGGTTGACTTTGATTGCTGCATGATGAGACGGGATCTGGACCTCCAGGTCCTCGACAAGTTGGTAGCTCAATACGTTGACAAAGTCGGCATAGACAGGCTTGCCCTGCTTGATACCGATGCTGGCAACCACGCGCCCAGAAGGAACATCGATTACAACATCGACAACTCCGTCAACTTTGGGTGCTTCGACGAGTCCCTTTGTAATAGCCCAGTACCCCAGGGCGATGGTTCCATGCCCGCATGCAGTCGAAAATCCATCTTTGTGCCAAAACATGACACCAAAATGAGCTCCAGAGTCATCAGGTGGCGTGATGAAACCTCCGTACATGTCGGCGTGGCCGCGGGGCTCGTGGCATAATGATTGGCGAAGCTCATCTAACGGGTGGCCCGGAGTTCTGATGACTGCGAAACGACGATCAGCTACGGTTTGCGCCTCGGGTAGGTAGCCTTGTGGCAGCTTGTCCACGATGCGGAAAGGCTCGCCGGCAGTATGCCAATCCTCGGCTTCGACCCAGAAAGGATTCTTCTCGCTAAAAGACATGGTGAATATCAGGGCGGGTGGAGACCTTGGCAAGCAGAAGGTTCTAGCGCTTCTGAAGAGGTGGAGAATACGAGTAAACGTCAGTCTAGGTCCCTCGGTGATCAGCTTAACTTTGGTAGGAGACGTCTGAAATAAGTACCCGACTTTTGCTGTCAGTTCCCTCGGATATAGGCGTCCTCAGAATGTCTCCCGGCGGAAGATAACGGCGGCGAAGCACCCCCGCATCGGAGGTCGACCCGGTCCGGTCAAGATGGGGTCCGGAAGGTGGTCCCGAGAATACGAGAAAGACTCAGGATTTTCGTATTGCCAATTAGCCATTGGCAAACTTTTGTGAATGCGGGGGATTCGCAATTGCCTTTGCGAGGCAAGATGCTAAGAACCGGGGCATTTCATCTTTCATGTGATATTGAACCCCAGAAAACTTCTGATTTTTCAGATTCTCCAGGATTGAGTAGTGCTTATTTCAGCTGGGCTGAAAGCTGGCTGTGAATGGCCGTCGCAAAATAGTAGTGGCTCAATCGGCATGAAGGACTGAAATGACCCTAGGTTTTTTCGAATCATTTTCTGAAAAAGTTCTATGAAATACTAATATTCTCAAATTATTTGTGGCTTCTGATCATGAGTTCCCACGTGCATTGCGTTTGTTGGCCGATGAGTTGACTGAGATGCATACTGGCCTCTGAAAAGCTCGGCCAGGACGGTGCCGAATTTGACGCAAGTTTGAGGATGTGAGTCCGGCAGCGGTTTGGCTGTTTTGTTTCGGTGCGAGGCTGTAAGGGTCTAGCTAATAGATTGAATGAGTCAGAAACCGTAAGGACAACTACAAGGTACTCTGGTATCAAAATTACTTGAACATACTTCTTTTGCCCTTCAGCAAGGCTTCTGGCACGACTTCAAAGCCGAGGGCTGGTACCTGATTGAGGCCCATAACGGAGGCGTGTGTAGGTACATAAACTCACAATGACCCACCCTACCCTCATTAAGACTACCAATGCATGAATCTTCAAGCTCTCCACCGATCAAAAGCCACAGATATCGCTCACAATTGGCACTGGAAAGAGTCCTAGGCCCCAAACTTGAAGCCCCAGTGAGATCAGGGTGAGCCTGTGAGGGACGAATCTGGGGTTTTGACCGGGGCCGCGTCTTGGCTTCCTGATGAGGACTAGCGCCGATCGCTCAATCTGCCGGCCTCCCGATCCGCCGGGTCTACCGCTTGATAAGAAAAACACCCCGCCACGCTCGCCTGCCAACTCTCACCTCCTCGGCCTCCACACCTCACCCTGACCCAACTTCACGCAAACATTCAACATCAAAGACACTCGCCAATCAACCAACGATGTTCCATTCGTCATGCCAGACGCGTCCCACGCTTCCAATTCGTGCTGGACCTGTCGGCAGAAGCGGGCCAAGTGTGACAGACTCCTCCCAACTTGTCTCCGCTGTACCTCCTTGAAGCTTCGTTGCCAAGGATATGACCGACCGAAGAAGTTGGTGTGGACCAATAGTGTGGCCAGCCGAGGCAAGATGATGGGGAAAGCCACATTCGGTGCAGATCAAGGACCAAATCATGATCTTGTAGCCACAAGAGATTGCCACTCTGGCACCCTCGCAGTAGGACACTCCTGGGACACTTTGCGTGAAGCACTGCCGGCATCACTTGACGTGTCATGGTCTCTCATCGACCCTGACCTGCAAGACTTGTCAATTGATTGCCGGAAGTACATACGCTACTGTAAGCTGTGACCTGGACCGAAGTTATCCCGATGGTGAAGGCGCTGATCATGTTGTGACAGTTGACATGGAAATGTCCAAGGAATGTGTCGTTTATCAGACATCCAGCAATCCTTTCTTGTCTCTTATGCCGCTTATGTCTAGGAGCCATGCCTTATCCCATGCAATGATCGCAATATCGGCTTTCCACTACTCTCATCGGCTAGTCATCAACCAGATGCAAGCCCCCCGTGCGGAAAGCAGGCTTCTCGAGGTTGACAATACTTCACTGTGGCATAAATCAGAGGGACGCGACTGGCAGCTGAGCCAGCCAAACTTCTCACCCTCACTGCGTGTAGCTCTAGCTCATAAGCAAAGAGCCTTGCAGTATCTGAAGGTAGAAATACAAGACGGCGATGTGACAAACAATGATGCCGCAGTGGCAGCCATTGTTCTGTTTATCTGTATGGATGTGGTTGAGTTTGGCAGCCGGGGGTGGGAGCATCACCTGGGAGGTGCTGGCGAAATACTCCAACAGCGCAAAGCCTCCCTTCAGAATCGCAGTCTCGGAAATGATCACTGGGTGGATTATTTTGACACAGCCTACACGACGTAAGTGCACTTCCTGAAAGTTCTCGACTGGACTCACCGCTAACCTTTCACATAGGTTTGGGATCATGGGCGCAACCCTGGCGCCAGCGAAGGACTCTTTTGCTCAGCAACTAGCTTCACTTGATCCGTCTCTCCTAAGAATCTTGCGACAATCTGAAGATCAAACTTGGGTTGGCTGTCCTGCCGAGCTGCTCTACCTAGTTTCCATCATCAACTCTATGCGATCACTCACGGCCTATTCTGAAGCAGACCAGGTGAAGGCCGCAGAGTTGTGCAAAGGTCTCGAGAACTTCTCGCCATCAGCGTGGGCAGAGAACTTCCCGGATCCTGAGCATTACGAGTCGCGTTCACACCTTGCGCATGCTTATAAGGCCGCGGTTGAAGTATATGCCTCTCACATAGTCGGACAGCTGCTTGACCGAGGGCAGAATCTTTCTGATCTGTATCTTGAAGGGGTAACTCGATCCGCCATACTCCACATGCTCTCCATCTCAGCCCAGGACTTCCATGTAAAGAGCCTGGTGTGGCCGGCCTTTGTCATTGGGGCAGAGATTCAAGCGGCCGATCTGAAGATCATGGTTCGGGAAATTTTCAGGAATATCTGGGTATCATCGTGTTGCTACAATGTCAGAAACGCCATTGAGATGCTGGAAAGGATCTGGGCTCGAGACGATGATGAGAAGATGGCAAGGTCCTGGCTCAACTATCTCTGGTCACTGGAAGACAGTTGGTTGTTCCTTTAGCTCAGACCAAACGACATCTGCGAAATTCAAGGCAACAACCCGGAGCCCGAGGACAGGACTGCTAACAAGGATGATACATGTACTTGGTGATAAGCAGCGATGCCAAGATGCCGTGACAGCATGGAACGAAGCTGCAGGACGCTTATACCCGGATGGGACGTGCGGGTCAAGCGCCACTCCTAAAATGTGGATCACCTGCGCCGAACTTACCTCGCTGCAACGGGGTCCGATAAGGAGGAGAGTTCCCGCCTCGGTTTGAGGCCAGCAATAACGGTGCCGCCAACATCCACACATCCACCCATTACCGGACCCCGTTTATAAAACCCTCCTGTTCCCTCCATCATTTGTGCTTGGGATCATCTCGAGTCTCTTCATTCACATCCTCCAACTACATAGCCTATCTCCAGCATGTCAGCACCACATCCCCTCTGCCCCCTCTCAGGTGCGGAGATCAAAGCTGCAGCCCAAGTGATCCAGACTGCTTGGCCAACATCTGTTTCTCTTCGGTTCAAGGTGGTGACTCTCAGTGAACCCGCCAAGGCAGAACTGGCACCTTACCTTGACGCAAAGGACAAGGGACTGTCCGCTACTCAACCTGACCGCAGGGCGTTTCTTGCATATTACGTCCGGGGAACGGTACGATATCTAGGCTTTACTCACCTGAGGTCCGACAGAAACGCTGACAAGAACCGTCATAGGATCTCTTCCATGAAGCGGTAGTCAATCTGACAAGCGGGAAGGTTGAGAGCAACCTCAAGCTCGGTGCCAATGTCCACGGCAACGTCGACTACGATGAGGCTCAGTTAGTCGAGAAGATCGCCCTTGAGGACCCTAAAGTCCTTGCCGAGATCAAGAAACTCGAGCTACCTGAAGGCACAGTTGTCTGCGCTGATCCTTGGATCTACGGTGGGTACCCAAACTAAGTGCTCGTGTTTCTTGCGACTAAGCCTTGCCAGGATCTGATGGTGTCAACGATGATGCCCGTCTGTATCAAGTTTTCCTTTACATGAGAGACCCCAACAACTCATCCGAGCCCGACTCTAATCACTATGCTTTCCCGCTACCAATTCTGCCCGTAGTAGAGTGTAACGAGTATAAGATCATCCGCATTGATATTCTTCCCACTGGTGCGGACAACACCATCAAGCCTCTTAGCCCATACACACCTAAGCCAGGAAACGAGTACATCCCGGAGGCCCAGAACCTCCGGAAAGACCTCAAGCCTCTCCAGGTTGTCCAGCCCGAGGGACCCAGTTTCACCGTCACACCCGTGGGAGAGACTGGCCATGTGCTCGAGTGGCAGAAGTGGAGTTTCTTCATCGGTACGTAAAGGGTACTCCGAGGGGGGAGAGAGGAAGAACAAAATGGTTTGTAATGATGACTAACACAGCATAACTCCAGGCTTCAACCAGCGTGAAGGTATGGTGTTGTACAACGTCAAGTATGATGGCCGTCCGCTGTTCTACAGATTGTCGCTCTCGGAGATGAGTGTACCCTATGGTGACCCGCGTCACCCCTTCCATAAGAAAGCCGCTTTCGATCTCGGTGATGCGGGCGCGGGAGCCACTGCCAACAATCTACAGCTGGGATGCGACTGCTTAGGAAGCATTCAGTACCTCAGTGGTGTGATTTCCGATGACCGCGGTCAGCCGGAGTCTAGAGACAACTGCATCTGCATCCACGAGCAAGATGCAGGCATCGGCTGGAAGCACACCAACTACCGTACAGGACGTGCTGCGCTCGTCCGATCTCGCGAATTGGTGCTTCAGAGCATCATCACGGTCTCCAACTATGAGTACATTTTGATGTTCCTATTTAATCAGGCCGGCGAGGTGACTTACGAAGTCCGGGCCACTGGTATCCTATCAACACAGCCTATCGACCATGAGCTGGACAAGGTCGGCACGTCTTTCGGTACCGTTGTTCACCCTGGTGTCCTCGCAGGACATCATCAACACATCTTCTCCCTGCGCGTCGACCCCATGATCGATGGACACACCAACCAGCTGGTGTACTCGGAAGCGCACAAGATGCCGCGCGACCCCAACTGGAACCCTCACGGCACAGGCTACGAAGTTGTCGACAAGGTCGTGGAAAAGACATCGGGCCTTGACCTTGACTTTGACGTGAACCGCACGTTCAAGATCACCAACCCTAACTCCCTTAACCCTATCAACGGGAAACCAGTGGCCTACAAGATCATGGCACCGCCTTTCCAGAAGCTCATGAGCGATAATGACAGCTTCAACTACAAGCGCGCCGAGTTCGCGGACCACAACATCTATGTCACAACACATCGAGACCGGGAGCTTTACGCTGGCGGTTGGTATACCAATCAGTCTCGTGGAGGCACCGGTGTTAGAGGCTGGTCTGAGCGAAATGAGACATTGAATGCCGAGTCTGACATTGTCGTCTGGGTACAGTTCGGCATTAACCATGTGCCAAGAATCGAAGACTTCCCCGTCATGCCGGTTGAAATTCTCAAGGTGCATCTGAAGCCTGTCAACTTCTTTGATAAGAACCCCGCGTTGGATGTGCCTCCCAGTGAACAGAGCTTCAACAAAAGCACTCTCGTTGAAACTAGCAAGGCGGCAAAGGAGGCTGACGGATGTGGGTGCGACGGCCCTGCTGCAGCATCGAAGCTTTAGCCGCCAGATTATTGTATATACTTTTTGTCCAGGCAGGCAACTGTTCCCCCAGAATACATGTCTACCTCCTATCAGATTACTCTTATCCACGTTCAATAGTTGTGGCAAAGGCAAGGGGCGGAGGATTATTATCAGGCGAATAAGAGTGCTTTCCACCTCCATTTAAGGGGTTTCCCTCAGGGGGCGATATGATAATACTGCATACCAAAGATGATGAACTGACCTCTTTATATCATGATTGGTATGGAGATGCAGGCCCTTTTTTAAACTTTTAAGTCTATCGTGCATGTGGATAGTGGCTACATTCACCGGGTCCCTTGCGAAGGTGCTTCCGAAGTTCCGACTTGCGAGTGGTATCATGGCTTGCGGCTGAAATTCTTCATGCCAAGCCCAAGGAACCGCGGATTTGAACACCGTGACTTGCGGCTGAGATAACGGTATCATACTATGGTACTATGAGAAATGCAGGACTTGGAGTCAGTGGCCCCCTTTGTGGTTGTCTTGATGTCCGGGTTCCGATGCATCCCATCGGCGTCGAGCTGAGCATTGCGTTCTCGACCTTGTCCCTCTCAGATCGGAATGCTTGCTTGTCGCGGGCCGAGACGAGGGACTTCACCACTCGGTTATCAATTCCCGTAGCTTATTGGCAGGCACAAAACAGCGTGGAATGCGGGTGTGGGGTTGTTCATGAGATCACGACACTCCCTCCAGCGTGATAGCGAATCTTCTCGCGCAGGCTTGATAGGGGGTCGAAATCGTGTAACAAACACGTTTTGCATGGAATGTCTCGCAATGGATTCTCCCAAATGTGTGTAACGTTCGACTAACCCCATCAGTGCCGAGATCTCCCTGGCCCCTGACTTAACCGCCCATGTCTCACAACTCAAAAACATGGTGGCGCGGGCGGAACAATTAGTCTCGCGAATGAACTAGACCAAGCTCAACAACTCAGTTGCTCAGGATGTTAGGGCCCATGTATCCGAAAGTAAACATTGCGGCGATGCCGGATTGCTCTTTTCATTCGTTTGTCTTGGGTAAATCCGGCTGTTGATCTACCTAGGCTTGAACACGTCGGGTTGCGACCCTGGCTGCGGGGGGTGCCATCTGGAGACCCCCTTGTCAGTGTCGAAAGCTTGAATGTCGTTGGGCTTGACTGAGACACAACTATATATGATTGAGAATGCTGATGTATCTCGTGGCCTCTCATTGCATTGCTTCAAGTCTCGGGCAGACCACCCACTGGTGAGCGGCGTTCCGATTCGGATGCGATTCCTCTTTCGGCCCTGTTCACCCTCTTCTCCCTTGAAATTCCCATTCCTCAATGCCTCGGATTCTTATCGCCACAGCATGTCCGCTAGGGATCCTGCATCGCAGCCTCAAATCTTGAGTTATAAACTCGTGAAGCATACCTATCCACTGCAGAAAACCGGAAGACACACAGCAACACTACCTCTCGAACAGTTCTTTTCAAACCAGACTGCCTCCTCCTCAACACGACCTCCTTCCCTTGCTTCTCTATACAGCTCGAGATGCTGGACCAAGGCGAGCTCGGCACGGCCATGAAGGTCCTCTCCAAGGAGTCTGCTGATACCGTTCGTGGCTGGTTCTCGGGAGGGCAGGCGGGCGAGTCCTACGAGCCACTTCTTGAAGACGAGGAAGCAGATCTTTCGGCAGATCTGTCTGAACTATCGTACGAAGAAGAAAAACCAGTCGAGTACACCAGAAGAAGTTGGTTTCGATGGCGCCGTTTCCATGCACGACGCATCTTCTGGACCTTGGTGCCATCGTTCGTGGCCCACGCGTACGGCCATGGGGACGAAAATTCAGTAGTCCCTGATTCTCACCCAACGTCGTACCTGAACGGCCTCCGTGGCATCGCGGCAATGGTTGTCATTATCCTCCACTACACTGATGATGTGAGCATTCATTGAACGGGATGTACCATTATGAGAAGATAGCTGACAATCTGGTGTTTAGTTCGTTTTCATCAATCATGGTTGGGGAGAGGATCCGAACAATAAGTACATATTGCAACTCCCATTCATCCGACTTATCCACTGCGGAGTCTTGAGCGTCATGATCTTCTTCGTCCTCAGCGGCTTTGTGCTCACATATAGTCCGTTGAAGAAGGCTCATAGTGGACAAGCTGAAGCCTGCATTGGATCCCTTCCATCAAGCGTTTTCCGCCGCGGGATGCGACTATTTTTCCCGACTGTCCCCCTCCTTTTCATTGTCCTCGTCTTGAAAACATACGGGTTGTACTACAATAGCGGAAGCAGGGATCCCGAGGCACCCCCAGCCACCGGCATCTTGGCGCTTCTCGCCATGGTTTGGCATAATTTCATCATCATCACGACTCAGACCACCACCGCCAGCTTCTTGCCTCAGGCCTGGACACTGTCAGTCGAGTTCAGGGGATCAATTCTCGTCTTCCTGTGCTGCTTGGCCCTGGGACGGGTGTCCCCCCTGGCCCGGCTATCGGTGGTTGCGATCATTTTCGTTTTCTTCTGGACCCTCGGCGCGGATGGAGACATGTGGCAGCCCTGCCTCTTTCTCTGGGGCATGGCTCTCGCTGACATCCGCCATTTGCGGAACAAGCTACCGAGCCTGGAGGGTTCACTTGAGAGAACGGCTTCGTACAGCTGGTGGCTGGTCTTTGTGTTCTCGCTCTGGCTGGGAGGCTACCCCATCAATGGTCACACCTTCAACGCCGTAGGATACGGGTGGCTCGAATACTTCCCCACGTTCGGCCAGGACCCGGCGCGCACTTTCCCGGCTGTCGGTGCCATGATACTGGTAACATCCCTAGAAAACTTGCCCCCTTTGCAGCGCTTGTTGAACGCGCGCTGGGTGTTATACCTGGGCGAGGTCAGCTTCGGCATGTATCTGGTTCACTGGGCTGTTGAGAGGTCTTTCCTCGGCCTGGGTCTCAAGTTCGCGATGCAGAACGCCGGGTATTCTCTTGGCCTGGCTTGGACTTGCAGTTTCACCGTGGTTATTGTGCTCACCTTGTGGTTCGGAGATTTGCACTGGAGATTTATTGACCAGAAGTGCGTTCGCCTTGCACGCTGGTTGACCGATACGTTGGGGGTGTAGTACATGAGCTTTCATTCTGAGACTATCTATAATCATGATTTTGTAGTATTGTCGTGTTGATTTACTATACAGATTGCATGTAGATTGATAGCTTCTATTCCGTCGTTCCAGCGTCTTACACTATACCTCTTGACTCTCATTCTTTGATCTGACCTGTGATGAATGGTATGAAATCCGAGCCAATGGTGGCTTTCTTGGCTTGGAGTCCTATTGTGATCGATATCGAAAACTCCAGGTTGGCGTTCTGATAGTGTTGGTATACACGTAAGCAGGTCAGACCTTTCGGTCGCGACGAAGGTCAATAATCGTGGTAGATCTATTGCGCGTAGTTGAAGGAGGAGGAATCGTGGGCAGAGCCCGCGATCCCTCTGTGGGTGTAAGTAGGTGTGTTGGATTGGCAAGGCAGAAAAAGGGGTCTAGGTAGACGGTTAGGTAGGGGAGGTAGGTAGGCAGTCTGGGCCCGTGCAGACGGACCCTTCGACCTACTTACACCCACTGAGGGATCGCGGGCTCTGCCCACGGTCTTCCCCTTCTACATACGCGCAATAGACCTACCTCGACTATTGACCTCGTCGCGACCGAAAGGTCTGACCTGCCCACGTGTATACCAATACTCACACTCCCTACCAGCAAGGACGCATATGTGTCGATACTCTTCGCCAGAGAGAAATCCGGCAAAGTGGTCCTTGCTTGCTTTATATAAGTCCCTACAGGCACGGAGGTGTGAGAAGTGATCCCACTTGGTCGTCCCGCCACCACAGGCCAACTCCATCTCGGGCTCCAGGGCCCCGGAGCCTAAGGCTGTAACAGCACGACCAGAGTGAGCTGCCTGTGTTACAAAGACCAATCTCTTGAAGTGATCCTTCAGGTGATTGTCGAAGCAGTGGCATGGGGCCTCAAAAACGATCAGTGTGTTCCAAGACAGGACGGAAACCACCATTCACTGACGCGGAATGGCTCGCCCTCTGTGACGGCCAAGGCAGCACAGATAGATGCGAATCGTCCTTGACACCTTGGATACGGCCCACGAAAAAGTCCGAACGAAACAGCATCCATGATGATGCTCTAGCTCCGTAAAATATAAGGGCGGGAGATGGTGTAGCGTCAACTTCGTCGGCGGCAAATGGCATACCCCGTCGCCTGAGTCCCAGGCAACAACGAAGAGCGCTTCACTGAACCTGCATAAGCCTTCAACAGCAGATCGTGGTCTAGACGAAGGCAAGCGTGAACCATCGCAATCGAAACGGTGGTTTTGCGTCCTGACAACAGCGTTAGCTCATAGCACTGCTCTCAAGACGTGTAGACTCACCACGCAACTACCGCTTCTGCCGATGAACTGGTCAAAGGTACGCGAAGGGTACAGAGAGAGGTGGCCGAAGAGAAAACCAGAGCAGCAAGGGCCGACTATCATGAGACTGTGCCGTTCAAACAGTTTTACAATATTGCCCGATTTGCCCGAGATTTCAGTCTATGGTACTACTTCAGGTCAAGGTTCAAGCTGTCTTGCATTGCCGTCTTTAGTAGCTTCGCGTTGGTGTCGCCCTGGCCTCTGGTGATGTTGCCCTTCTTGAGGAACTCCTTTACGAGAGCCTCGCCCCTTTCGGTCTTCGCTAGCTTTTCAATCTCCGACTCGGCCCTGGAGATCTTAACCAGGAGCAGCAGCTCGTATAGCCGCGCCGCCACAGTGCCGGCCTTTGCGTCCTCCTTGACAGCCATGCTGATCAGCTTGGCGAGATCATGAAACGCCTCTGGTAGCGGGTCGCCGCTGTTGTTAGTTAGGGCGGCGCCAGAAGATGGAACGATACGGCAGCCGGATACGGATCAGTCAGGCAAGGCGAAGGATATGATGATGCCCAGGGCATTGGCGGATACCTTTGGCTGGGGTGGCCTGATGTTCTGTCCCCAGACGAAGAGCGGCCATCCTACGACCTCCGCCAAACCCGACGAGATCGTGAATATATAGGTCTGCGTTACAGGAACCAGCTCACACATGAGATCGCACGTTGCTCCTTCGTGTCGAAGTACTGGTGCTGCGCGTTCGCTGATGAATAACAGACGTCAACAACAGGCCCAGTATAGATACATCTGTCCAACAGTCGTCCCATGTCGGTGTAGTGTGAACGGGACGCGATCATGTCGTACTCGACGAAATCGTCCGCGGCACCAGACTATACCGCCTCGAATACTGTGGACAACAGCTTTATACCGGAATATTCAGGGCCTGGGAACACTGCATCATCTGTTAGCTCGATCCTTTGATAAACGAGACGCCATAGCAAGTCATAGAGATAGGTACGCACCGGAATTATGTTGATGCTTCGACGGGTCGAGAGGCAGTGTATATCTCCTCGAACCTGCGTGGATGGAAACACTGGCCATACGAAGCAAGGCGCCAGCCACCGGTGCGATACCACCCGTCTGCTACCTGCAAAAGGGCCCGGGGGATAGTGCCGACCCAGACGTCAGGAAGCATCGAATGCAGCCCCAGAAACCAGAACACATCTGTGGGATGAGAAAGGTCAGAAAGAGCACGAAGGACCTCAAGATACTAGGGGAGCCATACACGAAGGCTTTACTAACCGATGAGGGTAATATGCTTCCGGCACGCCGTTTCGCGTCCCTCCGCTATCCTCGGATCGGCGCCGCCGTCGCCTGCCTCCATCGGCGGTGCTTTCTCGCAAGGGCCCGGAGTCTTCCGTCAACTCCGCAAAAAGGGGCCGAACTGTAAAAGAAATGCTTGCCAGGGCAGCGACGAGAAGTTGCAGATGTCACCTAGGCCAGACCATGACCAAGCAGGCCGGCACCAAGCAGCGAAGCTAACGTGCGAGCCAATTAGCTTTTGCAAGCGGGGGAATATATACTGGAATCCAGATCAAATCGTTATCCGAAGATTCTAAATTCCCAGAAGAGAGGAGAAGATCGCTACTAAGCTCCATATCGCGTCGTGTTTTGATATCCTACAACACGTAGTCGATCGGGATATTCAGTAAAGTTCTGTCCCACGTGGGTATAATATAGACGTGGGCCCAGGGGAATTTGACATAAAGAAGGGGGTAAAGAGAGGTCGACTATAAGGTGACCAGTACGTCGGGAGGGAGGCATTCGGACAGGACGATGTTCCTCCTAACGTACGAGTTGCTGGCTGCCTGAGCGCAGTCGTGAAGCGGGAACATGTTCAGGGCCGAGTCGGGCCTGGGGCTCGGGAGCCACGCAGAATAGTCTAATGAGGATTGAGGATGAGAGTAAGGATAGAAGGTGAAGAAGGAAGAGACCAGTGGAACGAGGGATCGCGGGGGATTCGTTGGTAATAGCTCAGATGATTCCTCTATGGAGAAGAATTAAGACCTGACAGCCTCCACTGTCTGACCTATGTGAAGATGACAGACATCGGTGGGCAGCGTTTCCACCGCCCCCAAAGCGCTGTTGCTTTAGGAGAGCCAGGATCTCCTTGATGATCTTTGAGTTACACATGCCGCGGCCCGGCGTTTGAAGGTTGGCAGTGTGGCGCTCGCAAATTGAAAGGGCTACCAGTAAACGGGACCAAACACAACCTGAATTGTCTGATCCAAGATTGCCCCATGTTCCCACGATGCAGGGCATGGGATCCAGGAGTGGCTGGAATCTCAGACCTCTGCGCAGGAGACACGCAGCTCGCCAAGATGCCATCTCAAGCAAACAAGACTGACTGACTGACTCACGTTGTGTTGTTCCCCATGTCGCATGCCAATTTCCACCACAAGAGATACATCAGAAACAAACGGATACGCACAACTGACGCAAACGCCGAGGCACACCCCGTCCTCTCAGAAAGCTAGTGGACCACGGCTGCTACCCGTCTGAGCAATCATCTCAATCAAGATGCCTGGTTTGACCACGATGGAAAGACGGGAAGGCGGGCGTGAGCAGACGGGACCAAGGATGCCCAAGTGGTGGCCGTCATCCGGTGAAATAAATGGGGCACCATCCTGCCGGCCCCCGACTCCGTCTGCGACACAGTATCCGGAAACTCAGGCTCCAGCTCGACCTCGCCCAGCATCGACTGCCCTTTCTGATATGTGACGACCCTTGGCGACCAAAGCGGTAGGGAACGTCGTAATATAGTCCCGCGGCACAGTCGTCTCTGCCAATCGGATTCGCAGCCGCGGTTGAAATGCCGGAATACGAGATGCCACAGCCCGGTGCCATGGGCCGAGACGTAGCATCCGCGAAAAGAAGAAGGGGCTGTCAAACGGACGCCTTTGAGCCGCATGACGCACATCATGTCTTTGACTACCTGGAACCACTGAGTCTTGTAGTGAAAATTGTGGACCGAGAGTAAGAGGCCTCTGGGCCTTGGGAAATACGTTCCGTTGCTTCTTCCGCTCTCAACGCTTCTATCTATCTATCCCGTCCATTGACAGGAGATGGGCTCAGATTTGGAGCCATGCATAAACTCCAAACGACCAACTGCAAAATGCAAGACATGCTCAAAGGCACGTCTTCTCTCAAAAGAAAGCCAAAAACTCCACCATGTCTACAGTGTCCCAAGCGACATCGTCCACCCAATTACAATTATGGCAAACAGCCAAGCTTCGGTATTTCCTTGCCATCACAAGCTGCCTGGGACACAAGCAACCATCTCGCGCATGGCGGCAGGGCCAAATGACCAAATGGTTTCCATGGCATGTAACCCAACGCCATTGCAGGCTCAAGTTCCACTGAAGCCGCAGGGAAAGACACCCAATGAAATCAGAAACCAGGGGTATCTCCGCCATTCTCCTTCCTTACAACGTGAAAGACCTTCAATTTTTTTTTCTGTTTGTGGCACCGAGGATTCCTCGTCAATTTTTCTACTCAATCTCCGAATCCGGCATTGCCGGGACATCTGGCGATTCGTATTCGTCCCATGCTTTTTGTATCATGTCCCTATGGCATCGTGTTAGCTGCATTGCCTTATTCTCATAAAGATGTGGAATACTCACGCTTCAACCTTGATCAGTTCCACCCCCTTCTTGCGGCAAAAGACCAAGAAACGCCTTTTGGTGCGGTCCCTCTTAAACTCAGCCAAGAGGTCGCCTCTAGGCTTGCCATCAGGCGAAACCACGACGCCGTCTTTGCAAACCACAATGACCTTGGAAGTGTCCGTGGCCCATTTCATCTCCTGGATGTGTTCCAATTCCAAGTGGAAATTTACCGGCTTGGCGTAAATACCCCAGGTCAAGGTGTCGCTTTCCGCAAGTACTTGGTGCTCAAAGATCTGCTCGCCATTGTCTGGGATCCAGTGCCAGTACTGTGTCACACCGGTACTAACGCTGTTCAGTCGGGACTTGATCCGGTTCAATGCCCAGTCATGCTGGCCGATATGATCGCCGCTATAGTCATCAACGTCGGTGAAGCCGTCGTAGTGTAAATCTTCATCTTTGAGCTTTCCAGGAATCCTTGCCGTCCTAAGCTTCTTGGACTGCCTGGCAAGCTCGGGAGTCGGCGGCGTACTTAAAGGTGTCTCGCTTTTTCGAGATTGGAGCTGGCTTGGCGGCAATTGGCTTTGTGGCTGAGGCGGAGGTTGAGGCTGAGGCTGAGCTTGAGGCTGGACAGGTGGATGAACCTGAGGCGGCTGTACCTGGGGCTGCATCTGAGGCTGCACCTGCTGGACTTGAGGCTGAGACTGGAATTGAGGTGTCGGTGTTGGGGCAAGCGGACGCTGGGATGCGAGGGGATACTCTTCGTTGATGAAGAGCTTGCGTTTTTTGTTGTTTGGGGTGCCTCTGGCCGAATTAGGCGAGTCTTTTGGCGCCATCTTCATGCCTGACGGTCTTCCAATGCTCTTTTTCCCGTTGGCGAGTCTCAGAGCCACGTACTTTGAATCGTGATAAAAGTCATGGATTGTCTTGGCCAGGTTGAAGTCCGGTCCGTCCAAGATGATGATTTCCTGCAGGCGTTGACGTAGCCACTCCAAAGGGGTGATGTCAAGGGTCTTGAAGCCTTCCAGAGTTCGCAGAGTGTCGGCTAGACGGAAAATGGTGTCGTAGGAAACAAGTCGGGTCATCATGTACTTCTTCCCCACTAGTTGATAGGGGCAAAAGTCGGCGTCGCTCAAAAACTTTAGAATAGTCTCTCCTCGGTTTACCTGTCTTCCCAGTTGGAACTTCATGCTGGTCTGCCCCTTTTCCAGAGCAGTTTGTAGCTTGTCTCGCCATGACTGCAATGTCGGCTCGATCGTGGGCACGATATCCGGCCAGGCTGGGTCCCAGTACTCGTGTGTCCGATCAATCTTGTTAACGGGTACACCGGCCATGCACTCGGGATGCGTAAAGACTTTTCCGTCGTGCTTCAACAAGAGATTCGCTTTGGTGATTGGAGTCATGTCCTCCTCTGTCTCGTCAGTAGCTGTTGAGCCCTCCGCAAAGCTCTTATCTCGGGAACCAGGTCGGCTCTGGCCGACGGGAGTCGCAGTGCCATTGGTGAAGCTGCCGTTGGCGGCTCGTTCGTTATATACATCTTGGGCGTTGAGTGCCCTGAATCCCCTCGTGGGCGGCGTTTGACTTATTGACGACGGGACGTCGCAACAGTTTGTGCTCTGCCAAACGCAGTTACCACATGCTTGAAATTCAGGCATGTCGAGGCCAATGCATTGCACAAAGGGACCTCTGCCGCTAGCACATTGAGCGCACTGCTGCGATTGTTTCCGAACGAGGCCTGTGGCTTGGATGATGGCGCCTTTCCACTTGTCTTCCGCCTCTCCAAAGGCTTTCATGTCGTCCTGGCTGAATGTGATGCCATCGCGGAGCTGGACAGGTCGTTTTTGAGGTAAGCTAGACAGATATATGACGATTCTGTTGCTCGATACGAGGCGGTTCACCGGTCCAACAGTACGACCCGATGCGTCAATGATCATGGTCAAAGGAGGTTGGTTAGGTCTGACATGACTGGGGATCGTTACGGCGGCGCCATTCCGATGCTCTCCGTTAGTGTTCATGCCATTGAGTCCGGCGCTGGCGACCTTGCTTAGATGTGACGCTTCAATATGCCCCGAATCGCGGCGCGGGGCGGCGCCGGCGAGAGCTGCAGCTGCAATGCTAACACGTTCATCATTCTCTTTCCGGCGTTGCTCGTCGAACCAGACAGCCAACTGCCTTTGGTGATGTTCGCGCTGAATCTTCATATCCTTTCTGGTGTTGTGGAACCTGTCGTTGAGCTCTTCAAGGTGCTTATGTTCTCGTGTGATGGCGCGGTGAACTTCGAGGGCACGTCGCTCGAGCTCATTTTTCTCCAAGTTTAGCTCGGTTAGGCGTGCCATGTAGTACTTGGCATTGTTGAGATACTCTTTGTCGAGGTTTTCATCGTCTTGCTCTTGCAGCTGGCGCATGGACTGCCAGTATTGCTCCTCATCCTGGGTGACAGGCCTCCTGTCATCTCCAGGATCGAAAGGCATGGTGAAGGCGCCCCAATTGGCAGGGTAGTGGTGGTGGTGGTGGTGGTGAGCAGATGAAAATGGCGGGTTTTGAGGGGACGTGTGAGTGAAATGCGTCGATAAACGCAGCAGTGCTGTTCATCCAATGTTGGAGACACGGGGCGCGAGCTCTCGAGATCGGTCGGGCAGAAAATCGAGATTACTTGAGCACGAGGGTGCGACCGTTCCAAACAAGACTGGGGTTTCGCATTGAAGGAGATGGAGAAACTTGAATGGAAATGAAATGCGGCGACAGTCCGACCAGGGGTGCAAAATGTGTGGATAAGCCGAAGATGTCGCGAGCGTCGATCAATCCGCGGCGGCCTTGGGTGTGTTATGCCGGCGCTATGGCCTGTGAGCCTGTGAGGTGAGGTGCTGTCAAGAGTTGTGTGTGTGCCTGTGTGAGATGCGATGCAACAGGAGAGGGGCACTGAAAGTCAGACCGGGGAGGGTAAAGTAAGGTAAGGTAAGTTAGGTAGCTATCCGTAGTGGGAACTGTAATCCACGTAAAGGGTCGGAAGGAAATAGCCGACGGGAGATGAAAACGTAAGGCGACAGTTGGAAGTTGGTTGGAAGTGAATGTGAGGGTGAAGACGGGAGATGAGGCGATAGCGTCAAAGGATACGGATAGGACCTGACTGCAACGGGCAGCGGGATGTGGGTGAGTGAGACGTCAAGCGACGCAGATTTGCAGGACGGTGGCTGCTAGTGTACTGTACGACAGTCCCTAGGTGACCGTATCGAAATGGAAATTCCGAGCAATGAAAAGGTAGCGCGGGTGGACAGGGGACGAGAAACCGACTAATGCACTTAGGTAGCTGAGGTGCCTCGATGTCGTTGAGGATAGGCGGATTATAGGCCGGGTGGAATTTGGCGATAGGCGGATACCTTCAAGCACGCGGTCGGAACACGACAATGGGTGCTGGGCTGGGTCGATGGCTGAGATAGGTGAGCGAGACAGTCTGGGAAGTGATGGGCCGAAATCTCGAGGGCAGAAAAGGTCCGGTGTTGCTGCCCAGTGATGATTTGCTGTGGTAGATGCGGACAGAAAGACGTGATGCGATGCGGGTGCGAATGAGATTGGATGGTTCCTTGAGAGAATGCCTAGGTGAGTAAGATGGTCGACTGCACCGAACTGCACCTCACTGCACCTCAGACGCTGTTGGAAGGCGATTGATTTAGTCGACAGGTAATGAGTATCGCGTGTTCGCACGTGATCTTGCGCAAGAAATTAGACGCTTACTCCCCTGTGCCGACGCAATAGAAGGGATGGGGGAGGGGGGCAAGATAGTCGTGTATGTACAGAGTACGAACAGATAGGGAGTTGGGCCAGGGTGGAGGTGGATGTGTGAGGTACCTTATTGTGCGATGGACGATGGGGCAGACTGCAGACCGGGTCTAAGAGAAGTTGCGAGTTGGCCGGTCGTCGGCTGTTACGAGCTGTCCGATTATCGACAATCCCCTGATGCACTGAGTCGGTTGCGGAAAATGTTTTGTCTGGGGAGGGGGAAGCCAAGCAAACAGGACCCGGGCTTGAATCAGAGATCGAATGCGCGGTGGTCTCCGGAGTAGATTAGAACCTAGAAAGATGTGCCCAGGGGTGGAAGGGGGCCTTGTGTGAGGGAGAAGGAAAAATTCAACAAAGTGAAAGAAAAGGCCCGGATAATGGACAATAGCTGGCACCTTGGTCCATGGACTAGGAAGAGCAGCATCAATTTGCTTGCTTCCCCTGCCTTTCTAGTCTCTGAGGCACCTATTCCTATCATGCATCACACCTAAGTACCTTACGAAGTAGCTAAGTAGGTAGGTAATCAACCACATGGCCAGCGTCACAAAAGGTAATCAATGCCGATGTACGTACGGATAGGTACACTAGAATCCGCACATAGACACATTACCTCAGATGCATACCGAAATAGTAGGCCGGCTCATTCACTATCCGTATGAACGTCAACACTTGCCTCATTGTTGGCCAAAGGGCAGGAACGGACTGCGAGTTGCCCCCACCGGCACACGCACAATATTGAAGAGGAAGCCAATCGACATCTGCTGCGTCCTTCCCTTGTTCTATCTTCGGGTGCAATACCCTGGTAGATGGTATCAATAGTTGAGGTAACCTAAACTGATACGAATACCTTGTCGCTTACCTAGTATGGAGTACTCAAGCACTCAAGGTAGCGCTACAGAGTACGGAGTACCTTAGGTAAGGTAACGTAAGGTGCTGTGTTGGCCCATGCATTGTGCATGTACCTTTTCAAGTATTTTCCCCAGTCCCTCGTGCCTCCCTAGCAAATATTGTTCGACATGGAAATCCAGGCAAGTACCTATTGCGCAATCGACAGGATACTCAAGGTATATATTTACCTACTTTACGCTTAGGTAGATGCAAAGCGCCTTGATCATTCTACGGATAACACAATCTGATTCCCCCAATTGTGTCTCAAGTACTGATTTGAATTGCTCCAAGGAAACATGTCTCACGACACCTAGAATCTAATTACCTAGGTATTCGACCTTATTTTACTTTGTCGCACCCAAACCACGTGATTGGACACAAGTGCGAGGAAACTCAGGAAAGCCCCTTAGCTTCAGGCTAGCGCACGCCGATAACAGATCCTCTATGTACCCGATAAGGCACCTTGACCTGGGTCGCCTGGGCCCCCTCCACTTCTTACCACGTCCCCTCCTCCGATATCAAAACCTCCAAGTTCCAGCTTACCTACATACCTACTCAACCGTTTAACCGCCTTTCTCCTGGACCGATGCCACGAGGTCTGGACTCCCGAGACTGACTGGCAGAGTCATGTGCTGTGATTTGTGACCATCTGTACGAACTATGTCCGGTGTGCCAGTACAGATACCTTTCTCACCTTAACTTACGGAGTACCTTACCTTACCTTAAGGTAGGTACATTATGTAAAACTTCACTCGGCCTCGTTTCCGTGTTCCGGTCTCCGTGCATCTCAGACTGGGACTCCACCTCCACTTCCCACTCCCACCCCTTCCAATCCAAATCCTACCTTGGAGACACGGACGCAGATCGTAAAAAACCTTCTTTTTCGTTAACTTTTTCAATCAAGCTTGTCAACGCTTGTCTGTCCGTGTATCCGTATCTATATTTCCCCCCCAGGCTGCAAGCCCGAGCCTCTCGCGCTGCTCGGGCAGTGGATGTGACTTTATCTTGCGGGCTCGACATTGCTCGCTTGTTGCTCCTTCCCTCATTCAAGGTTTGCCTGGGGGTCTCGCGGACTACACATTTAATTAGCCCACCAACGGCTGGCCATCTGCTATGCTTCACCTTGATTGATCATCGAAGTCTTTTCAAAGCTTGATATAAGTTCATGCCAAATTTGTCCCCCTTTCCTATGACTATAACGTGGATGGCAAGCAAAACTCAATATGGCGTTCGAGTCAAACTGCCACATATACCCTTATTGCAGAGTCGCATAGTGTCTACGCATGCCAAGACATCGCTGCCTCGACTTGCATGCCCGTACGAACTCGGAACGAGCTAGGTAGAACCGTAGAATGACACGTTCACCAGGACAAGACTTCATCCGTGTCATCTTGCGCTTCTACTGGCCTCCCCAGTGTGCGACCACGCGGCTTGCATTCCCTTCGGACCCCTCCCCTTGTGCGTTTCCCCTGGCTGAAGACTCGTAATCTCTTACCGGGCGCACTGAAATTGCTCTATCTTGATTGAATTAAACTATGTACTACTGACACCCATGGGCATCGATACCTATACGTGTTAACGATATTAACCTATTCGCTGTGCTAGTTGCTGGTTGATCCTACAACCGGCAGGCCCCGCCTCGGCCGCCCGCCTCAACCCAAAAACTCAAAATCGGCCGTGTCTCGGGATGCAGCCCGACCTGTAAAGACAGTTTTTACCCCCAAACGCCATTCTGATTCAATGCCCAAGTCGTCGTCATCCCCAAAGTAACACAGATGTCCGAAGAACATTCGCTGCAGATCGGCAAGATCCGGACTCCTGTCATGAAATTTCGCCGTGGAAAACGCCCATTCGATGTCTAGGCGTTGTCATGCACATCCTCGCCGCCAATCTCGCCGCATCAGTACCTTGCGGAGTAACGCGCTGGTGCTGGAGAGGGGGAGTAGGAGTGATCGTATCCACCGGTGTGGTTGTAGGGGTCGTTGTCATAAACAGTCGCTCGACGATCCTCCTCTGGCAACAGCTCCTTGACCTCCCAGTTGTTCATCCTAGTTCCAACTGAGAATTCGAGGTCTTCGCGGGTGATAGAGTCCCAGTACTGCAGTAGCGGATCAGTAAATGCTGTCATTCCAAGACTTTCAACTCTACATACCTTGTACACCATCATGACACCCAGCAGGTTGCAGATGGTGGCGAAGAAAAGGCCGTCGAGGTAGTGGCTAACAGCGGTGCAAATCTGTGTGCTCACGGCGTACAGAATCACTTGGCCAACGACGAAGAAGAAGATGCCAAACGCAATGTCGCCCAGCGGCCAGCGGTCCTGGAGAGTCCTAACGACGAGGAGGATTTGCAGGGCAACGTAGACGAAGAGCTCAATAGCATTAAGCAAGTACAGGACGACGAACAGGCCGACAGTGTTGGTGGGACCCAGGCCAGCCCACGATTTGAAGGTCGCAAGGGAGACGAGGAAGCATATCGCAAAGGCTACCAGAGAGCAGACGCGCAGCAGCCAAACGGAGAGGAAGGTGCCATCTTCGTACAACTGGAAGCCAACAAAGCCGTTGATCAACAGGCAAGTAATCAGAGCTGATGACAAGCCGTTTTGAACTGACACGAAGTACGGGTAGGGGTCGGATCCAGGGGGCACGACACCTGCGTCGACGCAAAGTGAGATGAAACTCAGAAGCATGTAGATGTAGAAGAACATGAGGATTTCCTTGCGGCCTATCGACGTTTCGTCAGTATCTCTATGTCAAAAACGAGGGGTCGTGAAGGCTGACGTACCGACAGCAGTGAACTTGCCACGAATGTGCAAGATCATGACGACGGTCATGAGCAGAGACACAATGTGCATAGCGCTGGCAGCACCCTCAAAGATGATGGTGTTTGCCAGCTCGATATTGCGCGCGTAGCAGTCCGGCTCAATACCAACGCCACTCGTCACCTCCGTAATGGGGCCGATGGATGCGCACAATGGCAGCGGCGCCATGTGGCAGATGTTGGTGAAGTCGCCGAAGCCTGACATGATGGGCTACGGCCGACCTACGGCGATGAGTCTTTCGGAAGGGCAGATGGCGAAATGGCAACGTCGAATGGTTGGAACGGGGTGCGAGGTATGCGGTTGGAAGGTTCCGTCGAGGGTCGGATGAAGTTCTCGACAGGGGTGATGGTGAAAGGATATTCGAGCGATGGACGGAGTCGAGGCCAAGCGACAGATTCGACGTGATATGGATGGCGTTTCGTCAAGAGTGAGCGAGAGGTCCGGCGAAGCCCGGTCGTATCGTCGCGAACGAAGGGGACGATCGTGCGAATGGACGAGGAATGGATGTTTCGATAGACGTCAAGGGAGGTCACTCGGATGGAGGGCAGGCGGGTTTCTCGTGGAGATGAGGCGTCGGGGGTCCGTGACGGGAGATGGCAATAATCAGGAGTCCGAGTTCAAGAGCGATGGGGAGAGGTTTTTTTCTTGGAGGTGGTTCTTGTCGACGACGATGACGATATTACGGAGGCAACGACGACAATCTAACGGTGAAGAGGGAACGGAGCGAGGGTGCGACAACGAATGACTGGGACAAGAACCTGATTCTGATGAACGGGCTGGTGGTTGGGGAGCGAGTGACAGTGGACGGTTGCTGTCCGACGACAAGCTGAAGCTGAACGGGGGGGGACGTTGGAGAAGCGTTGCTGTGGAAAAGGGAGGAAAGGAGCCCACTCTGGACACTCTGAGGCCCTGCAGGTGCAGAACAAGCGCGGCAAGTGCAGGATTCAAAGTGTACAAGTGCCAGGAAGGGGCGGGCAAGCGGGCAAGACGGGTAGCACAGCAAGCAAGGAAGCACCAGCTGGAAGGAGAAGGGTCAAGGGGACCACTGGGAAGGTAGAACGCTCTCTCGTAAGAGGCGCCTTCCCGGTCCAGGAACGGGACGGAGTGGGGCGGATGGCAATCTTTGCAGGTCAAAAGGTGGCTGGTGGCTTTTGAGAGTCCCCAGTTGAATACAACAGAATGCCATTCTTCCCGGCCTCTGACTGGCCATCTCGTGTCCTCCCTTCCCCACCTTGGAAAGTTGAAGTGCGTATTCTCGGCAAATTATCCCAATTTAGCAGCATTGCCCCTGCCCAAGCCATTGAAGCGACGTCCATTCTTCCCCGCTAGCTCGAACACGAGGCCCCGTCGCCCCGTCTGGCAAGAAGTGTGAGCAGGTGAGATCCCCGTTGTTGCCAGTTGCCCAGCCACTATTTAGACCCTTCATGTCGTGTACTGCGTAGAGTGCTTATGTAATTCCTCCCTTTCGTAGTCGCATCTCCTCAATTCAATGCCTCTTCTCTCTGAGACGAGGCGCATTCTGTGCATTCGTCTGGCCTTGATTGCTTCGTATCCATTTCCAAATTCCACCATTGTCAAACAAAGACATTGAGTCGGGTTTGCGACGTGTTGCCCGTCCCTGCGTCAGGAAAGAAAAAATCCTGACATCGGGACAAGACAAACCTTGCAAAGAACAGCAAACTCCCGCTGTCACTCACGCGGGCACGCACTCTCTCCGTCGTCCAGTCAACCGTCGCATGGTTTTCATCCCATCTCGCCCCAAACTCTCTGCCTCTGCGATAATCACCTACAAACCGGTTTATCAAAATGACCAATGACCAAGATGCGGCCTACTAATAGTCATGTCTCTCTCTCTCTCTCTCTCTCTCTCTCTCTCTCTCTGCCTGGCCGCGGCCTTGCCTGTGCCACACAATTGTTGACCTGGCAGCTCCAACTGCGAATCAATGTTGATCAACCAACGCGGCAACCGTCTCGGTGTAGCTCACAACCTGTCTAATACGTTGTCGTCCCAGCTTATTGGCCCGGCCGAACAAACGTCTCAGCCTGGCACGTTGAAACGTCACCCAGCACGACAAAATAGCCCTGAATTACCACAATTATTCAGTCCATGTCTTGGCGCAACTTCACCTCGTTTTCAGATCAGCCTCATCTGACGGATCTCGAAACCTCCCTACACCTCCAGCGTTGGTGGTGCCAGCACCATCAAGAAAGTGCTGCCTGGCGCCCAACTATGCCTCACCCACGGCATGGCCTTCAGCATCTGAAAGTGAGCGGGCAGAATTTCCCCCGTCCAGCTTCGTGGCTCCTGCCGTGGCCCTCCAACATCCGCGTCACCAAACTCGTCATCGTATTCTAACAACTCCATCGACCGGTGTTGCAGAAACCGCATCAGAGTTCGGAATGTGGCAGGAGTAAAGCTGCTTTCTTTGGTGATGCCGACCGTCACGCCAGCTTGTCCCATTCTCTCCTCCACCTCCCTCGTCTGGAAGTCGGTCCAGTCCACCTCACCAAGTATCTCCAGCGACGTCAATACATTGGGTAACACCATTTGTTGGTGAGCGAGACTGGCTGGTGCTCGTCTGCAACCCAACATGCCATACACGTTAGTTACAATACACCATTGAGCCTTGCTGTTGCTACTGCTCCTCACATGTCCTTCCGCGTCCGCCACAATTCGACAAGCCTTCTTGAGGCACTGGATGGCGTTGATAGCGCGATGGATGCGATGTCATTTGGTTAGGCCGAGTAAGAACAGAGCCTTCATGAACGCTACAGGCATATTGCCCTCCCGATCGTTGCTTTGGTAGAGCTTCCTCATCGTCTGGATGAAGCGGTCGACCAACGCGGCAATGTCGATTAACGAATCTGCGGCTTTCTCCAACGTATCGGCGACCGCGCTCGGCTTCAGCCACAACAAGCTACTCTCCAGCTGTAGCTTGCTGTGCAACAAGCTGGCCATGCAAGCGATAACCTTGACGGCAGCCCGCTGGCAGTCCGTCCCCAGCATCATAATGAGACGGTGCTCGGCGTTTGGCCCGAAGCCTACAAAGCATCGACTGACAGACTCGGACGGGTGGTAGTCGATTGTGAGGCTCCCGTGGTGCATGAGCAGGCCCTTGGATAGGTGCTTCTTCTCCTTGACGCGGTATAGCACCCTGGAAGAGCAAGAATCATAGTCGATCCGGGATCCGTCTCTAGAACAGTGGCCGACGTCGCCAGAGGACAGCGGCATCCAAAAGACGTCGTCCGCCAAGGGGCCTGATGGGTGGTAGAATTTAGACTTGTCTACTGTGAATGTCCCTCGCGGGGCTTCGACGGACATCCATGCTGCTGCCATATCAATATCCGACGGCGCCGGGCGTGGGGCCATGGCGAAGCTTCCAGATGTCAGACGGCGTACGGGGACGAGATCGTTGGCAGACTCGTTCTTTGCGTCGTCTGCGCTCTTGGACCTCTTGAATCTCTTGGATATGCCGAACGTCATCGTTTCCTTTGGTCTTCAGTGGGCGTTATGGAACGAGTTGCTGTCGCGTGCTTCGGGTCGCCAAGCAAACGTTCACCAACCTTGTTCGTCTATAACTCGTTCTCAGTGTGTATTCTGGTGATAATACCTGGGGGCGTGGTACGCCGACTGACAAGTTGTCGATTTCTCTTGACTAATTTGTGACCCTCAAGAAAAATAGTGAAAAGACGATATATTTTCGTAGCTTCTGAAAGGTGACATGGTGCCGTATCTTCCCAGCCTCAGACCCATCTCCGATTGACCATTCTCTAATAGAGTTCTGGTGCTTGATGGGGACCCAAGTTCTCACATGATATGCGCGACCCAGAACTTCACGAGCAATCTGGGCTGTTTCCAAAAGTTATTTCCGATGAGGCGTGGCCTTGCTTTCCCCTCTAGGTATTTCGGACTAAACCGCCCGCAGAAGGATTTAGCTCTCGCAAACGACTTTTCCCAGCAAATATGAGAGCTGCACAAGGTATCTTGCTAGTAATAGCCATTTATAAGTACCCAGGCAAGGTATTGAGCAAAGCGAGATTCCCTGGAGTCTTGTCATCTAACATGATTAAACATATTCAATCCTATCTGCCTACCTTATTCAAGGTACTTTATCGTCTGTGACGGATGTAATTTGCACATTATCCGCAGCCCGTCCGCCATCATATGCAAAATAACCTACAAGACCGAGTAGTCCAACTATGCCTTTCAAGCTTATGGGCTCTTTGAGTCTCATGATATATCTTCTAGTCTCCTCCCCCTCAGTCTCAAGAAACACTCACCTTGGCGAACATCCTGGCGAGTCAGAGAATACCGTGCCAAACATGTCATTGAAGATATTCTTCACACAGTGCCAATTTTCAACCAACCAACATCGCCAAAAGTGCGATGTCACTGTCACTCTCTGATTGGTTCATTCCTCCAAACTCAATCCTTCCGAAATCCAGCAGCAATCTCCGCTGACGGCCATCTATCCATCAGATTTAGCCAAGCATCACATTCAACACATCATAATGCCCTTTGGAACAAGAGATTACTGTCTACTTTGACGTTTTTTAGTTTGATTCGTCTGATCTTTCGTGATCTAGCTGTCATCGCTGACGCTTAGTTTCTATCTACACCGAAAAAAGGCCCCTTTGCCTCTTCGGAAGAGCCCAAAAACCCAACCGCTTCCTCTCTTTGGGTAAGCTGAGCTTTCGAAGTGCATCATCTACCAGATGATGCACGAGCTTGAAAGACCATTACTCTTTCTTGCCTTGTTAACCTCCTTGTTACCCCGAGAGCCCAAAAGTAGAGAGTGAAAAAAGACAACTCCGCCTGATGCAATTTTCACAGTTGATCCATGAGAGTCATCCCTTTCCTTGCCAAGACTGCCCAAGTTTCCCCAATCCTCCCTCGCCGCTGATGAAGTATAAAAAATAATGATCCTGACCCGACGCCTTGGACAATGCAATGCTTAAAAAAATGAGTTGAAAGATCTATCCTCCGTGTGTTGTCTCGGAGGAGTGTATGTTGGAAATGGTGGCTGGTCCATTCGGTTCCCAAGCCTCTAGTTCGGGAAGGGCCCTTGCGGCAGACCATGGGGCATGTGCGGCATGTGAGCGCTCATTCTGTAGGGTGCATGCATGAACTCTGGAACCACACCGGTTCGCAAGTCGTTGCGCCGCCCGAGAGGCTGGTAGTGCATCTGCGTCGTAGGCAGGTGATACTCATTGAGAGAAGCCGAGGGTGGAGGGTAGAGTAATGTGTTGACGTGACGGATAGGCTTGTATGGGCTGGGACGTTGTTGAAGATAGACGCTCGGCGAGTGTGACATGGGCGTATGCGAAATCGGAGTGTGCATGACAGATGTCGGGAACTGTTCTCCGAGGGGCGAAGACGCATACACAGAGAGGCTTCCTGGGCTGTGTCTCTTCGTCGGGGTGCCGTATCCCATGTTGGGATGCATCGGAACGTTCGAGGGCGTAAGCGAGGCTTGCGGCATCGAGGTCGTAGCTGGCATGGGCAGCTGCGGCATCGAGACTGTCGTGGTAGGGTTGAACACTGTTGACATGGCACGAATGCCGTTGCTCAAGGGCGGCAAGGAGACGTGTTGCTGTGCCGGATAGGTCGTCGGGGCCGGGTACATTTGTGCCTGTGATGGTGCGGGGTTGGTGTTCAGCGTCAGGTTCGGTACGGGCAGACGCATGGGCTGCTCGCTGACCGCCATAGGTCTGCCGACAGGGGGCATCGCGTTAGGCTGCCTGCTAAGTCTCTTCGCCGGGGGCTCCGCCACATCTTCCTCCGAACTTCTCTTACGAGCATTCATGTTCATGCCCGAGACGTGCTTGCCAGACAGTGGTGACACCTGTGGGTTGTGATGATATGTCGAGGGCCAGACCTGCGTGTTGCTCTGCAAGTTGGGGCTCGGCGAGTAGACATTTGCGGCAGAAGGCGTGAGGGGTGGGAACGAGACTGCGGGCTGCGCGACGGCGATGGGCGAAGGGACCGGCGAGGCGAATGACTTGTTCAACGGTGAGGTTGGTTGCTTCTGGGCCCGTTCGTAGTATTCTGAGAAGCAAGACAGCTTGACGAGCCACTCCTCCCACTCCTCTTTAGTGGCCAGCAGGCTGTAGCGCATATTGCTGAGAAACTCGACCTCCATTACGTGGATCTCTTGAACGGTAATGCCAGAGACCTCAGCCCAGGTCTTGTTCGTGTAGGTATTATCATCCAAAACTATGAGATATCAGCATAAGACTCTCCCCCTCCCTATAGCAGTTGTCACTCACACTTGTTGCCCAGCATAAGAGCCACCGTCAGGAGACGGTACTCACTACCGGATCGACCCTTGACGGAAGGATTTGTCGTCTTCAATCGGTACACGAAAAGCAGGGCCAGGAGGATCACGTTCTGCGTGACCTGTGTCGTCGAGAGCACGCTGTAGGCCCACTTCTTGAACTGGGGGAACGGGGTCGCATACTCGGTGAGGCGAGGTACAGTGGCGGTCGACGGACGGGAACGGATATTCTCAGCGATTCGTAATGTGTCCATAGACTCGAACCAAAAGAGGCACGTAATCTGGAGGAGGTCAGCTATTTTTCTCTTTCTTCCGTTGAGGGTCAAGTCCCACTTACCTGTGCTGCAAAGTCGGCCAAATTACCACCCTTGGGGTTGATGCAGCTCGGTATCGAGAGGCTGTGCAGAACGAGAGCCGAAGATCCCTTCCGTGATGAAGTGCCATCTGGCTTGCCAATGGCACCTGAAGTCGGTGTTGACGGGCGAGTTGAGTGTCGAGAGGTGGTCGAGTATTGGCTAGTGCCCGAGGCAGGATTCGTTACCGGTTGTGGGGGTTGAGAATATGTGTTGGCGGGTTGTTGGTACCGAGGGTATTGAGGGGCTCTCGCAGTCTCGGTCATGACAGCTTTGGGTCCTCTTGCCTGAGCAACTGAGGAAGGATATGAGGGAAGGACATGGCTGTCGTAGGAGACAAGGTGAGGGGCGTGGTAGGTAGCACTCATGGCGTCGGTTGGCGGCGTGCGAAGCCCACCCCGGTACAGAGAAGCTCCTGCCCCGAGATCGAACCTGGAATCCTTTTGCGAGTGAGTGGCCGTGGAGGAGGTTTGCTGAGGGTAGCTCTGTCTACACGACGAGGGGTGTGCAGGAGACAGAGGGAGGCTGTAGAAGGGCAAAGGTGCAGCAGTCGAACACATCGGAGCGGGGAAGTTGATCGTTGGCTCGCGGAGGGGGACTCGAGGTTTGTCGTTCGAAGGCCGACAATCTGGTGAGCGATGCTTCAACTGCGGAAGAAGTTTGTTTTCGAGAGGTCGAACGGAGATCGGAAGAGGGTGTGAGAGAGGGAGAGGCGGGTCGAGGAGTGTCAATCAAGGAGAATCAAGGTCGTGGGCTTCTACATTTGTGATCGAAGCAGGCGGCAGATTTTCGAATATGATTCACTTGTAGAAGCGTCCTCAGTAGTGAGAGATGTGTGTGCAGCTCGACAGGATGCTGTGGGCAGTTTGAGTCAGGTAGAAAAGGTCAACCCGGAATTATATGAATGCTCCCGTCGGGTGGTTTTCCCCTGTACTCGCAGGCTTGAAATAGCAGTTCTCTTGAGGATTGGTGGTTCTACTGTTGTCGAGGCTGTCTATCTCCGCTACAGGCTGGCCAGGGCAAGGTGAATTGCCCAGGAATTTGGTCCAGTCGCAGTCTCGAATCAAGATGTTCGTGCTCGTGGTCCAAGAATCGGGAGGCGTAAATCGTGTTCGTCGGCCGTCGAGGTGCTGATTCGATTGCAGGAGCAAAAGCAGAAGTAGAAGCAAGAGAACGAACACCTTTGGAGGGGTGGGTTGGTGGGCACAGTGACCAAGGTATGGAATCGGAGATGGGTTCGAAGTTGATGTCAGGTCGACAAGGTACGAAGAAGTCGGAGGGGTGGTGAATGGGTCGGTGGATTAAATTCGGCGGAAATGGGAGGTAGGTATAAGGTAAGGTGGAAGAGATGACCCTGGGCCGACGTGTACTTCAGATTGTCCGTGTAAATGAAGGGCTCGTGGGTGGTGAGGTCAATGGGGCTCCGTGATTCGGTGGGATGGCCGTGGTGGGAAGGGTGGATGGGTGCGAGAAAGAAGAGTGTGGCTGGCGGTATTGGAATTGTATTGTATTGTACGGGATGTTGCTTGGTATCTGGCACACGCACGCATACATGTACACATACAACAACAGCAACACACTAGACCAGAGTGATGGAACAGGGGAAGAAGAAGAAGGACGATAATAAGAAGTAAGAAGAGGCTAAAGACCAGAGCAGTAGCAAGAGGGTCCCCGTCAACAAAAACAAGATTAGCACCTCTTGAGAG